AAGTATAGAGGAATTATTGTAATCATGCAAAAAGATAGATTACTATTGCTTTTTACTTTCTAGTATACAAAGTATAGAGGAATTATTGTAATCATGCAAAAAATCGAAATCACAAAATTTTCCCAGAGTCGGAAAAAAATAGTTTTGCAAATTTGTATGTGTATGTCTGTGAACACGATATGTATAAGTATGATATCAAATTTGTAGTTCTATATAAACTTTTCCTCGATTTCCGGTAACCGGAAGTGGACATTATTCTACTTTTGGTTTTTTCAAATGTCTGTAACTTGAGTACTGTTTCACATAGATAAACAAAATTTCACATTGAAGTAAAAGATTGAATTCTCTGCCTTCTATCAAATTTTGAGTAATTTTTAAAAATGTTATGAAATGTCATCAACCTAGCTGTAACGGTACCCAAGTTATCATTTAAAGATACACATACACACACAGACATACGGGCAGAGTTGCAAAACCCAGTTTTTCCGACTCGATTACGCATAAAACGCCTAAATTTTGATAAATATGGATTTATTATTTTTGCCCGATTAAAATAAGTCCCCTATACTTAGTATATGATGAAGTATTGCGGTGTAAAACGGTGAAAACTCAAAATTTCATGTGATTTTTGTGCACGATTACAATAATTGCTCTATACTCTGTTTACGAGAAAATAAAAAAACGTCATTCATAAGCCAAAAAACGGCAGAATGGTGTGTTCATCCAAACTACTTTAAAAAGGATCAAGGCAGACCAGACACGAAAATATATATTTTGCCATTAATTATAATGTAAAACTAAAAAACTTAGTTTGCTATGGTGGACGATGTATTACGTTCTGATCAGCACATGGCTTGTTCTGTTAGTTGCCATTGGTGTCACCCCCACCCCCTCCGTCTAATTTTGCCTAATGCCGTCCTTTGGTGTCACCCCAGCCGTCTAATTTTGCCTAATGCCGTCCTTTGGTGTCACACCCCCCAGATTTTGATTGTAAATGTTCAACAAAACTTTTCTCCGTCTGTATAAAATATTTGTGATAGCTTTCAAAACTGTGCCAAGGTTTACCTACAGTCGGTTAGACATACAGCTGGGGTAGCAATGTTTTCTCTAGCAAATTTACTTCATTGTGTCATCACCCCCCCCCCCCCTTCCTCATTGGGATCGTCAATTTGTACTTTAAACATTATTTAACTTGTATTAATTATTAATTGAACTTTAAAACATATTTTCTTCAGTCTATTTTTGTTTTGCCTTGACGTCAGCCCCTAAAATGGGGTCACCCGGTACGATCCGCATGCACCCATCTTGCGACGCCTCTGTACTGACAAAGCCAATAGAGGGAAGGCTGCTGCAGTCTAACAAAGTGCGCACAGTTTGTAGACCTCCGCTAGTGTGGGGAAAACAAAGTGCGCACAGTTTGTAGACCTCCGCTAGTGTGGGGAAAACAAAGTGCGCACAGTTTGTAGACCTCCGCTAGTGTGGGGAAAACAAAGTGCGCACAGTTTGTAGACCTCCGCTAGTGTGGGGAAAATGATGCTAACATTATAACGGTGCCTGTCAGCACCAACTGTGAACAGGAAGTTGGGATCCATCGAAACTTTCCACCATCGTTCTCACACAACAACACCCACCTGACAAGATCCATGGTCTAGGTAAGGGATTCAGTCAGTCAGACCTAGTTAGCCGTGACTTGCGTGCATCCATGTGCTGTTGTCTGTCCACCAACTTACCTTGTAGGATAGTAAAAGTTGGGTCCCGTTCAGAGGCGTATATAGACTAGGTTTTCGGGTTAGGGCAGAGGCGTAGCGATGGCGGGGGGGGGGGGGGGGGGGGGGCAGGGGGGACATGTCCCCGGGTGCCGACCTTTAGGGGGCGCCAAAATGTGTTGGAAAAATTAATCGAAAGTTTGAGGGGGGGGGGGTGCAAATCAAAAGTTTGAGGGGGGGGGGGTGGAAATCGAAAGTTTGACGGGGGCGCAAATTAAAAGTTTGAAGGGGGTGCAAATTGAAAGTTTGTCCCCGGGCGCCGGTAAGGGTCGCTACGCCTCTGGATTAGGAGGAGCGGCGAGTCGAGAAAAAGGCGCCATATATATATATATATATATATTGGCCTATATATATATATATATATATGTTACCGAGTCTATTTACTTGTAGTGCCAAATGTTACCGAATGTATTCACTCGTGCTATCTTTGACCAGCACACAACATCGACCACAATACAGATACTCGGAAGTGCAGGTTTACATTGATCTCTTTATTACATGAATCAATAGAAATGCTCCACATAACAATGCATCAATGTTCCACAAGAATACAATGAACCAACTGACCCCCACTGTCCTCACTAGTCCTCACATATCAGAATGCACGTGTCCATCGTTCCTATTCTCACAAATCACAACAGGTCTACACAGTTCAGTCTCCAACTCGATTCTGCGCCTTATCGTCGTGCCGTCCTATTATAACCCACGTATTCGTAATACTTTCCATTCGTTGCATCAGAACTATGAACTACGCAGCGGCTTTGTGTTCGTTATCAATCCACATCGTTGCGTCAGACTGTATTGCTGAATGTCATTGCTTCGCTACAGTGTAAACATTCAAAGAACCCTCTTTAGAAAACAAAAGAACAAAACACAATGTAGGCCGACATTACAAACAATTTATCACACAAAACAAAAACTATATATATATATATATATATATATATATATATATATATATATATATATATATATATATATATATATATACACTACACAATACGACAAAAACAATAAACGCAACACAATCTATTCTGTAAACCTTGTAAAAAAACATCTACCATAGTAGAATATTAATTTATAAGAAAATCGAATTAAAGTAGGGGAAATAATCACTCTCTTAAGTTAATATAGATATGTAAAGGCATACACGTTTGATTGTCGCTGTCCAAATCAACCACGTCAATAGTTTCTTTATTATACAATACGAGCCGACCCGCGGCGTATCATACGCCGATATTTAGTTGTTTTATTTTCTACTTTTCAGTCATTCATAATGTGTGAATTCGACAGTATCAACGCTGTCACTGAAAATATTTGCTTTAAAACACTATCAGTAGGCCGTTCAGGACGATACCCCCACCCTCCTTTTCCCCAACCCCTACCCTACAACCCCCCCCCCCCAACCCCGTGAAAGTAGCCTCCTCTTAGTTACCTCCCCTAAGTTTAAAATAGTTTCAAACTAAATTATCTGCCCCTAATAGGCGTCACTAAACCCGGCTCTATGATTGTAAACATTTAGCGTGAACCACAGGTCACCAGACCATGTGGGGGTGGGGGAGGTTGCGATATGCCTAGAGAGGAAGAGAGGTGACTGCAAGGCGCGCTTACAGCTTGTTTTCTAACGTCTTCAAGAAGAGAATTATATATATATATATATATATATATATATATATAGATAGATAGTATTTTTATTTCTATTCGTTTTTATAAACAAGAGCTGTCTACAATCCGAATTAATTATACTTTTATTATAAATGCTAAAACCATACAGAATTTTTAAAAAGTTTTTAAAAGAGGAGTCGATATAAAATCGTAAAAAATTTAATTTATGCAAATTATACAGAATAATTCCGTTTATTGGATACAGTAATAAAACAAACTAAAAACATTAATTGGTTTTGAATTTCAGACATTTACTTTTTTAATTAGCTACTGCTTTAAATGTTCTATAAAGATTATTTTTTAACATGATGATAAGGTATGGGTTTTTATCACTTTATTGCTCATGCAAATCTTTACTGTTTTTTTTTTAAACTTTAGTCACACAGTTTGACCGGTTTCAAAAGCTATGATTCTGATAGTAAAATAAACACCAATAGTTGGAGGCAGTTATACTCTTATCCTCAGGGTTTTTTATATTGTTTTAACTAAATTTCTTTTAAGATAATAGGCCTTCCGCATTAAAAAAAGATGGCTGAATTTAGCCTGACAACTCAAGCAAAAACTACACTTGTGAGTTGAGATCAATCTGTATGTGGTTGATGTTCTATATACAGCAGGAATAACACAAACCAAAGATGATAAGTAAGCCAAAAAGTAGGCTGAACATATACTTGTGATAAGTAAGCCAAGAAGTAGGCTGTACATATACTTGTGATAAGTAAGCCAAGAAGTAGGATGTACATATACTTGTGATAAGTAAGCCAAGAAGTAGGCTGAACATATACTTGTGATAAGTAAGCCAAGAAGTAGGCTGTACATATACTTGTGATAAGTAAGCCAAGAAGTAGGCTGTACATATACTTGTGATAAGTAAGTCACGAAGTAGGCTGTACATATACTTGTGATAAGTAAGCCAAGAAGTAGGCTGTACATATACTTGTGATAAGTAAGCCAAGAAGTAGGCTGTACATATACTTGTGATAAGTAAGCCAAGAAGTAGGCTGAACATATACTTGTGATAAGTAAGCCAAGAAGTAGGCTGTACATATACTTGTGATAAGTAAGCCAAGAAGTAGGATGTACATAATATACTTGTGATAAGTAAGCCAAGAAGTAGGCTGTACATATACTTGTGATAAGTAAGTCAAGAAGTAGGATGTACATAATATACTTGTGATAAGTAAGCCAAGAAGTAGGCTGTACATATACTTGTGATAAGTAAGCCAAGAAGTAGGCTGTACATATACTTGTGATAAGTAAGCCAAGAAGTAGGCTGTACATATACTTGCGATGAGTTCTTAAAAAAGTACAAAACATGACATTTTTGAATTCTTTGATTCATAGTTTCACTTTGTGTTTGCTGCTGTTGTTGTTGTTTTTTTTTTTTTGTGTTTTGAGGAACTTGTTTAAAATGTTATTTTATTATTTTCCGAAAAGGGCGCCACTATCCTTGAAATGGTCGTAGGGAGAGCGGCCGCTCCCCCTGCGTACGCTACTGTTCCTGTTAGTTTTTAGAAAACCATGTATGGCATTTAACAACATGAATTTGAATTCCATTTGCAGACGATGCTAAGGAACCTGTTTTGTCTGGTTTTAGATGCCTTCGTTTTGGCAAGATGCCTAGCTATTTTGCCTGGAATGAGCTCCGACTTTCAAAACAACCTCCAGCTGATCTGTAAGCCATCACCTTAATCTATAACTCGTACATTGGATGCTAGTCGAGAGTATGGATGTACCACATTTTCATCTATACAGAAATTATATATACATATATATATATATATATATATATATATATATATATATATATATATATATATATATATATATATATATATATATATATATATATATATATATATATATATTATAAGCGGGATGGTAGTGTGTCAGTCAGTCATTCCGTCATTGCTATAGATTTTGGAACCATAAAAGTAAACACCACATGCCTTGATTTTACTTGCATCGCATTGTCTTATTACGAAAATTGGAGTAGGGATGTTTATGTTTACGACTTAAAGGGGCAGACTCAGGTAAAAAAAAAAATCTTTTGGATAATTTTTTTGATAGTCGGCAGAATGTTTACTATTTCACATACGTCAATAAAAGAACGCGAAGAATATATTAAATATACGCACATTGCTGCTAAAAAAATATTAAAAACATCAATGTCAAATAATATTTTTGTTTATTTGCCTAGAAAAATAATAATAATAGTAATGGCGAAAAAAAAACTAATTAATTAAAATGTTTTATGATTTTGCTATGGGAGGTAATTGAAAAAGAAATTCAACTCACGCTAAATATTGTTATTTACGTACAAAGTGAATGCAAATTGGACATCCGTGAGAGTATTATTATTGGAATACATTATACATTGCCGTTTGTTTGACAAAGCCATATGATAAAGCGTTTTGTGTTTGCATGTCAAGTTTGCGTTTGCGTTTTCTTTTGTGTTTGCGTTAGCGTTTGTGTTTTTTGTTTGTGTTTTTTGCGTTTGTGTTTATATTGTGTTGTGTTTGCGTTTTCTTTTGTGTTTGTTTGCGTTTTTTGTTTGCGTTGTGTTTTTACTTTCTCGTATATACGAAGTATAGAGAAAGTCTTGTAATCGTGCAAAAAAAAATCGAGATTTTTATAAATCTCGACGTTTTACACCTCACTGATACGGAAAAACATAATTTTGCAATCTTGTCCGTATGTCTGTGTGTCTGCGTGTGTGTGTCTGTGTGTGTAAACACGATAACTTGAGTACCGTTACAGCTAGGTTGATGAAATTTCATATATAAGAATTTTATCAAAATCGTAGATCCATATCAACTTTTGAGCGATTTACGATAACCGGAAGTGGTACTTTTTCTACTTTGATTTTTTCAAAAGAATATAACTTGAGTACTATTTCAGATAGATAAATGAAATTTCACATGTAAGAAAAAGACCTAATTCTTTGCCTTCTTTCAAATTTTGAATAATTTCCATCGACCGGAAGTACTAATTTACGCTATTTCCGATTTCTCAAAAAAACTAGTGTAAATTTATAATGTACTAATAATATTCCGCACTATTATGCACATTTTATTTGGCGTTCACTGGTGTGCAATTCTTTTTTCTACGAGATTTTATTCTATTTTAAAAAGTTTAAGTATTTAAAATGGATTCAAATTCATGTCTATATCCCGAGTTCCCATCCCCTGTTTTTTTATATAAGAATATTCGAGAAAGTTTTGGGGAGATCACTCCCGGTTTATTTTGTGTTTGCATTTATGTTTGTGTTTGCGTGTTGCGTTGTGTTTGTGTTTTCTTTTGTGTTTGTGTTGTGTTTGCGTTTTGTTTGAGTTTTCGTTTGTTTGCGTTGTGTTTTCTTTTGTGTTTGAGTTTATGTTTGCGTGTGTGTGTACGTTTGTATTGTGTTTTTGGTTTTTGTTTGCGTTTGTGTTTGATCTGTTTCTGCTCCCCAGCTGGTACATTTAAAAAAGATTCACAGTGGCGAAGCACGGGTATGCAACTAGTATATATATATATATATATATATATATATATATATATATATATATATATATATATATATATATATATATATATAAGCCTATAGACATATTACGAATGTATTAGATTAGTAAGTCACGCATGCACGTGCAATCACTGCTGAGCAAATATTGTACCTTGACAAAAACCGTGTCATTTAGTTGATCAATTAAGTTGATCATTAATTATTCCCCAGCCCAATTCCCTGCGGCTCAATGCAAGCCACAACACGTGCACTTGTCTTTTGGGACAAGCGTTCATGACGTCACTATAATGTGGGCCACGCATGGTTTATGTAATAGTAAGGTAACTGATGTTAATAAGTAAGGTAATTTGATGTCAATAAGTAAGGTAATCTGATGTCAATAAAGTAAGGTAATTTGATGTCAATAAAGTAAGGTAATTTGATGTCAATAAAGTAAGGTAGTTTGATGTCAATAATAAGGTAATTTGATGTCAATAAAGTAAGGTAATTTGATGTCAATAAAGTAAGGTAATTTTATGTCAATAAAGTAAGGTAATTTGATGTCAATAAAGTAAGGTAATTTGATGTCAATAAAGTAAGGTAATTTGATGTCAATAAAGTAAGGTAATTTGATGTCAATAAAGTAAGGTAATTTGATGTCAATAAAGTAAGGCAATTTGATGTCAATAAATTAAGGTAACTTGGTGTCCATAAAGTAAGGAAAATAAAAAAAGGTATTAATTAAATAAGGAATTTAACAAATGAATTAAGTTCGGTAACTTTGTTATCATTTCTCAAATCTCTTCATGGGAGTTTGCTGTAGGGGGTTGCTGGGGTAGGGCAGAGTGTAGTGTGGGTCTTCCACCGGGCCGTTAGGACAGCCGTCCACCCCGGACCTATCCCGACACTGACCGACACACCCATCAGTAGCAAGAGATGGACACACCCATCAGTAACAAGAGATGGACACACCCATCAGTAACAAGAGATGGACACACCCATCAGTAACAAGAGATGGACACACCCATCAGTAGCAAGAGATGGACACACCCATCAGTAGCAAGAGACACACCCATCAGTAGCAGGAGATGGACACACCCATCAGTAGCAAGAGATGGACACACCCATCAGTAGCAAGAGATGGACACACCCATCAGTAGCAAGAGACACACCCATCAGTAGCAAGAGATGGACACACCCATCAGTAGCAGGAGATGGACACACCCATCAGTAGCAAGAGACACACCCATCAGTAACAAGAGATGGACACACCCATCAGTAACAAGAGATGGACACACCCATCAGTAGCAAGAGATGGACACACCCATCAGTAGCAAGAGACACACCCATCAGTAGCAGGAGATGGACACACCCATCAGTAGCAGGAGATGGACACACCCATCAGTAGCAAGAGACACACCCATCAGTAACAAGAGATGGACACACCCATCAGTAGCAAGAGATGGACACACCCATCAGTAACAAGAGATGGACACACCCATCAGTAGCAGGAGATGGACACACCCATCAGTAGCAAGAGATGGACACACCCATCAGTAGCAGGAGATGGACACACCCATCAGTAACAAGAGATGGACACACCCATCAGTAACAAGAGACACACCCATCAGTAGCAAGAGATGGACACACCCATCAGTAACAAGAGATGGACACACCCATCAGTAGCAAGAGATGGACACACCCATCAGTAGCAAGAGATGGACACACCCATCAGTAGCAAGAGATGGACACACCCATCAGTAGCAAGAGATGGAAACACCCATCAGTAGCAGGAGATGGACACACCCATCAGTAGCAAGAGATGGAAACACCCATCAGTAGCAGGAGATGGACACACCCATCAGTAGCAAGAGATGGAAACACCCATCAGTAGCAAGAGACACACCCATCAGTAACAAGAGATGGACCCAGCCATCAGTAGCAGGAGATGGACACACCCATCAGTAACGAGATGGACACTAGTGGAGGCCAACAAAAGAAACATCTTCCCTCTATGAAGGACCTGGGACGTTATGACATTCAATGAAACTTGCAAAAGCAATCAAATCATCAAGACATACATATGTATGTAAGCTATAGATACTAAATACCCATGCAGCTCTCTAGGTGAACCTTTTTCCTTGAAATTGAAACAGCGATTGGTTTTAGAAAACAAAAGGCATTCAGGAACTGAACATAATGCAGCATTGAGAATTATTAAAGGGCAAAAGCTGTCATAATTATATAGGCCAACTTCTTAGAGATTTAGAAAATTGATGTATGTAGACACAGCGTTACTATGGAAACAAATGAAGACGTGGTGTTATCCGACAATCTCTGCCTTTTGTCACATACACAAATGCACGACAAAAACAAACAGGAGAAAAGAAAATGAACAGGAAAAGGTAACGCATTTTAGATTGACTTCTCTCAGTGTATGACCCAGAGACACGGAGGTTAATGGAGGAATCAACTAATTCTAGTGAAGTTTGTTTTGTTGTAGGCGTAGGGCCTAGAGACATAGAGGGTAATGGGGGAATCAACTAGTTCTAGTGAAGTTTGTTTTGTTGTAGGCGTAGGGCCTAGAGACATAGAGGGTAATGGGGGAATCAACTAGTTCTAGTGAAGTTTGTTTTGTTGTAGGGCCTAGAGACATAGAGGGTAATGGGGGAATCAACTAGTTCTAGTGAAGTTTGTTTTGTTGTAGGGCCTAGAGACATGGGGTGGTACAGTGGTAGTAATGGGGTGGTTCCACTAATCACTGTATTATATAAATCTAGATCGAATTTACTGTAAGCGAGAAACTACATAATAATGAAATACTGTTCCAGGCGAAGCTTGGCAAGTTTCCTTGGAAACTGGAGCAGGAAATTCAAGCGGAAAATGTTTTCTTCAATAAAAGAAACAAACACGGCCTTAAACATTTGCATCGAGTCAAAGTTCAGGTCAATCTAATTTATTTGTGACATTCAATCGTCCTAGATTTTTTAATCTTAATAGTATACAACGTACGAAGATATCCCATGCCTTACAGATGACTTGGCTTATGCAGTAAACGTGTCTGGTTACTTACACATACAGATTGTGCTTCTTCTTCTTCGTTCTTAATTACAATTACGTGTATGTGTCAACTGGTTATGTGCCATAGAGCCATTGAGTCAGATTTCAGCCTGCTTTTCTTTTTGGATTTACTTCCATAGCCTTTGTCCAACCAAGAACAAACTACCAGGCAGCAGTTGTTTCATTTTGGAGTTGTCTCTCCTAGAAAAGTGGCTGTCCCCAGCTAACGAGCCTCATCTACCCGACTCGACCACACCGACCCCGACAAGTCAGGGGCGGAACTACAGTGCCGCCAGACCCCGCAATGCGGGGGGGGGGGGGCAGACCAATTGGGGGCCCAAAAAACCTGGCAAAATTATTTTTAAAAAAAAATTAGGTGGAAGTCGAGTTATCTTTCTTCTACAGTTACAAACAAACACGATAGTCGGCAAACGTCTTTGAGAAAAATGCAAAGACTATAGCTCGAGAGACCGCCAGACATATAAACAACTTCAAAGACAAAGCATCTGAAATTTGACTGTGCCGGCACGCTTTCTTGTCCCCTTCCCTTCCCAACTCTCTCCCCCCCCCCTGCCCCCTACCCCTCACCTCTACCTCTCACCACACCCTTACTCTTACAATAAGATGTAATGCATTGATTAACGAACCGTCTATGAACTGTAAACTGACCAGTTCACACATTTTGTTAAAGACACTAGTCAGTAGTTGTTCATTTACCTGATGAACAGGGGCGGAACTACAGTCCCGCCAGACCCTGCAATGCGCGGGAAGGGGGGGGGGGCAGGCCCTTTAGGGGCCCACGGCTGACCAAAATTAATATATTTTTTTAAATTTTGAATTTAATTTTTGCCTTAATATTTGGTTTGTAAAAGAAAAACACTGTAGCTGCGGTACGATTATTTTTATTTTACAGTCACTATACCACGCTCTTCCGCAAAAGATAAAATCCATTACACAAACTACAGTGTAAAATACAGGCAACTCTTCAAATTTTGAATGACTTCTTTGACTCGTTGCCCCCCCCCCCTCCCTTTGATAGCTAAAAAGAGGACACGTAACTGTTTGACCGATCCTCCAAAGTGTACTGTGGCGGATGGGGCAGGGGATGGGGACCAAAAAGGGGGTTAAAAAATTGTCGACAATTTTTTTACATATTTAAAACAGTTATTTATAGTTGTATTTTTTAACCATCGTCAAGGCCGATTTCTATTTCCCTACAATCAAACACACGATGTCGCCGGCAAAATTCTTTTTAAAAAAACAACAAAGTCCATAGCACGAAAAGCCGCTACATATGAAGTGGGCTTTCATGATGCGCGGTTCTTATTTGCGGCATTGGTAAGGGACCCGAAATCCATTGTACATTTTTCAATGTTAATATGTGTTTGTGATAGTGGTTGAATTTGTATCCGGTACTATCTTGTATCGTACAAATAATTTTTAAAAAATAATATAATACTAGAAACTTCAGTTTTATATACGTTTACTTGTTTTTGATTTTACAAGAAATATAGTAACCTTTTAAGGCCTATACTTCAAATTATCTCCCCTGAGTAAGTTTTACAATGGGCGATGCTGACGTACATAGATCAAGGCGTTTTGTTGTCCCTTTCAAGTTTTTTCCCGAGCCGACCCCTATCCCATCCCTCTTTCTCAACCTCACAAGTATCGAGGAGATAAATGTATCGTTTATGAACTACTTCCTAACCATACGATTCACCACTTCAGCACATTTTGTCAGACACTAGACAGCACTAGATCTAGTAAACACATATTAATTTACTTTCATAGTATTAGGCACATCTAATTCACAAAACAGGGCAGGTAAGATTATTTTTTATATAATTATTTAGAAATTAATTAGAACTTTTAGAATTAATTGAACATTATTAATAGTCATTGAGGTGGGGGTGTGTGAGGGTCTGGCTTTTTGTTAATCCCCCCCTCCCCTAAATCAGAAGGTTATCCAACGCGTGACCTGGCCACATACAGTTGTACATGTGAAAAACATTTTTCTCTCTATTATTATTATGCATTACTGCATCATACACCCAATCGCCATGAAAACTTAGAAAACTGTTGAGTACAACCCCGCAAAGGTTTCTGTCATAGGCCTAACATTTGTACATATTTGAGTGGGGACTCCTAACGGAAATATGTGATTTAGCCAGTGGCGTAGGCAGGGGGGGGGGGTTAGGGGGGGTCATAACCCCCCCCCCCCATAGACCCCTCGGTATATATATATATATATATATATATATATATATATATATATATATATATATATATATATATATATATATATATATATATATGTAACGAGCGAACAGTTACCCTGCTCGCAACGCCACATGTTACGAGATTATTTGCCTGTAGTGCCAAATGTAACGAGTTTAACCACTCATTCTACACAACATCGACCACAGTAGAAATACTCGAAGATGCAGGTTCGCTATTGATCCTTTTATTACATGAATCAAGAAATGCTTCAAAATAACACAATGAATCAACAGGAATGCTTCACAATAATAGTCTGAATCAACTGACCCCTAACAGTCCTCACTAGGCTTCATATAACTGAATCCACATGTCTATCGTCCTTCTTAACCCAAGACGGCTAACCCGTTCTATAACCAACTGTCACACAGACTGACTGATCTAAAGCGAGCGATCGAAAGAGAGCGAGCTCCGCCGTCCCCTCCTATTTATCCCTTGTATTCGTACTCGTATTCGTACTTGTATTCATCCGTAATCGATATTTGTAATCGATGTCTCCGACTACTAGTTGCGCAGTTCTAACGTACAGCCCGATTAATAAAACATCTGCATCCTATCACTCAAAGTTGACAGGCCGTCTGAATCCCCTCGTACCGTTTCCCAAAATAGCACGCGTTGGCTTTGAGATTGTTATCAGTCCGATTTAATAAGCCACCTGCTATCAGTTGCATCAGACTGTAATACTGCGTCGCGGCTTATCGTTCGTTATCAGTTGCATCAGATTGTAACTAGTAGTTAGGCCTACCCTAGTTACATCCACCCCTGCCTTTTTTTGTGTGTTTTCAACCACAAACAACGCTTGGCAGGTGCATTCCTCCAAAGTCAATCGCACCATCGTAAAAAAAATTTATTGTTCCACTCACTGTCCACGTCGTCCCATTCGTATACGATTGACAGTTATACCTATTTCACATATCAACTGTGTCTACATCATCTTCCTGAGACACAAAACAGTTCTAGAATTCACATCCACCCTTTCCATTTGGTGCCTTCACCAGTTCACTTTTATAGCTTTTTGAACAGTCTGTTCTCATACCAGCGCGACCATGAAAGAATTGATGGTTGCTGACAAAAAATTTCGTCTTCCTTCTGTTCCTCAAACTTCTCCGCGGACCACTTATCTGATGGTCTACTGTCTCTCTGCTTCTGGGAGGAACGGGATCCTCTTTGTTGCCGTTATCCTCCACTTGTGTATCGCTGTTGTTCTGTTGATGGTGATATGGTTCCGGGATGGGTATGTGAATTTCCGTTGTAACTTCCGGTTCCCTAATTGTCTTAGGTTTCTCTGTGTGTAACTGCTCTTCTTGCCTATTCCAATATTTCTTTAATTGAGCAATGTTCGCCCACCGATCCGGTTTGGCGTGATCGATGGGTCTTATCTTAAAGGGGCCACCTGCTACTTTAGGCATCTCCACGACTTGCCATATCTCCTGTCCCCAGAGGTCGTGGATCTTATTTCTGCCTAACGGGTGGCTACGCAGTAATACCCTGTCGTTCAGTTTGAGTGGCGGGTCCTTTGTCTGTACCGGCGGTTCCCTTCGCCGAGATTCATGTTCTAGTCTTTCCTGTACTACCCTGTACATTTCTCTAATTCTTCTCATATGTTCATTCACATATTCCAGTGCGGTGTATGAGCCAGTCATACTCTCCCTTTTTCCTAGGAACAAATCAAGAGGGAGTCGAGCCTCCCGTCCGAACAGCAACATGTGTGGCGCAAGGCCCGTTGTGGCATGGGGGGTGCAGTTGTATAGATATACCAACTCTGGGAGAAAATCCGGCCAACGTTTTTTCTGTTCAGGTTCTAGGGTACGCAGCAAATCATGCATGCTGCGGTTGAACCGCTCACACTGTCCGTTTTCTTTCGGATTAAATGTGGTTGTTCTAGATTTGTTGATCCCGTAGTGGCTGCACAGTTGGTTGATTACTTCTGACTCGAAGGCCCTTCCTTGGTCAGAGTGTAATTGTCTTGGTATGCCATATTTGATGAACCAATGTTCTATTAATACCTTTGCCACTGTTTTGGCAGTCTGATCTCGTGTGGGCACCGCCACCGTCCATTTGGTGAATACATCAGTCATTACCAACACATGTTCCGTCCCATCCGATGATTGCTCCAACGACGTAAAGTCCATAGCCACAATCTCTAGTGGTTTTGTCGCTAGTAGGTGTCCTGATGGCTGTCTCATTTTGACAACTGGCATTTTCGCATGCTGACACCTCACACAAGCCTCACAATGGCGTTTGACCTCCATTTCCATATTGGGCCAGTAACACCTCCGTCGTAATATTTTGTGCGTCCTGTCCTGACCCTGGTGTCCTGCCCTGTCATGTGCCAACCTTAGCACTTCTTCTCGTAATTGTCCAGGCACCACCACCTGGTGTATTGTCCCATCAATTTGGTCATGAATTCTCCGCATGAGAACACCATCCTTTATACTGAGACGGTCCCACTGACTCAGTATTTTCTTTGTTTCTCGACCAAATTGTTCTCTTTCCCTTCTTCCTGGGAATTTTTGTTCCTGGACGTGTTTCAACAGCGGCTGTAAGCCACTATCCGTTCTCTGGGCATCTCTTATCTCTTTGTGATTAAGGCAATTAAAATCACTAATGTCCATATGTCCGGGCTCTGTGGAAATGTGCTCCACCCCGGTCTGTCCGTTTTGCATCACTAGCCTTTCTTTGTCTATCATTTCTTCTAGTTTGCCAACACTGTTCTGTTGTCTAATATTTTTATTTACTTCTTCCGATAACAGACACTTTAAAGATGAACATTTCTCCTGTGCTTTTGATTTGCATGAACTTTTCCTATCCAGTTTCCTGGTTAGACTTTGAATTCCTTTATTAAGTCTACCAATTTTCTGCTTATCATCATTTTTCTCTACCAACAAATTGTTCACTTGCACCCCGTGAGGGATATCTGTTGACGCTCTGACCTCACATATTCCTGTCAGCGTTTCTTCCTCATCGCCCGGTCTCTCGTAAGGATTCCTTGATAACGCGTCAGCATTACCATTGGACTGCCCTGGGCGATATTTTCTCTCCAGGTCAAAGAGTGCCAATTCTGCTGCCCATCGCTGTTCGATGGATCCCAGCCTTGCTGTGATTTGAAGTTCTTTTTCGATATCTGATAATTTCTCTTCAAGTCTTGTTTGAGACTCTTTCATTGTTTGTCCCATTTTGTTTCTTAAGCCATAACCTCGCCTCTCTGTAGCCTTGCCTTGCCTTACAGAGGGCGATCGTTTCACCGGACAGTATTGTGCCATATGTCCGGGTTGTGAGCGGGACAGGCAAATTGGTCGACCATCGGCCGTCCACCGGAGCGATGGACCGGCGGGTCGCGGCCGTCCAACCTGTCTCTGTTTTGGCCCGTTCTTTTCCTGATTCTCAGCTGTTGACCTGCTTTCCAAACTCTCCAATCGTTGGTCAACCTTATCCAGGTGAGCCAACAGTTGAGCCATCATGGTTTCCACCGTGCCGGTCCCTGTGGGTGGGGATTGTTGCTGTTCCGGCACAGAGACTTTGTCTACCGAACAGTTCGATTGGTCCTCATCCTCGGACCTGCGGATCGCTGAGTTCCTGACCTGAAGGAAGGTCAACTGCGGGTCTTTGTGGACCTCCTCTTTCAACTCTCTCCTTAAGATCGGGGTTGCTAGCCCCTCGATGAACTGGTCCCTCAGTAGGCGTACATCAATGTCAGGTGTTTTGCCCTTTACCGAATCAAAGGCCCTGTTTATTCGGTGTGAATACTCCATCACACTCTCCGCCATTCTCTGCTTTATACCTACAAACACCGACAGCAGTTGCGATCCCGACCGTCTCTCCCCAAAGGTCTCCATAATTAGATCCAGCACCTTATCTGGATCTGATTGGATGGTTTTATCGTGGCATTTGACCTCTGCCCTGACAGTCTCTCCTATACTTCCCATCAGCAGTCTTAATCTTTCCTCTGGTGACATGTATCTTGAGGCCCAGGCAGCCCTGACCTCTTCACTGAACCTGTTGGTTAAAGTTGGATTACCGTCCCCGTAAAATTTGTTGATGTGGGACTCACTGGGCAGGACCACAATATGGATCGGCTTTTTGTCCAAATTTTGTCCTGGTCCCTCTGGAGGCAAAGGGTCATCTTCACCGTTGCCTATCTCTGGGCTTTCTTCATCTGGCTCAGATTGTTGGGCCAGCAGGAGTCTCTGTCCCTTTCCGATATCTAAAATACCACTCCCGCGTCTGCCCCTCACACCAAGGAAAAATGTTGCAGCTATGCAGCAGATAGTGTTGCCCAAAAGGGAGATCATGACACATTTCCAGTGTCTAAGGGTTACATCTATCTCTTGGTTGTCATCTTTGCCTAGTATTTGTCCAACAACCCAGTTGGAGATACCAATGCCAATTATCTGGATGCTGGTGGTCAGCCCCATAGCTGTCCCCAGGGTAGTTGGTGCTACAACTAGGGGTATACTGAGCCACATGCTTGCAGCAGCAAAAGAGCATGTGACACCAAGCCAGAATGATAATGAAAGGTGTCTCATCTCTGTTCTTTTCAATTTCCTCAATTCTGATTTCAGTCTTCCCTTTTATTTATTCCCTTCAAATAAAAAAGACATTTCTTACCGTGTGTGTATGAAAAAATTTTCCTCGTTCCTCAATTTTCACTGTCCCTGAATGTTCGAATTCACACACACACAAAACACAGTTATGAACTAGGTTGACTATGGGTGCCTAACGCGGCAAGTCTCGTTGAATTCATCCTGTCCGACGACGCCAATTGTAACGAGCGAACAGTTACCCTGCTCGCAACGCCACATGTTACGAGATTATTTGCCTGTAGTGCCAAATGTAACGAGTTTAACCACTCATTCTACACAACATCGACCACAGTAGAAATACTCGAAGATGCAGGTTCGCTATTGATCCTTTTATTACATGAATCAAGAAATGCTTCAAAATAACACAATGAATCAACAGGAATGCTTCACAATAATAGTCTGAATCAACTGACCCCTAACAGTCCTCACTAGGCTTCATATAACTGAATCCACATGTCTATCGTCCTTCTTAACCCAAGACGGCTAACCCGTTCTATAACCAACTGTCACACAGACTGACTGATCTAAAGCGAGCGATCGAAAGAGAGCGAGCTCCGCCGTCCCCTCCTATTTATCCCTTGTATTCGTACTCGTATTCGTACTTGTATTCATCCGTAATCGATATTTGTAATCGATGTCTCCGACTACTAGTTGCGCAGTTCTAACGTACAGCCCGATTAATAAAACATCTGCATCCTATCACTCAAAGTTGACAGGCCGTCTGAATCCCCTCGTACCGTTTCCCAAAATAGCACGCGTTGGCTTTGAGATTGTTATCAGTCCGATTTAATAAGCCACCTGCTATCAGTTGCATCAGACTGTAATACTGCGTCGCGGCTTATCGTTCGTTATCAGTTGCATCAGATTGTAACTAGTAGTTAGGCCTACCCTAGTTACATATATATATATAATATATCTATCTATCTATATATATATAATATATCTATCTATATATCTATCTATCTATCTATCTATCTCTCTCTCTCTCTCTCTCTCTCTATATATATATATATATATATATATATATATATATATATATATATATATATATATATATATATATATATAGGGGCCCAAAAAAATTCTGCGGGGGGGGGGCCTTTTTTCTAGTTCCGCCACTGATACACATGACATGTTGTTGTGATTAGATTTAATTGAATTTTTTTTTTCAAAACCCGATCAGGCCAGAAATGAGTATCCTATGTTTGTATTGTGTGTTAATATATATATATATATATATATATATATATATATATATATATATATATATATATATATATATATATATATATATATACATATATATATATATATATATATATACATATATATATATATATATATATATATATATATATATATATATATATATATATATATATATATATATATATATATATATATATATATATATATATATATATATATATATATATATATATATATATACATATATGGGGGGCCCAAAAAACTTTTTGCGGGGTGGCCCATTTTTTCTAGTTCCGCCACTGCGACAAGTGCATCACTCATGATATCACTATCCTGACCAAGTGCATGACTCATGATATCACTATCCTGACCAAGTGCATGACTCATGATTTCACTATCCTGACCAAGTGCATGACTCATGATATCACTATCCTGACCAAGTGCATGACTCATGATATCACTATCCTGACCAAGTGCATGACTCATGATATCACTATCCTGACCAAGTGCATGACTCATGATATCACTATCCTGACCAAGTGCATGACTCATGATATCACTATCCTGACCAAGTGCATGACTCGTGACGTCACTATCCTGACTGGTCACGTGTCACGTTCATGTCATAGCTTGGTGCACCCGCCGTGCACTTACCTCATATTGCACGTACATGGCGTGCATACTTTGCAAATCTCATTTTGTTATCGGCCATTTTTTTCTTTTCGGGAGCCTTTTTGTCATAGGCCAAATGGTCGGGAATCTTATTAACGGGTTGGACTGAAATTACTGTTTTTACTCACCCGGCACCCGCAAGTGGGTTTATGGCAAATGTTGTAACTATTTAGACTGATACAACTTCCCCGATACATCATTTTGTCTCCAAAAACAACGCTATAATAACAAGTTTTTAATCTAATACGATATCAAATTAGTAACTAATAAAGCAGTAGTTATCTCCCCTAAACTTTCTCGAATATTCTTAGATGGTAACTCCAGTGCAGTCGGGATATATCTAGACATTTTTTAAAATAAATTTTCAAATACTTAATTTGTACTTTCTCGTATACGAAGTAGGCCTATAGAGGAAGTATTATAATCGTGCAAAAAATCGAAACCGAGATTTTCACAAATCTCGCCGTTTTACACCTCCCCGAGTCGGAAAAACAAAGTTTTCCAAATGTGTCCGTTTGTATGTGTGTGTATGTGTGTGTATATGCCTGTGAACACGATAATTTGAGTACCGTTACAGCTAGGTTGATAAAATTTCATATATAAATATTGTATCAAATTTGTCGTTCTGACCAGTTCATAAGTTTTGTTCTGACCAGTTCATAAGTTTTGTTCTGACCAGTTCATAAGTTTTGTTCTGACCAGTTCATAAGTTTTGTTCTGCATTCGTTGCTGGGGGCTTGAGTTGTATTTATGTGACTATTTTAGTGGAAAACTACTTCCTCTGTACGCACCTGATGGTACAATTTTATTTGTAACATGTGATTGTTCTCAAACTAAGATATAAAGTCCATTTTGTTGGGGGGGGGGGGGGTAGACTTTCTTCGGGGAGGGAGGACACAGAAGAAAGTCTGTAGTGGCTTTGCACATTGTATAAAAGGACTTGTCTCATAACTTTGTTGTTTTTATGTGCCAAGTTTAGTGGAAAAGAATTTCCTTTGCACGCACCTAATGGTAGGATTTTATTTTTAACATGTATTTGTTCTCAAACCATGTTGCTGAAAATGTGTTTTTCCCCCAATTTTTTCAGCATCTGTTACCAGAAACAATGTACTACTACATGGCTGTGAGCAATGAGAGCTATTCAAGAATCTTTTACTTCCAGACACCACCTGCAGGCAATGTAGGAAATCCTAGATACATTCCAATATTTCTCTGACATGACCTCTGAACCTTTTGTTTGAAATCTTGATACAGTCCAATATTTCTCTGACATGACCTCTGATGTTTTTGTTTGAAATCTTGATACAGTCCAATATATTTCTCTGACATGACCTCTGATGTTTTTGTTTGAAATCTTGATACAGTCCAATATTTCTCTGACATGACCTCTGATGTTTTTGTTTGAAATCTTGATACAGTCCAATATTTCTCTGACATGACCTCTGATGTTTTTGTTTGAAATCTTGATACAGTCCAATATTTCTCTTACATGACCTCCGATGTTTTTATAAAAACTTTCAGAAATGGTCTCCTGACTTTTTGATGTTTGGAGATTTAGGCATCCACTCCAACACCACCCCATCCCTGATCAACGAAGCTTTTTCTGGCAACTACACAGCTCTCTTTCATGTGGGGGACTTTGCTTACGACTTGCATCATCAGAATGGTTTGGTGAATACCTTTTTAAATTCATTCATGACTTACCTAAAGTAAGTTTTATGGACGCTCAGAATGGTTTGGTGAATACATTGGTGCCCGAGTTAACATTTGTGTACTTTTTTCTTGGTGCCTTGCTTATGTTTCTCAGGTGAACTGTTATTTTTTTTTAACCTTAACCAGCTATATTTTTGTTTATCTAAGAGAATATTTTTAAATGCGTTTTCTTGGACCCCAAAGCAAAAGATCTAATGACGTAAGTTTGAACTCGCAGGTTGGTGACTACTTCATGGAGCTGATAGAACCTGTGGCGGCCTTCATCCCTTACATGACGTGTCCAGGAAACCACGGTAAAACCACTTTACAATCAACCGTTTACACACAGTATAAATCTTCTTTACTCTTAATCATTTACACAATATAAATCTACTTTACTTCACTCATCTTCATCTACACAGCATAATTTACACAATTACACACTGCCAACAAATGGACTAGACCCACATTTGTCAGTATGGAGTAGACCCACGTTTGTCAGTATGTACTAGACCCATGTTTGTTAGTATGGACTAGACCCATGTGGGTCAGTTTGTACTAAACCCATGTGGGTCAGTATGGACTAGACCCATGTTTGTCAGTTTGTACTAAACCCACGTGGGTCAGTTTGTACTAGACCCATGTGGGTCAGTATGGACTAGACCCATGTGGGTCAGTATGGGCTAGACCCATGTGGGTCAGTATGGGCTAGACCCATGTGGGTCAGTATGGACAGAGTGCCTATCAGCCTTGACCTTTCTCCAGAAAGTGAGAGAGAAAGTTTCGAACACTACAGACACCGTTTTTCCATGCCGGGCTCGGACTGGCCAACTCCCGTACATAAGATGTGGTACAGCATTGACATCGGCCCTGTGCACTTTGTCAGGTCAGTGGTACAGCATTGACATTGTGTCAGGTCAGTGGTACAACATTGACATCGGCCCTGTACACTTTGTCAGGTCAGTGGTATAGTATTGACATCGGCCCTGTACACTTTGTCAGGTCAGTGATTGACATCGTGTCAGGTCAGTGGTACAACATTGACATCGGCCCTGTGCACTTTGTCAGGTCAGTGGTACAGCATTGACATCGTGTCAGGTCAGTGGTACAACATTGACATCGGCCCTGTACACTTTGTCAGGTCAGTGGTACAACATTGACATCGTGTCAGGTCAGTGGTACAACATTGACATCGGCCATGTGCACTTTGTCAGGTCAGTGGTACAACATTGACATCGGCCCTGTGCACTTTGTCAGGTCAGTGGTACAGCATTGACATCGGCCCTGTGCACTTTGTCAGGTCAGTGGTACAACATTGACATCGTGTCAGGTCAGTGGTACAGCATTGACATCGGCCCTGTGCACTTTGTCAGGTCAGTGGTACAGCATTGACATCGGCCCTGTGCACTTTGTCAGGTCAGTGGTACTGTACTGACATCTGTCATACATGTTTTCAGGTCAGTCTCAGGAAACATAATTTCATTAGGGTGTTCTTTATTATCTTCCAAATGTTGATATTATAACGGGCTATCTCCTCATTTTGATATTATAACATGCAATTTATAGTTTTCATATTTTAATTGTGATTTTGAAACGGGGCAACCCCTCATTTTAATATTTTAGGGAAACTCCTAATTTTGATATTCCTGGGAAACTCCGTATTTTGATGTTAACGGGGCATTTGGGCAATTCCTATTTCCTTTTTATGAAAAAATATCTGAAATTTTACGAAAATTTGAAGATTTCGTGATACAAAATCACGACAGCATTTTTTAAACATTTCGTTCACACTCACATAAACTTGTCAAATAACATAATTTTTAATATTAACCTCAGTAAGGATTGCTATAGGCCTAGGCCCTAGACCTTTAAAAACGGATAAAATAACCATGGTTGTGTTTAGTAAATTAGAAGTTTTGAGCATTTGTTTTTTACCCTTCCCCCCTCCCAATACAGTTGTTAGTATTGAATCAGATCATGCTACTACGCCCCAACACCCGATTTAGATCATGTTACCACGCCAACCTCACCACCACCCCACCAAAAAAAAAAACCCATTATAATTGTAGCTTGTAATAATGCTAACATTATCACTTTGAATGCAGTTATTCATCGGAGGTGTTTTTTGCAAGCTCGGGTAGAAATGCTGAGCTCCAGAAACGGTGGCTGGTGAACAACCTGCGGGGAGTGAACCGTGAGCGGACGCCGTGGGTGATAGCGTTTGGCCACAGGCCCATGTACTGCAGTGGTAGCCGCGGGTCTGACTGCGCGTATCCAAACTCCAGAGTGAGAAGAGGGTTAGTCTAATTACCTTCACATGAATAGGGTTAGTCTAATTACCTTCACATGAATAGGGTTAGTCTAATTACCTTCACACGAAGAGGGTTAGTCTAATTACCTTTACATGAAGAGGGTTAGTGTAATCACCTTCACATGAAGTGGGTTAGTGTAATTACCTTCACATGAAGAGGGTTAGTGTAATTACCTTCACATGAAGTGGAATGGTCTAATTACCTTCACATGAAGATGGTAAGTGTAATTACCTTCACATGAAGATGGTAAGTGTAATTACCTTCGCATGAAGTGGGTTATTGTAATTACCTTCACATGAAGAGGGTTGGTGTAATTACCTTCAAATAAAGAGAGTTAGTGTTCATTGTGTCTATTTTAATTTTAATTTGGCATATCTTCATCAGAAGTGGGTTGGTGTTTAATCGTGGATGGAATTTTATCTGTTGTCTACATCGTCTTTTTACTTTCTCGTATATACGAAGTATAGAGAAAGTATTGTAATCGTAAAACCTGCTACAGAGGGAGGATTGGAGCTGGATTTAACAAGCCTATAAAACAACAACCCGCTACAGAAAACCAACGAGAAGACTTACCTCGAGCGAAAACATTTAAGAAGCTGGCACAACGACACAAGAAGCTGACACACCGACACAAGAAGCTGGCACACCGACACAAGAAGCTGGCACACCGACACAAGAAGCTGGCACAGCCGACACAAGAAGCTGGCACACCGACACAAGAAGCTGGCACACCGACACAAGAAGCTGGCACAGCCGACACAAGAAGCTGGCACACCGACACAAGAAGCTGGCACACCGACACAAGAAGCTGGCACAACGACACAAGAAGCTGGCACACCGACACAAGAAGCTGGCACACCGACACAAGAAGCTGGCACACCGACACAAGAAGCTGGCACACCGACACAAGAAGCTGGCACACCGACACAAGAAGCTGGCACACCGACACAAGAAGCTGGCACACCGACACAAGAAGCTGGCACACCGACACAAGAAGCTGGCACACCGACACAAGAAGCTGGCACAACGACACATTTTCTGACGACCAAGTGAAAAAAAACAGAATTGGAACTTGGGACATCGGAACCCTCTAAGGCTACAAAACTGGCTAATCTTTCCACTCCTTCCCCCTTCACGAGATCCATCCCACACACAGAAGTGTGACGTCCGTGGAAAAAATCACTGCACGTAAAATTTTTACTGATGAAGACAAACTTTGTTCTTATCTTTGCCAATGAAGAACCTTTGCCAAGAATATGCTTAAACAATTTTGGTAGTACTGGTGGGTTCCCAGAAAAAAATGCGCATCGAAAAAATGCGTAGCCGAAAATGCAAATACAGAAAAGTGCGCACATTCAAACCCACTATACAAATCAGACTTACATTGGGTCATCTATCGTGGAAAATTGTTTAATTACAGAGTCTACTACAATGTACATGGGCTCATTATTTGGTTTTACGACTTCAAATTATAAAAATAAAAATACCAAGCACATTTTTTCGACGATGTTTTCAGTTACGCATTTTCTGGTCTCACTAAAATGTATTCAATTTTTTTTTCTTCCCCATCGGCTCTATCAGTCTAGAAGATATATTTGTTGTTAAATTTCTTTCTTCCCCATCGGTTTCATCAGTCTATGTGATAGATTGACGATAGAAGCATGTGGTTGTATATAACGTTTATTGGGTCTAACTACATGTTGACAATCAGAGAGAGGAAGGAAGTACAATGCACAAGGGACATCACTCAAGATAACAATATAAATATAATACTAATACAGAAGAGTGAGTTCCCTTGACCTCACAATTATCTCAATCTATTACATCCCTTTATCCTTAGAACACAATAACACATCTCTCAATAGAACAATAATGATAGTATCCTAAAATCACCAATTATATTGTAACATGAACACTATGGTAGATTACATCCTTACAAACAATGCACAATATGCTACAACATAATCAAGATACAAAACAATGATGTCAAAGTCCTTTTGACCTTTAAAATCATAGGTCTAACTTATTTGGGACTTTGATTGTCCTGCTTGACCTTCTCAGTGGCTTTTGATTTGGTGACTCAAAATTCTGACCATCTGGATTCTCTATCTCAGGAGGTCTAGGATTTAAATCATTAACTCCAGAATTTACATTTTCTGACTCCAGACAACTTGGTTCACTCATATCAACAGAACTTGGTTGTGGAACAAACTGAGTTGGTGTGAACTGTTCAGATTTGGTGGGATTGACAGATTCACACTTATTATCTGCACAAGTTATTTTTAACTTTATAAGGCACAGGTCCTGTACATTGAACAATTTGACCTGGTATCCATTTTTCCTTTCTCCCATAATTTCTTAGATACACATTCTCATTAACACCAAATTCTCTTTCAATGAATGTTTGTCATGATTTAATGGAACTATTTTTGAATTGGCATCTGAAAGTATTATGCTATTATTCAGATCCTTAATTGACATAGATTTCTTTGATTGATCAATTTTCTCAGGTAATCTGATAGTGCTTTCCTGGTAACCAAAAATACTGTTTATGAGTAATATTCTGGACCATATCACTTTGCAACTGTGATCCAGTATTTGAAGTGGGTGTATTAAATGGCAAAAATCTTTTTCTTCTTTTGATGTTACCCTTTTAGTTTCTGTAAGTGCTAAAGATGTTAGCAAAGTTGTTTGATGATCACATTCCTTCTTACTAATGTATTCTCTTTAAAACATTTGAAATTGCCATAACACCATAATCATTTATTAAGTTACAAATACTTTGTTTAGGCAACTCTGACTGATAATGGACTGCATCTTCTCCATCTTTTATATTATCTTCACAAAGGTTTTTATTTCTTATTTAATATGGCCTTAAGTCATCATTCACAGACTCTTCAGGCCAACCATTCTTACAATACTCATATACTTTTATTAAGCACTCATCTTTTTGTGTTTCTCTTTTAATATCATTCACATTTATATTGGAGTTATCCATGATAGTGAAGAGAACAAATACATCTTCTGGTACATAGCTCAGGCTTTGGTTTTTTAAAGGTAATCTACTAAGACTATCTGCACTATTCTCAGATCCAGGTTTGTATTTCAATTCATAATTGTATGCAGTTAGTGTGATATCCCATCTTTGAATTCTTGGTGAGGCATGCTCAGGTAGGGTTTTGTTTTCTCCAAATAAACCTAGCAATGGTTTATGATCTGTAAAGATGGTGAACTTCCTACCAAACAGAAACTTATGAAATTTCTTAACACCAAAAATGATGCCTAAGCCTTCCCTATCTAACTGAGAATAATTTTTCTCAGCCTGGTTCAAAGATCTACTGGCAAAAGCAATGGGTCTGTCACCCTTCTCATCCATGTGGGACAAGACTGCTCCTACACCATCTGGTGAAGCATCACATGTTAATATAAGTCTTTTCCCTGGGTCATAGTGAGTTAGTAAGGTGTCAGCAGACAAAGCCTCTTTTGCTGTATTAAAAGCAGCTTCTTGTTGTTTACCCCAGTGCCAAGTTGCATTTTTCTGTAGCAGCTTGTACAGTGGTGATAGTTTACCAGACAGATTTCCTATGAACTTTGCATAGTAATTTATCAAGCCCAAAAAAGCTCTTAGTTGTTGGGTATTTTCAGGTTTGGGTGCTTCTTTAATGGCTTTTGTTTTCTCAGGTTGAGGTCTGAGACCTTGCTTGCTTAATATATAACCAAGAAAACTAATTTCTGTCAGCATGAATTGACATTTATCTTTGTTTATCTTTAAACCTTTTTCACCAACAATTTTCAATACTTTATCAAGTGTTTTAAGATGTTCAGTGTCATTCTTACCAGTTATGTACACATTGTCAAAGTACACACAAACATTTGGAATGTCCTTAAAAATACTGTCCATGACAGCTTGGAAAATTCCAGGGCTGGATGATATGCCAAAACATAGTCTTTCATATTGGTAGAGTCCTTTATGTGTGTTTATTGTCGTATAGACTTTTGAATCTGGATGCAGTTCTAGTTGAGTGTAAGCATGACTAAAGTCTAATTCAGTGAATTTGTCTCCTCCTGCCAAATTCAAAGAGATTTCCTCAATGTTAGGTATAGGGTACCTATTTAGCTCTATTTGCTTATTCAGTGTAGTTTTATAATCTCCACAAATTCTTATAGAACCATCCTTCTTTAACACTGGCACAATGGGCGACGCCCAATCGGAATAGTCTACCTTCTTTATGATGCCATTAGATTCCAATCTACTTAGCTCATTTTCAATTTTATTCCTCATTGCATAAGGTGGAACTCTAGCTTTGCAGTATCTTGGATTTGTGTCTTTAATGCTTAACTTCACTGTTCTATCATTTAGTAATCCAGAGTTACCAAAAACACATTTATTTTCAGATATAACTTTATCTAGTGAAGTAAGGCTAGATTCTTTTCCATTGTTCAATGAACAAATACTCTCCCAATTTAACTTAAGATCACTTAACCAGTTCCTACCTAGTAATGGCGGTCCATTTCCTTCAACCACAAGAAGAGGAAGTTTAACACTTTGACCATTATAACTTACATGAACCATACACTCTCCTATTACCGGAACATTGTCACCAGTGTATGTTGTTAGACACTTGTGACATGGCTGTAGAGGCACTGATCCTCCTGTGACAGCGTCAAAATCTTTCTTTGTTATGACTGTTAGAGATGCTCCAGTGTCAAGTTGGAAGCTGATGCTCTTACCGTTGATATTAACTAGTACATTGATGGGAGCATGACTTATTGATTTCACAGAGAACAGGTTGAAATCCGGCTGCGAATCAGTTTGAGCATTTTCACAGGTAGAGTGGTTCATTGGTTGGGTTAGGTAGTCTTGGTGAGAGTTAACATAGTGCTGCTTTTGGTTGCGGTACTGTCTTGACTGGCTAGATTTAGCAACAGACGAAGACTTTGCAAAGCAGGCCTTGGCAATGTGACCTTGCTTACTGCACTTATAACAAGTTGCAGACTTGAACTTGCACCGATGAGATGCATGGGGACCTTTGCATCGATGACATTTTTGATAATTATTACTAGATTTAGATCTAGGATTTGAATGAGCAGGCTGTTTAACATAAGTTGGAATGCTCTGATGGGGTTGATGTTTATTGACTAACCTGCTGTTTACTGCATGGATCTCTGAAGGTGCTAGAGATTTTGCCGCCTCGGATGACTGCTGGAATAAAGTTGCGAGTTGTATTGCTTTTTCTAATGTTAGATCTGACTCAAGCAGCAACTTTCTTTGAACATCAGGGCTGTTTACACCTGTCACAAACTTTTCACATAATCTGTCAGACAGCGTGTCTCCAAATTCACAAAATCTACTTAAATGACGTAAAGCAGCAACATATTCTGATATTGACTCGTTTGGTTGACGAGTCCTACTGTCAAATCTAGCTCTACATAGAAACTTTGATGGGGTAGGCGCATGGTGGTCTGTTAGCAATTTGCTCAGCTCGTTAAAGCTCTTGGTAGTTAGACTAGCTGGTGCGCATAAGTCCTTTAGTAGCCTAAATTGTTGAGGCCCTATGACTGTTAACAACACAGCTCTCTTTTTGGCTTCTATCGTCACGTCGTTTGCTTCAAGGTAAAAGCTTAACCTATCTAGGTAATCCTGAATGATTTCATCATTCGAATCAAATTGCTTTATTTGGCCATACAGCGCCATTATTCTAGAAATAATTAGCCAATAAGCTCTAGCAAACCTCTTTTTTGCGTAAGTAGGTGCTCTTTCTAGTAGATCTTTATCCTCGTCGCCAAAATGTGATAGATTGACGATAGAAGCATGTGGTTGTATATAACGTTTATTGGGTCTAACTACATGTTGACAATCAGAGAGAGGAAGGAAGTACAATGCACAAGGGACATCACTCAAGATAACAATATAAATATAATACTAATACAGAAGAGTGAGTTCCCTTGACCTCACAATTATCTCAATCTATTACAGTCTATAAGATATATTTGTTGATACATTTCTTTCTTCCCCATTGGTTCCATCAGCCTAGAAGATATATTTGTTGAGTTTCAAGTGGACCTAATCATTCAAGCTCATGAACACAACTATGAGCGGCTATGGCCAGTTTACAATTGGGAGGTTGGGCCAAAGTCCTACATCAACCCCCCTCTGCCAGTTCAAATCATAACAGGGGCCGCCGGCAGCATAGAGAGAACGGATAAGTTTCTGAGAAACGCAAGTACGCTTTTTTTTTTATCTCTGAAACTCGGTGAAACGATTTCTGTTTTTCCTGCAAACTTGGTGCTTCGATTTGCCTGAGACTTTCCCATGTTTGAAATTGACGGGAATGTTGATAATATTTCTAAATTTAAAAATTCAACATAGATTAATTAATAATAGTTTCATATTTTCGATTGTACAATAACGTCTTTAAAGCTTCATGTGTCATTGTTTTTTTCCTTAGATGAATGGTCAGCGTTTCGTCTGGATAAAGATGCTTTCAATAGTTATGGACGTTTGTTAGTTAAAAATGCTAGCCACTTGTACTGGGAACAACGTTCTATTTATAACCACGCTAAACTGGACAGCATCTGGATTATAAAGGACCCAAAGGTTTAAGCCTAAAGTTGAAAATGTGCATGGAGTACACAAACACATAAAGAATAAAATGCTATGATAAACATATATATATATATATATATATATATATATATATATATATATATATATATATATATATATATATATATATATATATATAAATGAGCTACCTTGGGGATTTTTTCCTATTTGGGTGGGGGGGGGGAGGCCTAAGGTGACCATAGATATACAATATACCCTCATAAAATTGAAACATCCGGACGATCCAGTCGCATTAAACAGTTATATTACAAGATCGTTTCATTGAGTGTTGAAAATAAATAGTATATTCAAATATAAACATTGTAGATGAGGAGCAACAGTTAGAAGAATCGGTGATAATAGACCTATGGCTATGGTTAATTTTATCTTAATTTTCAGCTGATTAACTTGTAAATTCTAACTTGTATTTCCATCATTAAAATGCATAGTTTAAAATCTCTTTACGGGTTGTTGATTCATGTTTTGTCAACTTAGGGTAACAAATATATCCAGGTAGGTGGAAATATTACACTTTAAAAAAAAAATTACCTGAGCCCTTCAGAATACTAAAAGGCTGAACAAGATGCGGCGCACATATTCATCCAAATTTGACCTAGCCAGTTCGCAAACTGGCTGGCCAATGTTAAAAACAAGTTAATAAAAAGTCTAGTGACAATTTAAGCGCAATTTATTTCCTTATGTTATCTAAAAATAGCTCTGTCGTAGCGTAAAGCACACACGGGGACAAAACACGAGATTGAAAAAAAAAATGAATTCTTATCCTCCACGACCCCTCCTTCGCCTGCGGTTCGCGCAGTTCGCCGCTAAGCCAGCCAGGTCACATGATTTACCCTCCTACTCCTTCGCATTTCACTGCCTTCTTTGCTATATAGTACTGTAATTCATAAAAAATGTTTTAATAACAAGCTTTTATGTAATAATGCACTAAAAAGTAGAAAATAAATTATAGACTACTATTTAAATTACTATAAAGAAAAGCGTGGGTCTCTTCTCAAATATTAGTAAAGGTATCCAATCGGTACTAAAGTGACCCACGCTTTTCTTTATAGTAATTTAAATAGTAGTCTATAATTTATTTTCTACTTTTTGGTGCGTTATTACATAAAAGCTTGTTATTAAAACGTTTTTTATGAATTTTTTTTAAAGGTTTTTTGGCTTTTCCGGGAAATCCAGGAAGGAATTCCGGAATTTTTTTGGCCCACAATCATCCTCGGAACTTGCTTAACATATTTGCTTTGGAACTAGTCCTCGATATTGCTTCGTTGAGGAGGAGATACGACTTAAAGCTGCGGACATCCATTCCCAGAAAAGACGAGTTAATAAACAGAATGGAAATTGCGCTAAAAACAAGAAAAAGTGAGCGGTCAATGGGATCTGATATTGACCAGTGCGTGTATTGGTCGACTTCATCGTTACATATATTATGCCAGATAGAAAGTTAACCGGGTGGCGAAGCGGGTAGCTACGCCACTGGTCTGGTGCTATATCTTCTTATATCTATTAGGGCAGTGCCCCCATCCCGGAGAAAAATGGCTGCTGCTCTCGTATGCTGCAGAATGTGCTGGATATGAGACCTGCTACTTAGCCAGGGCTGAAACACTTTTTAAATATAAAATTCTGTTTTTAAATCTAATCCGCTGGCAAATGATGTTGATCTGTGTTGGTTATGAGGCAGTAGCGTAGCGAGGGGGGGGGGGGGGGGGGCATATGTCCCCGGGTGTATATAGCATAACTCTTGAAAAAAAGTTCATCTGGTGTTAGGGCCTTGCCAGTAGCGTAGCGAGGGGGGGGGTGACATATGTCCCCGGGCGCCGACCTTAGGGGGCGCCAAAATAGGTTGGAAAAATAAATTGAAAGGTTGAGGGGGTGCAAATCGAAAGTTTGAGGGGGGGGGGGGGGGTGTGCAAATGGCAATTCTCGGGGGGGGGGGGTGCAAATCGAAAGTTTGAGGGGGGTGCAAATCGAAAGTTTGAGGGGGGTGCAAATCGAAAAGTTTGTCCCCGGGCGCCGGGAAGGGTCGCTACGCCTCTGTTATGAGGAAAGGTCCAGTCAATTATTGATATAAATGGGTTTCAAATTGTTTTCTCAGTAGATTTTGGTATTTTTCGACTTGATGTCACCCCAATAAAATATAACGTGTCGCCTGGTGTAGGCCGCTCCCTAACCCCTTTGTGACCCTAGTGCGATAAAGCATCTTATGCCCTTACGCTACAAATACAATGCCCCCTCTAATAAGGCTCATATATCCCATGCAACTCCCCAGTGAGGAATTGGCGAAATAAAATATATGAGCCTACTTATAATTTGTCCGTTCCCCGGAAGTTTCAAGTGCCGGAAAAAAGTGCCTCTTCTCTGTGGGATCTATTACTACTTGTTTCTTTATAAATGTACATAGTTCTAAACTTTCGTTAATTAAAACAAACGAGCCGACCCGCGGCGTATCATACGCCGCTATTTAGTTGTTTTATTTTCTACTGTTCAGTAATTCATAATTTGTGAATTCGACAGTACCGCTGCTGTCACTGAAAATATTTGCTTTAAAACACTATCAGTAAGTCGGTAAGGACGATACCCCCCCCCCCCCCCGTGAAAGCAGCCTCCTATTAGCTACCTCACCTAAGTTTAAAATCGTTTCAAACTAAATTATCTGCCCCTAATAGCCGTCACTAAACCCCGCTCTACGAATGTAAACATTTAGCGTGAACCACAGCTCACCTGACCAGAGTTTCTTCCAGGCATCTCTTCGGGGTGGGAGGGGGGGGGGGGGGCGAAGCCTCCCCGAAAATATATATGTATATAGAAAATATATACTTTTAACAGTGTCCGCCCCCCCCCCCCCCCCCGAAAATATCAAGTGCCCCCCCCCCCCCCGGAGAAAAAAGTCTGGAAGAAACACTGCACCTGACTTCCTAGAGAGGAAGAGAGGGGACTGCAAGGCGCGCTTACAGCTTGTTTTCTAACGTCTCCAAGAAGAGTATTATATATATAGATAGATAGTAATGCAAATCGGGTGAAGAACAAAAGGCCGACAAGACAAAAGGCCGACATGGACAAAAGGCCTACAAATTATAAGGCCGACAGCCAAAAGACTGACAGTCAAAAGGCTGACTGACCATCAGGCTGACACAACATAATGCACACAAACTTAAAAATACTAATATCGCAAAATATGTGTTACTACATAGCTCCTATCTATACAATCATAGAAATAAGGCATGTAAAAAGGAGGAAATGTCAAAAGAAGAGACGATGCTAGTTACTATACTTATAATGTGAACCATCAGGTCCACATGGCTGGAGATTACGGGTGAGTCTTAAACACTCAGGATCAACACCTAAATATTGCGAACTGCAGTCACAGCTGTCTTTCATAGCTCCTTCTATGTCAATAAGGTGAGACGACCATCAAAGAACAAAGTCAAAAGCCGCCCACATGCAACAAGTCTGAACGCAAAGAGACAATGCTAGTAGCTATCCTTATAAGGTGAACAATGGGGTCCATGCAACTAGGGATGACGGGAGTTTACAAAGGATAAACACATAGGTGGCGTTACCTACATATTTCGCAAAGAAATGAAAAAAAAAAAATGAAGTTGACCGATCACGTGCCTTGGCCATACTATGTGTTAATACAACGAAAAATGTGAATTATATTTCAGTTTCGTCCATTGCAGATTGTGTAAAACAAATTGTATACTAAATTAATTGGGTTGATTGATTCTGTTGTGATTGTGATACAAGTGTGCCAAGAACATGGGAGAATGGAAGTTAGGGTGGATGTAGTATTGCTTGGTGAGCCACAAAAAGAACGAAAAAAAACAACAATATTTACAGAAAGAGGACAGAATAGCAAATTCATTGCAGAACGTGAAAACAGACTTGATTTTCCTCGTGCTATAGCATACAATTTATCATACTAGACCCTATTTTGTTTCTATGTTCTACGTTGTACTTTAACTTATCATTATGTAACTAGTTTTTAATTTTTAAAAATTAGCATGTCTGTAGTAATAGTAGTTTGTTGCTTTTTAAAACTTGTCGGGCTTTTGTCTTGTCGGCCTTTTAGCTATCGGCCTTATTTCCTGTCGGCCTTTTGGATGTCGGCCTTATTTCCCGTCTGCCTTTTCTTGTCGCCTTTTTGTCCATATCGGCCTTTAGTCCGTGTCGACCTTTTGTCCTTGTCGGCCTTTTGTCCGGATCCCATGCAAATCTAAGCAGCTTTGTCCTTAAACCTCACCAGATGCGGAGGGGGGGGGGGGGGAAATCTAACTCTTAGGGTTAGGTTAGGTTTGCCTGTCGCCCCTCCTGGGACATAGGCCGCTGACAAGAGCTTTCCAGGCGCGTCTGTCCTGGGCTAGTCTTCAACTGTTCCCAGGTGTCTTCTTCCAGGTCACGTCTCCAGGTCTTCCTCTCCTCCTCCTGCCCTGTGGATTAATGTTAGTTTCCAATACATATTGGTTTTCACCACCCTGCTTCATAAATTCTCCATCGGGAGATCCATTCTTCCCCTGGTCCGAGCTGTCTGTATTTCTCTTTGTCTGCGTTTCTGTAGCGAGTTGTTTTTTACGATATAAGGTTGCTGACCTTATGCTCAACCCCCTACCTGGAGGACCGGGGTGCTAGATTTCGTCAGAACCCATACCCGCGCAGACCTTCCCAGCTTGGTTGAACCTGTCAGGAGTTAAAACTCCCGCTGGTATAGCTCTGGGAGGTCGTCGAGGTAGCCTACACAAGCTGTCAAACCACGGCAAGGCCCAGCACCAGATGAACTTTTTTCGAGAGTTATGCTATATACACTAGTCTAATATTAGATTCTAATTGTCAAAGACTAGATCTAGATTCTAGATCTATATTTAAACAAATATTTATTAATTACACTTTATCTCGAGACAACAGTATGCCATTTATAAGCAGGCTACAGATATTTTTAAAAATAATAATTATTTAAAAATACAATGCAAGTTTGTTGTAGAAAAAAAAATAAAACAATAAAAATGCGACACTAATAAAGTATTATAAAAAAACAAAAACATGAAATTTAACTTCGATTGCCTACACGAATCAAAGATTAGAATCTAGATTCTAGATCTAGATCTAGAGTCTACCCATTCTCAACCGGTAGGCTACTTTCCAGTGTAACACTGTAGGCCTACTAATAATAATTTATTACACCAGACTGGTTGGTTAATAAGTTAAGAAGTAGATCTGTCTTGTATAAAATATATTGTGAAATATTTGTGTCAAATATTATAGATAACTCATTAGTATTAGCCTAACTGTAGTGTATAGTAAAATATATATTATAATAGGTAATCTATCGTTTTGGGTACGTAAAATCGCCCGCGACTAGTAATGTGAAAAACAGGTGACTCCTTACATTTTAATAATTATTTCACATTTTGAGGAGGATTTATGTTTTGAAAAATACAAAAATGTTTCCTTGTTTCATTTATGTACCTGTTTTTAAACAATTGAATTAAAACTTTTCAGTAATAAATGAACACCAGCGATGTTTCCAACAGATGCAACCATGCTCATTTACTATAGCAGCCATCTTGTTAAAGTTTTATTTTTATAAGCTTTTAGCGGGAGATTCAGGGGGAAGTCACTCTATTTTACAAATGGCTGCTGTTTATATAGCAAATCTTGATTGCAGACACTGCTGTTTAAAGTTAATTTCTGGCCTATATTGATATATTTAGCCATTGAATTAGGTTTATTATTCATTTATCTATAATATTTGACACAAACATATCACAATATACTTCTATTACAGCCTTGACAATGAGGTAACGTTTTCGTACATTAATAGCCGCGGGCGATTTTACGTACCCAAAACGATAGATTACCATTATAATATATATGACAATTAACTTCTTTTAAAGCCTTGACAATGAGGTAAGGTTTTCGTACATTAATAGCCGCGGGCGATTTTACGTACCCAAAACGATAGATTTCCCACTTATTAAATTATTAAATTCTCCTCAAAATATGAAATAATTATTAAAATTTAAGGAGTCACCTGTTTTTCACATTACTAGTCACGGGCGATTTTACGTACCTAAACGATAGATTACCCTAAATACTAAAAACAGGGTAATCTATCGTTTTATTTGTTTTTGGCTTTTTTGTTTACAAAACTTTGCAGATAAAGTTTTTAAATTACAATGCAAATTTAAACCCCATGACCTAGTTCTCCCTTTTTTTCGCGTACAATTTGTACAATAAAATTTGTGGTAGCTGGTATCAAATAGCAGGATGCCATTGTTTATGTCGCCATTACACTTGAAAACCAAATTTGTATATTTTAAAATTTTTATTTAGTTGCCGAAAATATTAAAAACATCAAATACATCCAATCTTTGGTAAATTCCGATAAAAAACCCAACAGACAGGATTTTATAACCATATTAAATTTAACTACTAAATATTTAATGGGCCTATCGAATACCTTTGAGACTTTACTCGCAAGGGTCCATTAGAAATGAAGGTAATCTATAGTTTTAGCCTAAAACTTTTAAACATTTTTGTAACTTTCAAAATATAAATCCTCCTAAAAATGCGAAATAATGATGACTAAAATTTAATGAGTCACCTTTGTTTTCACATTACTAGTCTCAGCCAATTTTCCATCCCTAAAACGATAGATAACCTAAATGAATACTACTGTAATACGGCATAGGGCCCATAGGCCTTAATAATAATTATTTATTAATTACTTTACTTACTAGGGTGTCGGCGTGGTCGAGTGGGTAAAGCTCTTCGTTGCTAAACCGAAAAGTCTCTAGTTCGAACCCTCGGGCAGATGAGGCTCGTTAGCTGGGGACAGCCACTCTTCTAGGAGAGACAACTCCAAAATCAAACAACTGCTGCCTTGTAGTTTGTTCTTGGTTGGACAAAGGCTATGAAAGCAAATCAAAAAAGAAAAGCAGGCTGAAATCGGAGTCAATGGCCTCAGTGGCGCATAACCAGTTGACACGTATCCTTAATTGTGTTGGAGGGTGATCCCTTCCAACACTAAAATTAAGAACAAAGAAGAAGAAGAATTACTTTACTATAGGCCAGAACTATTAAAATAGGCCTGTATATTTTAATGTTATACTTGTTTGAGAAAAATAATTTATAAAATAATTATTGCCCCCACCCCCAAAGAGATGCCTGAAAGAAACAACATGCAGACCACTTTTAACTTTTATTGGACCAATAAATTATTATTATTATCAAGTATCCATGACATTATTTTTGTGGCGTTTCGTTTTGAAAATTTCCTATTTTTTCCATGTGATGTCACGGCCGATGGAAGAATTACTTTTTGTTTGACTGTGAAAGTTTTTATTTTGCTTGTGTTTTCTCTAGACAGAATAGCAAGACTATTATAGTATCGGACATCAGTACCCTTAATCATCAACTATTATTATATTAGGCTAATAATATTAATATTCATTACCTAGCAGAGTAGCTGAGGTTGTAAATGTGTTTTTTTTAATTATTTTAAAAAAGTGTCACATCTTTCACATCAGTTATTTTTTTTTAGCCCTAGTTATAAAATTTACTAGCAACACATTAGAATGTAGAAATCTAGTAATAACATCAACAAAGATGATTGACTCATGATAATTTCAGGGTTAGATCTCCTAATTTGTAATTTATTCATTTCAACAGTATGCCTGTTTGAACTCTTTCATTTGTATTTTCATTTCAGAACTCAGAATGACTAGATTTGCAAAACGTGGTTTTGACAACAGAAAATTAAATGAAGCAACACCTTGGTCAGAACTAAAAAAAACAAAAAGACAAGGTAATAATAGTAACTTGTAGAAAATGCCATGAATTTGGATGTGTATGCACAATATTGAACACTAATCTATGCATATGATACATAGATGGATAGCCTGGTTGCTTCTCTAGCTCAGCTTAATGAACACCCTGAAAACCTGCTTTACATAGTTGTACTTACATGGCAAAGTGATCAAAATCAAAAAGCAAAGATCTTCAAATAAAATTTCATTATTTGTGCATTTTTCTCTAGTTTCATATACAGGAAAACATTTTTTTTTCCTATAGATAGTGTCTGGATGGCTCGCTTACAATTCTAAAAAGGCACTAGAGTGTTGCTTTGGTTATACAGTTTTTTAAACATTACTGACATCAGTATATTGTAATTTATCTTCTGATAAAGACATTTGATTGGTAATTTAGGTAAATCAAATTTTAAAGACCAGAGACGAGAAGATAGGCGGTTAAAGAGGCAAGAAGATCGTAAAGCTGCAAAAGTAAGTATTTAACATTCTGTTTTGTCTATCAATACTACCATAGCTGTTTTTTCTAGCTCATTGATTTTCATATTTAGAATTTAAAAAAAAAATTTTTTTGCATAAACTTTGTTAGGTGTGCTTTAACTGTCGAGGCCCTGGACATCAGATGTCAGAGTGTCCATTTTTATCAGAAACAAACCAGCAGGGCATTTGTTTCAAGTGTGGTTCAACTGAACACTCCTCTTCTGTTTGTGCTGCCAAAATACCCAAAGGTCTGTTGTCCTGTTTCATATACTATACACAGTAAGATGTATTCTGTGTTGTCCTGTTTCATATACTATACACAGTAAGATTATTCTGTGTTGTCCTGTTTCATATACACACTAAGGTGTGTGTTGTCCTGTTTCATTTGATGTAAATTGAACATAGGTCTTTAGTTATAGAATGTAAAATTATCACTGAACTCCCTATGAGAGGGATTTCATCAATTGTGAATATAATAGAAGCCTTTTTCCTGTAAAAAAAATTATGAAAGGATTATTTCTACTTTTTAGTCATTTGTTTAAAATTAGGTTGACTTTGCTTAGACTACAACTAAAAATATTTGTTTAAATCCACCCAGTAGCTTGTGATCTCTAAAATTTTGTTATCTGCCCCTATTTAATAACTGGTTAATGATAGGGCATGAAATCAGCTGACAGTGAAAACAGTTCACCCTGGCATTAAGTGATTGCTAGTATTTTATCTTGTTATCTCCCTTTTTTATTATCGAATCTAGTATTTTAAAATTGAATGACTAATTGTCTATCTAATTAGATTAAAAATTAGATATTTTTGCATTGTCATCTAAAATCTATCACGTGTCTAATGTCAGCTAAATCTGAAGAGGGTTAAATCAACATTCCAAGATTTGCTGAGCTACACACACACTTGATATACAATATAAAAGCCTTTAAATTATATTAAAATTTGATCTGAGATACCTCTTCATGTCACAACTTTTTATTATGTTGCAGGTTCTTTTCCATTTGCACAATGTTTTGTTTGTGGAGAAAAAGGTCACATTTCAAAGCAGTGTCCAGACAACCCTAGAGGCTTGTATCCAAAAGGTAGTGTTATTGTTACACTGGTCAGTTAAGGCAGTTGTTTGATGCATGATGGCTGCAACTACATTTGGCGGCGATGCTCAACCTAGATGTAATATTTTAGCTTTTATTTATCTGGGAGGCATGCAGATCAAATACTTTACAATTCATCTGATAGTCACTAAAATGACTAAGACTTAAATATCCCTCCTTTAATTTGTCTTGTGGAGCCCTTGCGGGATATGATTAGGACCCCAGAGTTCTCCAGTGGCTATCTAAGCACCAGGGATCGGTAGATTGGGCGTCCTGCACATGGGGTTAGGGATTGATTCAGTGGTCAAAATGCACCAGGTGTGTGCCTGGGGATCGGGTAACCCAGAGCACACTGAGCTCCTTAGTCGCCTACATTTGTTTTAAAGAACACCCTACAATAGGACATGATGAGCCACTATATTTGATGACTAAACTGAAGCAGAGGATGCACCCTACCACTGCGGTATTGTAACCTCACTAATACTGAGGCTGATTAACACACTGAGGCTTTGATACAGCACGTCCTGGGGGCTAGTGGGGACAAAACTGGCCCAAACAACTCAGATCCAAAAAATATGGTGCCGACATTTAAAACTTTCAATTTTAAAAAACATGGTCAAGTGTCTAAAAATACACTTGGATGAAATCCTCTTATGATTTAGCAACAGCCTTTTTCTGATATCGCAGTGGTGCACACACTAGTATATAATAAAACTAATCTTTAGATAACAAAAGAAAAACAAGACAAGCACCAAAGCAATTGCAATCATTTACTTTAAACTTCCAGGAAGTATGATGATTTTTTTGTTTTACTTTGTGTGTTTACAAGATATATAGCAGATTAAACTTTTTGTTTTACTTTGTGTGTTTACAAGATATATAGCAGATTAAACTTTTTGTTTTACTTTGTGTGTTTACAAGATATATAGCAGATTAAACTTTTTGTTTTAAAGGTGGATGTTGTAAACAGTGTGGATCTGTGGAACATCTGAAAAGAGATTGTCCAGAATTTTTACAAAAAAGAGGTAAGAATAATTTTATAAAAAGACCTCTTAGTACTTCCTTCTATTAACATTTTACAGTCCTGTATGGCCTGGCAAAGAGACAGCATATTTTTCTCCGACTATGACACTTCAAAAAATTTATTTAAAAATATCCAATCCACATATATTTTTAGAAGTAAAACAAAAAGCAATATGAAGGTAAATAATCTAAATTAACAAATAATTTAAAAAATAATATCAGTCCCAAAAAACCATTAAAAACCCTCATTAACTACTATTATTTTAACAATAGCAGTTATTTATAGTGAAATAACAAAAATTCAACACAAAGTAGCCTTTTAAACTACTTTCTTTAGTAATATCACTATATTAGTCACGGTACAGTATAATAAAAAAAAATAATTCAAAACTATAAAAAAATTGTAGAAAATGGACTGCTAGTAATAGAACATTTCCTGCTCCAACTGGTATATAAAAAAATCTCGTTATTTGCTAGACTTCCATTACTAAATAAATATATTGGATTGATGAAATGACTTTGTGTACAGTACCTGACAAATATGAATATGTTGTAAAGTTTCTCTTTTGTTATATTTTAGTGAATACAGAGATGACAGTTGACACAATAGAGATGGGTCAAAGTGCTGATGACCAACCTTCCTCGTCACATTCAAAATCCCACAGTGACACAGGCACCAGTATAAAGAAAACAGCCAAAGTTGTCAAGTTTTAAGTTTATATTTGGTAAATGGAATAAAATTTAAAGTATTACACTTACTTTGAGGATTTTTGTTTTTACAAATAAAGTAAGAAATAAATAACAATTTATTAAATCACTAACACAATTTTAAAGAAAGTAAACAATTATAAAAAAATCTATTTCTATAAATTTAGTGATCAGTGCTTAAATCGTAAGTCATTAACTGTTAGTATTCTGGCTAAAAATTATGTATGATTATTTTCTTATTTGCATTAAAAGAGATGCTATTCTAAAGGTTTTTAGGCATGTTTCATATTCTGTACTAAAGTATTTTGAAGATTTATAAGAGTTCATTTACCATATTTTAATTATCCTTTGCTAGCTGATGATTCATGAGACAACACCCCTCATGGCTAAACCGTTTCTCTCTAAATTGAATCAATGTAGCTAATAATCCTAACTTCAGTAATTCTATTGGGTTGGTAAAGCTCATGGTTTCGAAACCAAAAAGTCCTGAGTTGAAAAATTGGGCACATGAAACTTGATACTTGGGGGCCGCAACCCTCTAGGAAAGACAACTTCAAAATCAAGCAACTGCTGCCATGTAGTTTGTCCTTGAATGGACATAGGTTGTGGAAGCAAATCCAGTAAGAAAAGCAGGTTGAAATCTTTTAACAAGTTTACACGTAATAATTGTGTTACAGCAAAACGCAACATTACAATTGAGGATGAAGAAGATGAGTAGTTCTATTGAATGACCTCTCAGATGTGAACTTGTGTCTAAGATTTGTAATTGTTTGAGATGAACACCAGCCTGACACCACTTCCTATTTAATCATCACCCTTTTTTGAGTATGGTACTCTTAATGATTATGTTCATATTTTATGATTAATTTAACATCCAGAATACTCTTATTGTCATGGACACAAACAAATCTGGAATGTTTGAAAGAAGCTGCTCCATCAGAACTAAATCAAAATGGAGTTACAAATTTTGACAAGAAAAAAAAACAACTCTTTCATACAGACTAAGGAATAATTTGCGAACTTGACAGATTTTCCTTTAAAATGTATCTTTGTTCAAGTTACTGTATTTAACAAATGAAAATGTAAAAAGAAATAGTAAACCAGTCCTTGTGTGCTGAGACCAATGTGGTATCAAAACAAGGTACTATGGCTACAGAATTCATTTTTAAAAAACCCACCTATACTAATAACATCTAACAAACTAAAGCTGTACTTTCATGACCAGAGTCCGCCTGAAGAAGCAAGTATGTGTTATCTGTTTTTATTATCTTAACACAAGAGGCCCCCACTGTGACCATTGGATTACACTGTACTAATAATGTCTTCAACAGCAATTCAGAATGAGCTGTTTTTTTCTCAGTTATAATTATTATAAAGCAAGTGTTCTCAAGCCTCCGACTGCAATATAAACTGTAATGAAATGAGTGCCTTTACTTAAAAACTTTTAGACTAGCTGTTGAGTGTTAATAATGTTTGGGCAATCAGGTATCTCCCAGCTAGTACTTTAGTCCACTAATCTTGTTATCACACCTGAGCCTATAAGTAAATACTTGAGATAACTTGCTGTCGGAGTTCATCCAGGTCTGTTCTCTATAGGTGATATGACCAACAGTTTAAAAGTCATTTCCCAATGCAAATGAATAGCAAATATAAATGAAACCTTATTTTAAAAATATTCATAAGTCATCTTGTTTCGTAAAATCTTGTATGATGTACTGGTAGATGACATAACGAATGTTAAAATTAGTGCGGTTATTGTAATATTAAAACTTGAATGAAACCTCAGCTATATAACCTAAAAGTAATCATGTAAAGACAATAGAGTATTATCACATATAATACCAAAACAACCATCAATAAATGTAAAATTCAAATAATTATGTAATTTTTTTAAAGAATAATTAGTATTTACTATTAATTGAGCCAAAGTTTGACCAAGGGGAAGTAAAAAAAAATGAAGGTGAAGTAAAAGATACCTGTTTTAAGGTACAATTAAGATGTGATTCTCTTTTGAAGACTAATGTATGTAACATCTTTCATATCTAAGTGAAAATAAACAGCCACATTCAAAGCCCAGACACACCATACACCTTGCTGTGTGCATGGCTTGTCCCCAGGTTAAATTTAAAAACTGAAGATACATTTAGGAAAGACAAGCGTAGAGAGCAACAGTGGATGACACAAAAGGAATTTTTGTACACATTTAAATGCAGTCAGACTTTTTCTTTTTTTACAATTGTCATCAAATACAAATCTTAAATGATTTCTGCATGATAAAATTAAAAATCAATACAAATGGATCAATAAATCACATAAAATTCATAACAATACAAAGTAAGTTTTGCATATAAAAATCTATTGAAATTAGGATTGCAGGATAAAGATACGCATCATGTACACAGAGAGAAAAGCACTACACTATCTAATAATTACTTGATTTATATCAAAGTGTGTCACTTTTTATTATTTTTTAAAGTTTAAACACACTTTATTCTATAACTTCTATTACGACCAGTAGTTTTTAAACCACTTAAAAATTCCTCATAACTTTGACCGTCAAGATATTGATTGTAGCAAACCTTAGAGCCCACACCATTTTATTATGCTCAAAATAGCTGATATTGAAAATACATCATATTGCATCTTAGGGTTGCACATGAAATCTCAGGAGGAATGAAGTTAAACACATACAATTTATTTTCTTTTGTTTGCTAACATCTGTATAGTTTCCTTAGCTGCAAAGATTAGAAAATGTTTAGTACAATTATATGTATAGTACAACATAAAGTTTAATTTTCAAAGAGATTTAAATAATACTGAGTAACTTTTATAATGAAGGCAATAACAAAATTGGGAAGTTAGAAATACATGGTTGAAAGAATCAGAAGGATTAGAAACTAAACACAAGATTTATTTTTGCAAGGTACAAATGCTGTGAAATTACTTTCCTACATAAGTAAATTCTTCCAGCTTTAACACAGATTGTTTTACAAATAAAAAATAGAGTAAAATATTTGTTGATACTAGGATTGTGCTAAGCCTGCATCTGCCTCAGTTAATATTGAAAGTTCACTCTCTGTCAGCTCTCTGGCTCGTAATGGGCCTAGGTCATACTTTCTAAGGTGAATCTAAAAATAGAACAAGTCGCCATCAGTAATATTATACCAGAAAAAGTTATTGTGTTATTTTGATTTTTAAAAATAAAAATACATTAGTACAAAGTGGCAAAATAACGAACAGAAGAATGAAATAAAGTTAGCAATACTGAAGCATTTATTATTCTTGGCTAATTCAAAAGCTTGTTAGTTAGAAATGTAGTTTTCAACTGTGAAAAAAAATCCATAAAAAAACATTTTAATAACAAGCTTTTATGTAATATTAATAATGCACTGAAAAGGAGAAAATAAATTATTTTAAATATATTTAAATAACTGTAAGGAAAAGCGTTGGGTAACTACATTATCTATTGAATACCTTAACTGCTATCAATGATTTTCTTTACTGTTATTTGAACTTAAATAGTAGTGCATTATTATATATTTAAAGAAAATCACTTATTTTACCCTTTTTATTGCATTCTTACATAAAAGCTTGTTATTAAAATATTTTTAATGCATTTTTTTTTTCAGTACTTTAAAAATTTTAATATGATAGTTTCATGACTAAAAACAATTGTGCATCAAATGAACATGATATAAATTGTGTGTACAATAGTGTGGAATAGTAGTAGCAGGACTGCCTACTATTTTCAGAAAATTTTAATAAATTCATAAAAAAAATAATTAGGCATCCAATTATGTCAAATTTAATGTTATATTGCATTGTCTTCAAGTCTAGACCGACGTGCTAACTTTGAAATGATTCTGTCAGTTAGAATTACTTGAAATTTGGCTTGCCTGTTTTGATCTATGATGACAGATAAACAATAGCATGACAGACAGAGGTAACAAGTTAAATAAAAGCTTGTAAAAATGAATAGTGACTACTGGTTTACCTGAAGAAAAACATTAACATCTGAACTCTTGCTAAGATACGGAAAGTTTCCACCATTTTTTAAATGTGCCCTTTTGGCTTCTGGGTAACATTTACACATTTCATCTCTTACACTGGCTGACAAGGCACATTCATCAAAAACCTGTGGCAAAATATTAGGTCTAGATAAGTAAGAGCAACAAAAAGAATCATGATGAAAGATACTTTGATGATGTCATTCACATATTATGAACTGTACTTCTTTTGCCACTAGGTCTGTAATTACAAAAATGTAATGTGAAATTACTTACATCCATTAATGTTATATCCACATCTCTAAGCTTTTGTGGTTCAACATAGCAGTTCATACAGTTCAAGGTTAACCTAGATGCTATAGCTTGTTGAGACATACCATCTAGCTGAAATAAAGTTCATTGCTTACAACATTCATTGTTCTTCCAATTATTATACAACATAAAAATTATTGCTTAACCCTCACCCTAAGTTGTTATTTACCACTTTGTCCTTGAAAATAAAGATGCTAAAAAAAAAGGTTAATTTTCATTATAATTTCATTAATTAATGAGTGGTAGGTGGTTGGAACTTTGTGATATCCTTTCAGCGGTGCGATCGGCTTTACAAGATGTTGCTGGGTGGGAAGATCACCTAAAGTTGTGTCACATGATCATTTACAGACACTCCCTAATGTTTACATCTTTTCAATACTGTTCATCTATGTGTATACAGTGTTGTTTTCACAGAATTGCATTTTTCAATTATGCATATAGCTTTGCTGTAAGAATCTGCTTTATAATCTCTAAAATAAAATTCATAGTTCATAAAAGGCATGGCAGTATAGTTCAGTCTGGTTTGGTTTTGAGCCCAGTCCACAGCTGACCACTAATCAGGCCCAATCCACAGCTGACCAGGCCCAATCCACAGCTGACCAGACCCAGACCACAGCTGACCACTAACCAGACCCAGTCCAAAGTTGACCAGGCCCAGTCCACAGCTGACCAGACCCAGACCACAGCTGACCAGACCCAGTCCACAGCTGACCACTAACCAGACCCAGTCCACAGCTGACCAGACCCAGACCACAGCTGACCACTAACCAGGCCCAGTCCACAGCTGAACAGACCCAGACCACAGCTGACCAGACCCAGACCACAGCTGACCAGACCCAGTCCACAGCTGACCAGACCCAGTCCACAGCTGACCACTAACCAGACCCAGACCACAGCTGACCAGACCCAGTCCACAGCTGACCAGGCCCAGTCCACAGCTGACCAGACCCAGTCCACAGCTGACCAGACCCAGTCCACAGCTGACCAGACCCAGTCCACAGCTGACCACTAACCAGGCCCAGTCCACAGCTGACCAGACCCAGTCCACAGCTGACCAGACCCAGTCCACAGCTGACCAGACCCAGTCCACAGCTGACCAGGCCCAGTCCACAGCTGACCAGACCCAGTCCACAGCTGACCAGACCCAGTCCACAGCTGACCAGGCCCAGTCCACAGCTGACCAGACCCAGTCCACAGCTGACCACTAACCAGACCCAGTCCACAGCTGACCAGAACTGACAAGACCAATGAAATTGTTTAAGTCATCTAAGCCTCATTCTGGATACACTCAATGTTTTATAAATAATCAGATTACCTTTTCCACCATGAAATCAATGGAGTCAACAATATCAGAATCCGAAGTTTTTCTTTCAAAGCTCCCCATCACCATTTTCTTAAGGTATACTGCAGGCATCATCCAGAATCTGTAAAATAAAATTGGAACAAATGCAAGCCACCTTCCTGAAACCTGAAACTTGCTGATCTCTGAGATACTATTTAGTTATTATTATTTACATTTTTTTAAAAGCTTATAATTGATTGTACTGTAGTAAAGGTTGTTTTTAAAAAAAAATTACTTGTGCTATGATAAACTAGTATCAAGAAGTGTTTAATACAACAAAACTACAGCAATATAGAGGAGAGTTTGATAGAAACACGACCGACATACAAAAATAAAACAATATCAACTTACGTTGGGGCAGAGTTTGTTTGCTGAAATATTGTAGTATCATAAAAAGCATTGCATAGAATTAATGATGCCACTCGAGGAGATCTAGCACTGTGTTCCGCAAATTTTTGGGCTAAGAATCCTCCAAGTGATGCTCCAAAGATATGAACCTACAGACAAACAATAATGTACTTATTAGATAAGGTATTGAAATTGAATGAGGTGATTGGGTTATGTGTGATAGCTGCTGATATCAAGTACAAGAAGTTGAAGCAGGAATGTAGAAAAAAAAAAAATCACTTAAAATTAAATACCAGTCCATTTTTTAAGAATTGTATTAATTGTATTTTGCTAATTCTATAAAGACATGCTGTGATTTTCAGAGAAACAAAAAGATGATACCAATGCTTTTAAATGCTGGTTTTAAAATATTGAAAATTAAATAACTTACCTTATCTAATACTAAATGGTCCAAAAGCTTTCTGAATCCTTCAACAAATTCTTTCATGGTCCAATATATGGGATATTCAACCTGTAAGCAATCATTTTTTGAAAAATGTTTTGTTGTTATTTCTTCTAATAACCAATGTTAAGTAATAACATACTTTTTCTAAATATTAACCAAATTAAATTAGCTGCATAAATCAGTTAAAAATGACATACATGTAATGTATAGGATTATTATGGGCATGGGCAGGTGATGAATACTTAATGGACACCAGCGAGAAAAGTCTCAAAGGTATTTGAGAGGTGTATAAATTCATTTAAAAATCATGCACAGCGTAGTTACAATTAATATGGTTATAAAATCCTGTCTGTATGGGTTTTTTCGGACTTTACTAAAGATTGGATGTATTTGATGTTTATATTTTCGGTAACTAAATAAAAATTTAAAAAAAAAGCAAAAACAATTTGGTTTTCACGTGTAATGGCGACATAAACAATGGCATCCTGCTATTGGATAGGCCGCCATTGACTTTATTGTACACATTGTAAGCTAAAAATAGAAAACTAGGTCATGGGGTTTTAAATTTGCATTGTTATTTAAAAACTTGATCTGCAAAGTTTTGTAAACAAATAGTTATCGATCACTAAGTTACTGTACAGCCAATCAATATTTGTCTTACGAAAGTGAAACATCCGGTTATAACTTAGGTTTGATGAAAATAAATAGAAATGTAGCCTTAAACTCAACAAATTATTTTCAAGTTCTCTTAATTTTTTTTCTACCTTTTCAACATCAAATAACTCAAAGACGGCTTATGCGAATTCAATAAAAACTTACAGGATTATAGAGGCACATGCTTGTAGCAATCCTGATGGATTACATTTTCAAATACATTGATTTTACAGTTATTTTTTTGGAAAATCACTTTAAACTTTAAAGAAATCTAAATTTGAGCAAAAAATTCACCATTTTAACTGTAAAAGAAAAACCATAGTAACATAGTAACATGTTAAAATGGTAAAAAGAAATCCATGATGGACACCATCACCATGGCAACAAGAGGACATTTTCAGCCATTTCTAAATTTTTAGACTTAACTCTTTGAGTAATGACTATATGTTAGATGTGATAGCATTAGGTTTTGAAATAAGCACTTTGGCTAATTGGTATTAATCACCCGCTCATTCCTTTAAAGAAAAAACTAAAAATTATCATAAATATAAAAACAACAATTTTGTCTACAAAGTTTATTGAGAAAATTATAAAACTTACTGCTATGACTCTATAACCCAAAGCAGACAATCCAAGGATTTGACGGAAATAAACATCTGCTGTTCCACTTGCTGGTGGAAAACATATTAAAGGACTTTTTACTGTCTTTGGACCAGCTTCATAAAGCGTCCATTCTTTACTATTATCATCGTCAACAATAATCTGCAAAAATTAAAGGAGAAAATAAAAACTGAAATGAAGCACAAGAAAATTGTGAGTTATTGCAAAAGAAGAAATAACTTACTTTTCTTTGAGGAATGGTACTTCTGAAACTCAAATACTCAGGAGATCTTGCTATTTCACCCATTATCAATATCTATATGAGAAATTGAAGTTATTAATCATTTAATTTTTTTGGTAGAAAGTAAATATGTTGTATGGTATACTTTTTACCATTTGAGTATTAAAATATTATCATTACCTAAAATATTATTATTATTACCTAATTTAGTACTGAACTATAAAGCATACAGAATAATAATGTAAGACAGGTAAAAATTAAATTTTCAAGTGTACAAATACTAACATACACAATACTACTGATAGTATATTAATAAGCTATATTAGTTAACACTAATACTACTTCAATTTTGTAGTAACTAAATGAGATAATAGACATCTTTACCACAGCAACCTTTAGATGAAGTCATTAGGCCGACTACTTTTATTATTAAATTTTATTATTTAGGGCCTATTGACAATACTTGTAAATTTTCAGATTATCATTATCAAAATGTAAGAAAACTAGGCCTGATGGAATTCAAGCTTTGGTCATGTGTGTCAGCAAATAGTAAACATTTTGAAAACCCCACTTCATAGTAATTTGTTCTCAAAACTTTGCAGGTAAAGTTTTTAAAATAAATAATTTTTTTTAAACCACATGACATAGTTTTGCTATTTTTGTATAGGCCTACATTTTCTGTGATAAAAATATAAACAAACAGTTTTAGGTTTTTTTTTAATTTTGTTTCTTTACCAAAAATACTAAAAACATCACAAAGGCTACATCCATTAATAAAATCATGTATGATTTTTAAAATATACAAAATTGTCCTTTCAAAAAATTTTGAGACTATTCTCGGTCATATCCATTAATTTTAATTAATATGTCTAACAATTAGTATAAACCCGCAACATAGCATATGCCGCCATCTAGTTGTTTTATTTTCTGCTTATCAGCAATTCATAACTTGTGAATATAACACTACCCCCTCCCGCCCCATTGAAAACAGCCGTTTACATACAATGAAAAGATCAATCTGAATCAGAAATTGTTACCTCCCCTTCGTCTCAAATTGTTTTATACTAAATTATTTGCCCCTAATAGCCGTCACTAACCCAGCTCTAAGATTGTAAACATTGAGGTCGAGTGGATATGTGTGTGGCTGTCATGCTGGATGTTGCGGGTTTGAACTCATCAAATGCCTTCTTATTTGCAGGAAAAAAGCGATGGAGTCAAAAAAATTTTTTTTTAATTTTGTCAATATGATTGCAGGATTCTCATTAACTCGGGGGTGCTCATTGATCCTCTAATAGTTTGGTGAGCTGTGGTTAACACTAAATGTTTACAATCGTAGAGCCGGGTCAAATTAGTGACTACTATTAGGGGCAGATAAGTTTTTAAACGATTTGAAACTAAGGGGAGGTAATAACACATTCTGCTTGATCTTTTCATTGTCGTCTGTAAACTGTTGTCATGGCAGCTGCTTTAATGGAGGGGGGTGGGGATGGAAAGTGAGGGTGAGGATAATCATCCTTCACGAGCTACTTATAGTGTTTTAAAGCACACAAAAATTCAGGCGCAGCATTGGTAGTGTCAAATTATTAATTAGGGCCTACTGAAAGTAAAAAATAAAACAACTAAATAGCTGCGTATGCTACATCGCGGGTCGGCTCGTTATACATTCAATAGGCCCTAATCTATAAATATATTTATAATATATTTTAAATTTATCTAATTCCCAGTTGTATACTATTTTGCATGAAATGATAGCTGAATGGCCTTGGAATAGCCCCTAGATCTAATCTAGATCTGACTAGATCAGGACTAGATCTAGATTTTTAGATCTCAGATTGACATAGATTTGTCAATTTGTGATAGATGATACATAACTGTCATACAGATACACTCAAGAGTCAGACTGAGATACTAGATCTATATTCTATAGTAGTAGTAGTTCTACAGTCTCAGACTTCACACTTCAGTCAATGATAGAAGAATGATAGATCAATAAAATAATACTCAATAATTTTATGCACACATTTATTATTTTATAATATGATAACCTACACTCTATACTAAAGTAAGCGTAAGTTCTGAAAGTTGACACTCATTTAGATTCATTACTGTACAGCATTATGTAGATGTAGAATTCTAGACCTAGATCTAGACTAGTTAAGAATCTAGTCTAGTGATTACATTTTGCAAGTAACCGGAAGTCATTTGATTTGCACTCAAATCTATAATTAGATCGCTCAGTTTAATGTAAATTTGGACCTGTTTTGATATAAGCTTTATTTTCTACTGCTGAAACAAGTTCTAGAAAAATAAATTATGTGACCCTTGAATTTAAATATAGCCTTTGGTTTTATTTAGAACTAGATCTAGGCCTAGATTTGCACTAATATACCGGGAAACATTTAAAACTAGTTTTGAAAATTAAAAATTAGCGTTGACGCAAAAGGTAATATAAAAAGGGGCATAATTTAATATGGTCAGTTTTTTTAATCTGATCCTGGACAAAGCAAAGGCGTAGCGAGCGGAGGGTGGGTGGGGCGGCCGCCCCGGGCGCCGACACTAAGTGGGCGCAAAAAAGGGTAGAAAAATATATAATAAAAGCTCATTCTAAGCCTCATTACTGAATGATCCACTGTCGAGGTTAAGAAAATAGACTGCTAACTGCCTTTACGGACTTATTTAACTGTTTTTAACGTGATAAAAAGAGAAAGTAGCTCCAGACATCAGATTGGGTCACTACGCCTCTTGGGTAGAGGCGTAGTGATCCATTCCGATGCCTAGGGCGAATTATTAATTTTGTGCCCCTCCCATTTAAATTATATTTATTCATGTTAGTGAAAAGTCCCCCCACCCCGGCTTTTTACCAGTCACTGCTTTTATTGTTTTGGTGCGACACTTTGACTGTGTACAGCTCAATACCTCAGGTGGGGGGGGGGGTGCGCCCTTCCTAGCTACGCCACTTATCCTGGGCATGTGTTATGTTTATTTAAGTTTTCTTCTACTTTCAGGCCGACGTTATTTAAACTTTAGGCTTATTAGTAATAATTCATTACTCTGTATTAGTTAATTAAGGCAACTAAGTCTAAGCCCTAGAGTTAAAGAAAAATATAGGTGTGGTAGGATCAACAACTACTTTCATCTAGATTAGTAGATAGGCCTACCATTTAGAAATTTTAGTTTTTTTTTCATTAGGCTAAAATTTATATTTTATCATTGTCTGTAACACTAACAGTAGGCCCAGTAAAAATGATGAAACGATAGAAAAAAAAATACTTTGGTTTGAAATAATATTTGGCTCTCTTTGCAAAAAATAAAACTGGCAAAGCACCTGGCTAACCAAGTTTAATGCCTGCGTAAAATAAATAATAAACAATCTTGGTGCTGAGAGATGAAAACTAGGGTGAGTTTGACTTGAGGCATCAATCTGACAGCCAACTGAGACTTGAGTACTCGAAAAACACTCGATAATGATCTCTTTAAAAAAATATGAAAAAGTCATCAGAAAAACAAGTTAAAATAATTATAAAAAAATAGCCTAGGCTACATTAAACTTTTTTTGGTAATCTATCGTTTTGGGTACGTAAAAATCGCCCGCGACTTGTAATGTGAAAAACAGGTGACTCCTTAAATTTTAATAATTATTTCACATTTTGAGGAGGATTTATGTTTTTTAAAATATAAAAATGCTTCATTGTTTCATTTATGTACCTGTTTTTAAATAATTGAATTAAAACTTTTCCGTAATAAATGAAGACTAGCGATGTTTCCAACAGATGCAACCATGCTCATTTACTATAGCAGCCATCTTGTTTAAGTTTTATTTTTATAAGCTTATAGCGCAAGATTCAAGGGGAAGCCACTCTATTTTACAAATGGCTACTGCTTATATAGCAAATCTTGCTCTCAGACACTGCTGTTTAAAGATAATTTCTGGCCTATATCGATATATTTACTTTATTTAGCCATTGATTTAGGTTTATTATTCATTTATTATAATATTTGACACAAACATATGACAATATACTCTAGGGCCTATATACTTCTATTAAAGCCTTGAGAATGATGTAACGTTTTCGTACATTAATAGCCGCGGGCGATTTTACGTACCCAAAACGATAGATTACCCTTTTTTTTACGTTTTTAAATTGGGTCCTAAAAATAAAAATGACCCTTTTAAAAATGGACAGCCATTTTTTTGAAGAATTAATTTTTAAAAAAAGGCCGTTTTGAGTTATGTTTTGATGTAAACAAAGGCCCATGTCAACACGTGTCAAACCACGTGAAGGCACCCGATTAACGATTTTGGTCACGCATCAGTGGTACATTTTTTGGTCTAGCTAATCTTTGAGAATATTCAGCAGAACATAATAAAAACAAGCAAAACGTGAATTGCTATATTTAATATTGTTTTAAACATATCATCGTAGCTATTAAAAAACAAACGCATTTTTTCACAAATCATTTTCTAGGCTACCAATCATATTTGATTAATGAAATTGGTAAACAAATGTAGTTTCTAATTGTTTAAGTCATCTTGAACAATAATGAATTTTAAAATATTATTATTAGGCGACGCCCTGATTATATAGTATATTGGAAAAAAACCACATAGCAGATGAAGGTCTGAATCTTAAAATATTCATTAAAAATATATTTAGGCCTATAAAACTAAATCACAATTTCTTTATAAAGTACTTTATAAAGTAAGAACCACAAGTGGTGTATTTAACTCATTTTGTATCGTTTTTTGTGCAGGCAAGTGTTTAAATATTAAAATAAAGTTTATTTAATGCATAGGCCTATCTTGTTTTCAAATTAATTTTTTTAAAGGCAAAAATGAAAGAAAATGAAAAGTAATTCACTAGGTTATAACTGAACCTCAGTAGATTTTGAAATTTGATTTCAATTGCTTTGTTTATTGGAAATTAATATGATATTGATTTCAAATTAATAAGAGACAGTGGTAAAAACAAAAATTGAAAAATCAGTCAAGAGCTCCTGGCAGGTTTTTGTTTGAAAATTATCTCCCTTTGTTGTGATGCTACATACTAGATTAGGGCTTAGGGCCTATTCTAACAAATTGCCTATTGCTAATTCTAATATGTTTTTAACTAGCTATAGTAGCTCGGGCCTAATTGATTGATTGTTCAGCAGAGGATTTTCTAGGCCTACAAAAAAAAACACAAGGGCCTATTTAGAGTTCTACTATTTATTTATTTAGTCTACTAAACTTACTACTAATATTTAGGCGGCCTAAATTTTAGGCTTAATTTTTATATAGTAAAATTAGACTTTACTTTAGACTAAACGAAACCAACACTACCACAGGAACACACTTACAACCAACAAAAAAAACTATGTTTCTGATTATCACATGATAGCCTACATACTACTACATAGAATTAGAAGTAGGATTTGCAATTACATAAAGATAGGCCTACTAAAATAGGGTCTACAGCCTATAACAGTAGTCTATACCTATAAATTTGTTACCTAAGCCTTTCACAAAACCCTTAGGGGTCATCCATTTATGATGTCCACAATTTTTTTTTATTTTGGACCCCCTCCCCGTCCACAAAAGTCCACTTAATTCCTTCATAAAAGTCCACACATGTCCGCAAAAGTCAATTTTTTCGGACCCCCACCCTCCCCATGTGGATGTCATAAATTGATGACCCCTTACCTAGTCCCTAAGACTAAGCAAAAGGAGGTAAGCCCCCCCCCCCCCCCACAACTTTTCTTTGAAAATGTTTTAAAATAAGTCTATTGTTTATTTAATTATTAATAAGGCACAAAGTATAGGCTACTTATTAAATAAAGCAAGGTATTATCTCAAAGAAAATATATAATTTAATAGCCTATGTTTTTCTAATAGTATTTATTGTTTAGAGTGAATTTTGTGATGCAACCATGTTATCTGAGACCATCTCTGAGTGCCTCAATATTATTTCTAATATTTAAAAAATTACAATAGATTCTGATTGCTAATTTTAATACCTTAAATATCTAACATATGATAGAATCTACGTAACTATCTGATTCTTTAAAACTAATTGATAATGCAGAAGCGACCATTTACAAAAAAAAACAAGTGTAAAAATGTGTCTGAAACTCTACTTAGTAAACTTATTAGAAAAATAATTTAAAAAATTTGGGAAAAAATCTTGCACATTTTTTTTTTGGTGCTATATTTAGTAAGTGTAAATAGCGTAGAAGCTTTTTGCTTGAAATAATGCAACAGAAATACAATAGGTAAAATAAAGATATGGCGGTCTTGTCATGTTGCATTCAGATTCATTAGTAGCAAAATGAGTTAAATAATTCTAGACCTAGTGGGTTGACTTATACTTAGCACTAGCAGGGTGCTATTTGGTGGCCCGGGTTTTCCAGTGAGCACTATTGGTTTAAACAGTGCGATAGATTAATGGATAAGATGGGTATCATAGTTGTTCACTAAATGCTTGTTCTATATCGGATCTTGGTTGTTGGAATGTGGGTTGTCCACACACCTGCCCATATGCTCCCGGGTGTACTGTGTGAACACCTTGAATCTACATTAATCACCCTCCCAAATAGTGAGTTTGAACACATCTCGGCGACCATTCAGGTGTCAGGTTGCTTATTAAAATGATTATAGATGCCATATTACTCTAAAGGGCGCTTCTGGTCATTGAGGCACAGGCGATGCGGTTAATTAATTAGTCAACGACATAGTCCACCATATTGATGGTGTTTGGCATCATAGTGTTCACAGTTCATATGTCTGCCTGGAGGACCTCCTGGTTAATGTAGTCAATGATTTTAGTGGCCTACTGTATCTGCAATCTATGACGCTCTTTAAGACAAACGTTGTTGCCATAGTGGTGGGGGCCAATGCTCTGGGTTATTTGACAGCTGGAGTGTCTCAGGCTATATCTGATGCAGTTTGGTTCTTGAGTCAACTGGTACCCTGACCGCCTGTGCAGGAAGACCAAACAACAGATCCCAGATGCTAAGACAGCTGCTGGGGGATATAGGGCCCCAAACTGCACCAGACTACAGTGGCGCCCCCAGTCCCCAATTTCTTTTTTATTGCAGTTTGCAGATACCTTCCCAGGAGTAATCTCAACAACTTTCCAAAGTTTCATGGCAATCAGATGAATTGTGTCGTAATGCATAAAAGACAGACATACTTTTCTTTGTATATAGAGCCCCATTAGATTAAAAATAGCAATTCATATTCATTGACGATATAATGTATTAAGCTTAAATTAAATCAGGCAGAGCAATGCAAGGACGAAGGTAACAAATGCATAAAAGAGGGTAAATATACAGAAGCCGTGATCCACTACACAGAGGCCATCAAACATGAACCCCACACGGCAGCCCTGTACAGCAATAGATCTCTGGCATTTCTCAAGATTGACCAGCTCTATTTGGCCATGGAAGATGCTAAGAAAGCAGTTCAGTTAGAGCCAAGTTGGCCTAAGGTACATCTTCATATGAAATTTAGTGTCAAATATTGATCTGGTCATTGCTCAAGTATAGAATTATTATTATTACTTTTTTATCTATTTATTAATCTTTGAAACATGCAGAGTGAGAAATTCTACTTTTTATTTTCCAGGGTTTCTTTAGAAAGGCTGAAATAGAATTTAAGGCTGGGCATTTTAATAAAGCCTTAATTTCTTACAAGGTATGTTGAAATCAATACTATTTACATTCTACCCTTCCCCCTGTGATGGGGGGGGGGGGGTTATATATAATCTCTATACGTTCTGAATACTGCTATTAACACTAGAACTATTACACTTGTGAAGGAGGACGGGAATCACTCTTATTTTCCGCAGACACTAATTAACAATGTCAACAACTTCGTTTATGAAATAACATTAACTTTATTAACATACACTTAAAGATCATTTACACAATATCAAAGAATACGTCAGTCTTCAACTATAGCTAACCCCCAACTAACGTCACTGCTGTGTCTTACGTCAGCGGTACATTGTCGCGTCATGCTCACGTCACACTCACACCACAAATATTTTATTGAACACGCTAACAATACACTGCACCAAATCGCCTACCGTCATGTTCGCACCGTCCTTAGTAACCTCTACTAGTCTAGTCTAATTGTATATATCTACGCTATGACACCCCCCCCCCTTCCCCACATACACACCTCTCTTTGTGACAAGCTCACACACATCTTTGGATATCAAATTTTTAAAAGTTGATTCCTAATGTCATACTGGAATAATCTATGGCTTTTATCATAGAAATAAAACATGCTACCGAAGTACCATTCCAGTTTTTTAAACGCACAAAACTTGAGTTTCCTGTTTGGTTAACTCACAGCTCAGCAAAACTTCTAATGGTACATGCCCTAGCTTGTTTTTTTTTGTATGTTTAAAAAGCTCCTAGCTTAGTCTTGTCCAGCATTGTTATGTATGTTAGTAATACTGATTGAAGCCATAATAATTAATGTTGAATTTACTTTATAAAAAAAAAGCAACTACTCAGCATTAATTCACTAGTTTTGTACCCTTATTCCAGCAAGCTTTGATTCTTGGTCCTACAGACCAGGGTATTCTAGCAGCAATAGCCAAAACAAATAAAGAAATAGCAAAAGAGAAACAAGGTGAGCATTAGCTTTTTTAATGTCAGTGCTAGTCGTCCCTGCTTTACACAGATCTACTGTCTCAAGTCAGTGCTAGTTGGATAAGGCAAGCTGCCAACCAGTGTCACCTGATGGGTTGCTGTACCCAGCTATTTAACCTCATCTCCCCAGCTATTGAGCCTCATCTCCCCAGCTATAGAGCCTCATCTCCCCAGCTATTGAACCTCATCTCCCCAGCTATTGAGCCTCATCTCCCCAGCTATTGAGCCTCATCTCCCCAGCTATTGAGCCTCATCTCCCCAGCTATTGAACCTCATCTCCCCAGCTATTGAGCCTCATCTCCCCAGCTATTGAGCCTCATCTCCCCAGCTATTGAACCTCATCTCCCCAGCTATTGAAACTCATCTCCCCGGCTATTGAGCCTCATCTCCCCAGCTATTGAACCTCATCTCCCCAGCTATTGAACCTCATCTCCCCAGCTATTGAGCCTCATCTCCCCAGCTATTGAGCCTCATCTCCCCAACTATTGAGCCTCATCTCCCCAGCTATTGAACCTCATCTCCCCAGCTATTGAGCCTCATCTCCCCAGCTATTGAACCTCATCTCCCCAGCTATTGAAACTCATCTCCCCAGCTATTGAACCTCATCTCCCCAGCTATTGAGCCTCATCTACCCAGCTATTGAACCTCATCTCCCCAGGGTTCAAACTAAAGGAGGGAAAATTCCAAAATCAATCAACTGTTTGCTCTTGGTTGGACTAAGGTTATGGAAGCAAATCCAAAAAGTAAAGCAGCTAAAATCAGAGTCAAAGAAGAAAGTTGAAATCTTTTGTGCTTTTCTTGGGGGTTCCAGCTAAGTACGGTCTGGTGATACTGGTTGGCAGCCTGCCTTATCAAACCTAATGCTCTGTTCTTTTGGGCATAGCAACCATGCGCTTTACCAACCCGACTACGCCAGGCAATCCACCTTGGGACAGACATCTCAAAGATGGGCTACACCTGGAATGTAATAGATAAAATGGCCCAGGTTAGAGGACACTGGAGATCTTTGGTTGATGGCCTGTACCCCAGAAGGGGTGACAGTTAGTGAATGAATGAACCGGTAGTCATGTTAAAATAACAGAAAGTAAAGTTTTGAACACTACTTCACCTGCCCATTGACCAAAAGAGTACCTTACTTTTTATATAATAGTATTTGATTGCAATAAACAAGGCAGATTCAACCTGATTTAGAATATCCCATGTTTTTTTTAACTAGATGCTGTTCGCCAACCAGTAATGTATACCTGCCTAGGTCTTGCAGTTGGAGTCATGGTAGTAGCTGCAGATCAGTTGTTAACAACTAAGCCATCCATCCAGGTATAGAATTAAATGGCAGCATTAGTAATATAGTATGCTTATTTCTTTTTTAGTTGTTTTATATAATAAAAAACAAGAAAACAAACGTTTACACTATTTCTATTTGAAATGCCTTGTTTTCCTCCCCAGTTTGCTATTTTACAAGTTTTATTAGTGGCCAGTTGTGGGGGTGTTGGTTTTATTGCATCTAAAGTTCAAAGGTTAGTTGTTTGATCAAGTAAACCATCTGTCTACGTTAGGGTGTTGAAATAACACTGTTGATAATGCTATTATTCTTTAACCCTATACAACACAAAGCTTCTCCATGTCTCTTTACATTTACAATACATGCATTGTATTGTTCTTTACTGAAATAATTAATTGTTGAATATAATATAAAAATGTTAGTGCACCTCAGCCCATTTTAGGGTAGTTTGGCCAACCTCATCCCATCTCAGGGTAGTTTGGCCAACCTCAGCCCATCTCAGGGTAGTTTGGCCAACACGTTCTTTAGTGGTCTGGTTGAAAGCTCTATACACTATATTCTGTTCTTTTTCTTTATCCACTGCATGGTTTCTATGGCCTAGACAAGCCCATCTGTCTTTCTTTATCCACTGCATGGTTTCTATGGCCTAGACAAGCCCATCTGTCTTTCTTTATCCACTGCATGGTTTCTATGGCCTAGACAAGCCCATCTGTCTTTCTTTATCCACTGCATGGTTTCTATGGCCTAGACAAGCCCATCTGTCTTTCTTTATCCACTGCATGGTTTCTATGGCCTAGACAAGCCCATCTGTCTTTCTTTATCCACTGCATGGGTTCTATGGCCTAGACAAGCCCATCTGTCTTTCTTTATCCACTGCATGGTTTCTATGGCCTAGACAAGCCCATCTGTCTTTCTTTATCCACTGCATGGTTTCTATGGCCTAGACAAGCCCATCTGTCTTTCTTTATCCACTGCATGGTTTCTATGGCCTAGACAAGCCCATCTGTCTTTCTTTATCCACTGCATGGGTTCTATGGCCTAGACAAGCCCATCTGTCTTTCTTTATCCACTGCATGGGTTCTATGGCCTAGACAAGCCCATCTGTCTTTCTTTATCCACTGCATGGGTTCTATGGCCTAGACAAGCCCATCTGTCTTTACTTATCTACCATTTCTGTTGTGATGCTGTCATGATTGATTTGGTTTTTAGATAGTTGAAGTATCTTTTGATATATAGCTAGCATCAGAACCCACAGCTGTAAAGCCTATTGTAAAAATGTGTACAATGTAGAAAATGGTATCCAACACTAACCTTGTTGATTGCTTAAAATCACATATATATTTCTATTTGTTTATCTATTTGTAGGTATTTAGTAACTAGCCAGCGTGAAGCTCTTCTTGAAGAACCACTAGATCTGCTCAAAGGCAAGTCAAATAAAGAAAAGATAATTTGATTTTTCTTATAGAACTATTGTATCATTAGACATGAACAGATATAATGTAGTTTTATATCTATGCCGGTAGGATAATGGCCAGATTCTCTTTTGATATGTTCTTTATTTTGTTGTAATATAATATTTTGTTCTGTGATAAAAATGTTCTTTATTTAATTATGTTACCTGTTCTGTTTTGCAATAAAATATGTTCACCATATCAGTGTTTTTTCTGGAGAAGAAAATGGGTTATAAACATGTTTTATCATGTACATAACAGATACATTTCTGAATGTGCCTAAAATTTTATCTTTAATTTTAATGTAAATTATGTTACAGTTACATAAAAAAATTTACAAGATGTTTTTCTTCCCAGTTTTTTTTTTGTTCATTTACCCATACAAATATTTTTTTGTTGTCATTAAAAAAGGCACAAATGGAAAATTTAAGTTGACACTTTTAATAAAGTGTAACCTTTTTTTCATGACTACACTGCTAGGCTAAGTAATTTGTTATTCCTAAAATTCAAATGACTGATTATTTAAAAAAATGTCTCCTGAATTCCTCCAATGTTTTCAATCATTACAGAGATGGGAGATGTACCAAGAGAGGAAAAAAATAACAATAAATCATCAACCACATCATCAACCACATCATCAACAAATAAACATAGTCAGTCAGCAGGAAGGCAACGTATGAGGAAAGGAAAATCTTAGCCTGATGCATATTTGTTTATTTCATTACCAAACACATTTTGACTCATTTGTATAAAAACCAAGTACTTCAAGTTAACATTTTAAATTATTTTCACTTAGTATAATGCTATTCTTTCATTTATTGGATTTTAGTTAAGTAATTTAATTTAGCAGAGCACTTCATATTCGGATCTTTATAACTAATATTCTTCCTAACTGGTGAGGTGTTTTAAAATAATGATTACAGTAAAGACTGTATTAGGCCGGGCTAGTGGCCATAGCTTTTTAAAGTCATGTCAAAGTTACTGTGACAGATGTTTACTATTCTACAATACAGAGATCACTGTGTGTTTTCTTAGAGATTTTTTTTTATATATTCAGACTTGCATTTTTTATTACTAGTCTAGTCAGAAAAAGTTCTTTAATGAATGGCCTGCAGTTAATAATAAGTATGTATAAGTTTAACAGTAATTCCTGCTGTAAATCTCAGTTAAATGTCAAGCCAGAAAAAAAGTGTTTTGCCTCAACAGTTGATTTCAAAGAAATGGCTAAATTAGCTCTTGGCTTTGATACATTTTTTAAATTATTTTTTTTTTAGTTTTATATTAAATAGATAAAACTTTGTAAAATAGGTACTAAGATTTATTTAAGGAATTAAGTGATTAAAGAATTAAACTGTTCAATACATTTTTAATTTATTATTAAAATAAAACAGTTTGATTTTATAAAATATCTTCCGGGCTTTTTTAAAAATCTCAATTAAAAAAATTGTTGTAATAACACTAACATACTTTTAGAGTTAAGTTAGGATTTTTATTTATAAAACTCATTTTAAAAGAAAAATTTTCACAGGCATTAATGAAGATTAGAATTTAGACTAGTTAATGATATTGGCATTTTTTAAATGAGTGCTGAGATATATTGTATAAAACTGTTGGGAAAAAGTGAATGAGACTAATTTTAAATGAATTAATATGAGACATTTAGTGATGTATGATTTTTGCTTGAATATCTGAATGTGAAAGTCTGCACGAAATCTATTTATAACGCAGCTTTTGTCAGTTTTTTGAGGCATTTGTTTTGAATATTAACAAATAAATTACTTGCATCAATCAACAGAAAGTTTAGTATCTTTTTGTGTGGTAAATAGTTGTTTAAACTGTCAATATCAAAACTTTTACATCAAATACAACTTTTAGTAGAGCTGATAGCTATGTCACAAGCTATAGACTTGCTCTTGTCACACCAAGCATAGTTTCCACCAGTTACTTATCTCTTAGAATTTAGTTGGTTGCCTCAGAGATGAGATAACAGGTGACCTGCCCAAGTTCAATGAGATGACAACATGTGACCTGCCTGAGTTCAATGAGATGACAACAGGTAACAGGTGACCTGCCTGAGTTCAATGAGATGACAACAGGTGACCTGCCTGAGTTCAATATGATGACAACAGGTTACATGTGAACTGCCTGAGTTCAATATGATGACAACAGGTTACATGTGAACTGCCCGAGTTCAAGGAGATGACAACAGGTGACCTGCCTGAGTTCAATGAGATGACAACAGGTTACATGTGAACTGCCCGAGTTCAATGAGATGACAACAGGTGAACTGCCTGAGTTCAATGAGATGACAACAGGTTACATGGGAACTGCCTGAGTTCAATGAGATGACAACAGGTTACATGTGAACTGCCTGAGTTCAATGAGATGACAACAGGTGACCTGCCTGAGTTCAATGAGATGACAACAGGTTACATGTGAACTGCCTGAGTTCAATGAGATGACAACAGGTGAACTGCCTGAGTTCAATGAGATGACAACAGGTTACATGTGAACTGCCTGAGTTCAATGAGATGACAACAGGTGACCTGCCTGAGTTCAATATGATGACAACAGGTTACATGTCAACTGCCCGAGTTCAATGAGATGACAACAGGTTACATGTGAACTGCCTGAGTTCAATATGATGACAACAGGTTACATGTGAACTGCCTGAGTTCAATGAGATGACAACAGGTTACATGTGAACTGCCTGAGTTCAATATGATGACAACAGGTTACATGTGAACTGCCTGAGTTCAATATGATGACAACAGGTTACATGTGAACTGCCTGAGTTCAATATGATGACAACAGGTTACATGTCAACTGCCCGAGTTCAATGAGATGACAACAGGTTACATGTGAACTGCCTGAGTTCAATATGATGACAACAGGTTACATGTGAACTGCCTGAGTTCATGAGATGACAACAGGTGACCTGCCTGAGTTCAATATGATGACAACAGGTTACATGTGAACTGCCTGAGTTCAATATGATGACAACAGGTTACATGTGAACTGCCTGAGTTCAATGAGATGACAACAGGTGAACTGCCTGAGTTCAATATGATGACAACAGGTGACATGTGAACTGCCTGAGTTCAAGTAAAAAATAATGTTAAGTTACTCACCTGCCACAAAAATCAATCCACCACCACCAACAAGAACACAGTAGCTGATTTGTTGTCAATAGAACAAATTTATTCAAAAAACATAAATAAAATGTTGCATATACATTTAAAATTGTGAAGATTAAAAACAATCCAACATCACTAACTGCCCAACTACGTGACATGCCATGGTTATGATTAGTGGTTCTCAGTGTTTCTTCCAGACATTTTTCTCCGGGGGGGGGGGGGGGGGGGGGGGGGGGGAGGGCACTTGAAATTTTCGGGGGGGGGGGGGGGGGGGGGAGGGCACTTGAAATTTTCGGGGGGGGGGGGGGGGGGGAGACACTGTTAAAAGTATATATTTTCTATATAAATTATATAAATTTCATTTAGTTCGGGGGGGGGGGGGGGTAGAATTTTTTCGGGGGGAGTGAGGGAGACGATTGATGACTAGAAGTGTGGCTAAAATTGGGACAGATGAAGTAGAGATGATCTGCTTCAAAGACCTCTGTATATGTGGGATAAAGTGGTCAGCGAAATACCAATCAGATCTGGGTAGACTCAGGGACGCTCTACTGAATTGAACCTGGATTTGAACTCGAGACTCTTGGGTAAGCAGTCTAGCTCTCTACCGCTAGGCCACGCAGTCCCTCGCTGACTCCTATTATTTAATCTAAACAACTAATTGAACTTAAATTAGCCATGTTAAAATTTTATATTTAAATATTGGCGTTGCAAGATCTGAGACCTAGCCGCAACACAATTATATCTGTAAGGTCACTAAGGCCCTACATTCACAGTTCAGCAGTGATATGGGAGAGGTGTGGCCTATGTTATAGAGAAATGTGTGACAAAAATATATTGGAAAGTAATTATTTACTAATTAATGCAAAAAATTATTAATGGCAAAAAATACATTTTCTATTAAAAATCATCTCTTTGAAAATGCGCAGGAAAAAAGTCAAGAAAATTGATAGACAATAAGCTTTCAAATTTTTGGTGGGCATCAGATACCAATCAATTTTTTCAGCAGATCAATGCCCTTGAACTGGAAAAACGAGTGTACTTTAGAAAACCTGAAGCTATACAATTGCAATAATTGGTGTGACTGATAAATTCTGAGTAATTTAAAAAAAAAGAACAACCTATAACTATAAGGGGATCAGACTTAAAAGTGTATTCAACCCTTGCTCAAGTTCTTGTTGACTGTCATTGTTTTTTATAATAATATCCCAGTCTATGCCTGTATCCAATCCACATTCAGACTCTGCATCATCAATACCTGGAAAATAAATTCTGCAGCTAAATAACATGAGTATATTCACCAAACTATTATTAGCTTGAGAACAAGAAAGAGGGGAAAAGTAGGGTTTGGTAATTCATGAAGTGTTTTTCAATTTTAGTGGCTGAAAACAATATAAAACTCTATTATATCGCTATAATTCTCCACATGTCTGGTTCTTCATCTTGAGCAAAAATATTGGATTTTGCCGAAACACATAAATACAGATAGATGATGTTAGCTGGTGGTCATAAATACGAGCCACAAAAAAACAAATGTATTTTAAATTTTTTTGCTACTTCATTCTGCTAAAAAAAACTGACAACTGCTACTGCTACAAATAAGCAGTTGCTCAACGTTCAGACTTAAAATCTTCTTTCTGCAAATCTTGTCAGAGTGCTCAGTTTATGAAGAGTTAGTTACAAGCAGGTTAGAACTCTAAGGGGAACAGTTCATGATGAACTGGCTTTGCAGAGTGTAAACACTCATTTCATTTGTTAACAGCAAATTATTTTCTCAATATACTATATGGATATAAACAATTATTTTTTGCAAATATCATTTTAAACCTGTTGAATGTATACACAAATTCAGAATTCAAACAAATCCTAATATGAATTGATGGTAAAAGATTTACCTTCTGTAAAAACAAATCCTCGGTTATTTCTTACAGCTAGATCAGACTGCACCCTTACTGTGATTGTAGCTTTACTAAAGTGATCCTTAAAGTAACAAATGTCAGATTTTCTTCTAGCGTCACTGATTATCCATATATCTTTTTCAGAACCTTTATCATCTGTTGCTAACCGACAAAAAAATCCAGGATCTTTGTTTCTTCTCTCTTCTCCCCATTGTATCATATCCAGCCTGTATTGCTCCTTATAATCTGATGCGTCAAGCAGCTTTTCATAGTCAAGGTTGTGTTCCTAAAAAGCAAATTAATTAAGGTTTAAACTTACATGGTTATATTTTATATACATTTAAAGCCCTATTATAAATTACTATTCATTTAAATTTAAGTATGTAATTTTATCGTTCCGGAAAATGGAATGTTATAAAGAATAATTAAAATAAAATACTTAAAAAAAACTTTTTAAAAAACCACGTTTTTCTTGTGGACTAAAAAGTAGAAAATAAATTTTTCTTTTGTGCTTCCTCGAGCTGTGCAGGTTCTTGTGATGACTGACAAAAAACGTGGGTACGTTCACCATCAAATTTCCCGACCCATCTGCCCGACCCACGTTTTTTGTCAGTCATCACAAGAACCTGCACAGCTCGAGGAAGCACAAAAGAAAAATTTATTTTCTACTTTTTAGTCCACAAGAAAAACGTGGTTTTTTAAAAAGTTTTTTTTAAGTATTTTATTTTCTCCTTTTTAGTCCGTTGCTACACATGAAAAACGTGGTTTTTAAAAAAGTTGTTTATATAGTTTATTTTCTACTTTATCTAATGACTTGATTAAGTATGACTTGACTAAGTGTTTATAAATACACGGACTAAAAAAATCTTGAGCGACCAGGATTCGAACCTGGGTTGTCGCGGCCACAACGCGAAGTACTAACCACTATACGATCACGGCCAGCGCGCTCACATCGATTGGGGCCGAAGTAACTGTGTCTATAAGCCTCCAGTCTTGTCGGTATCTTTAGAAATCATGTCCTCAATTTTATGGTCCTTGGGGCGTAATTAAATTAAGCTAATTACGGTCTCTAATTGCTAGTTTTTATGATTGCATCTGAAATTGTTAGGCGAAAGTAGCCTGTATGCCAAATTTCAGATCTGTAGAGCAATCAGAAGTGGGCTAATTTTCGATGTCAATTTTAACAACAAACACACGCGAAGCTGAGTTAATAAAAACGTGTTAATAATTGTTGTAATACCTTGGCATACTGTTTTTTAAGTGGTCCTGATAAATGAAGAACTCCACATTTGTTGCTTCCTAGTCTAAAAATACATATTTTTAAAGCAAGTTCAGGTATATTGGTTTCATTCAAGTGTGTAAAACAAACAAGCACACATTTAAGAGCATTTTAAAATAGAGTAAAATTACAGATAAGTCAATTTTAACTGAAATTCTAAACACATTTAACAACAGATAAAAATGCTTTTAATACAGCTGGTTTCATAGATAATGAGCTGGCACTGCTCACTTCTATTGTGTTAAATAATTTTTGCTGTAATAATTGTTGTATGGATAGCATATTTAATTAGTCTACATGTTGTAAAATCTGCCTTAAATATATCCATATGATAGCTACATCTATTTACTTAAAATGCTGATAACTAAGTTTGGCTGAATTGATGATAAATGATAACAGATTACTGTCAGCTATTCTCTGCTCCCCTTCAATTCTTTTTGACTATCTAATATAGTGAATAATTGTTAGTCTACTTCAGGTAGACAAATATTGTAATTGTGTTCATCCATTTCATTGTTTACATGCAGTTTACATACAGTTTTGAAAGCAGTTGTAAAAATGGCATTAATCTTCTATTTCATTAACTATTTGATGTTTAACAGTAGGGATTTTATAGTAGTAACCCGACCTGCAAGTTTATAATATATTTTGTTAATTAAGACCTGGATTCACACTCAACTAAATTTCTTTGTTCCATGAGAGCTGCTTGAGCAAAAGGAGGTCATACATCTTTAAAAAGTATTCCAAGGCAAATAAATTGGACTAATTTTATTGTGAACAAGATTTAAATTTCTCAGGATAAAATAAACACTTCAAAACAGTAAAAAGGCCTAACACAATAAAATAATTATTATCAGTGATAGATTCCTTATAATCAAATACAACAACCACAGAGTCCACCACCAAAGTTGCCTTTTAAAAGAATCAATTTACCAAAGGGGAGGGAACGGAAATAATTGGCAATAAAATAAAAGTGAGTATAACTTAATTTATAACTATTGTATTTTTTACAGATTGACTAAGGACTATATAAACTATATTTATTTGTATTTTGGCAAAATCACCCCAAGCACATTTTTAATCATATTGTAAAATGCATTTTATAACTATAATAAACGAGAAAAATGGCCCATTGAGGAAGGATACAACGGGCGCTAGGTTGATAGTGCTGTCTATTTTCTCTAAACCAAAACCAAAGCCACCACCTTAACCTCAAATTGAATCGGAAACGAAAAATTTCTTTGAAAACGGATTTTTAGCAAGAATCGTCATTTAAGCTTGATCTACACTTAGTTACCGCGCATTGATACTAAATACAGTCGTAGCCACACCCCTAAGCCATGCACCTGATCTCAATCATGACAAAAGTCGTATTTGGAGTTTCTTTCAGGCGACTCTACTTGGGGATTGGGGGCTCCCCCCCCCCCCCACAGCACGTCTACTGTCCCATTCAACGAAATAAAATTATATAAATTTTCCAGTTTCCGCCCACTCCCAGAAAATTCCACCCCTGCCCCCGAATATTTTCAAGTACCCCCCCCCCCTCCCCTCTCCGGGGATAAAAAAATGAAAGAAACACTGGTCGCATTTGTAGATCATTCAAACTAACGGTAGAAACTGTGCACACATAACACTTTTTAGATTAGAAAATTTAAAGTTCCCCTCTCCTCGGAGGAAAAAGCCTGAAAGAAACACTGGTGTCGCACTTAGCCACTACCCGAAGAATTGCATTAAAGAAATTGCAAGAAAACCACTTTTTAGATTAGACACATTATTTAGGCGTTAATTTTATTATAGAGTATCGATGAAGAAATTTCTTTTGAGTTGGGGAGGGGGCTCAGACGTTCTTATGCGGGGGTGGGGCTTCGCCCCTACCCGAAGAATTGTATGAAAGAAACTCTTCACGCAAACCATTTAGATTAGACAAAATTGCCTTTTTATTCAATGTTTACTCGAGAATCAATGACGTCATATTACTGTGTGCACTCTCCGGCTTGAGATTATTTTCCCACGTTTTCTTTAACTTGCTTTCGCGTCTTTCCAATCAAATCTTGCGATCGAAATTTCGGGCACTTCCCAGTTAGCTAGCGCGCTGAAATTTTCAGGGAAGCTTTGTTTCCGATGACAATAGAATATTCAATTGTTATTATTACTAAATTGATCCATGGAAACATTTTATTGATCATTTTAGACCGCTATATAATTGTACAAAAAATGTGGGGGAAAAGGGACATAACCCAGTAATTTTAATTTGATGAAAACAAGGTTCGGTACTCTCCCTCTTTTTGCTTACTGAGTAGTTGTCACGCGGTGTTTGTGTACAAACAACCAGAACGTAACAACTGGTGGCCAGTATGGGGGAGACGATATGGTCGAGTGGTTGGGCACACGATTGCTAACCCACTCGACACGGGTTCAAGGCACGTGTTTTTTACGAGTTGTCTTCATTTACCCAAAAAAAAAAGTGAATGCGAAAAGATAAAATAGATAGCAAGATTTTAAAGCAAACAAACAGACAAAGACTAAAAAGTAGAAAATAATTATCATTAAAAAAGTTAAAAAAAAACCCACGTTTTCTGATTGAACTAAAAAGTAGAAAATAAATGCTATACATCACAATAATGCAAGCGATCACTCTACTATAAGCGATGAAAAACGTGGGGCGCCGTGATTTTCTTACAGTTTCTAATACTGTTGACTCTCTACAAGCTCCCTAATAAAAGTCAATAGTATTATCAAATCAATAGTAATATAACTTTTACATCTTATAATAACAATGACCGATAAAAAACTTTTACTTCGGCGCCCCACGTTTTTCATCGCTTATAGTAGAGTGATCGCTTGCATTATTGTGATGTATAGCATTTATTTTCTACTTTTTAGTTCAATCAGAAAACGTGGGTTTTTGTTTAAACTTTTTTAAATTGCTTGTGTTTTCTCTAGAGCGTTCTTGTCAGATAGATACATACAAAGATAGATACACAGATAGATACACAGACAGCGAAACTATTATTATAGATAATAATAAATATAATTACATTTTTTTAAAAGTTGTGTATCAAGCTTGATAACTTGCTACAGTACAATCAAATGCTACTACCTACTAAAGTTAGGCTAATTATGTGGCTAGTAATCATATTACAGTAATACCACTTGACTGATTAATGACAAACACAGAGTGATCAAGATTAGAGAACTTGCTAGCTTGCCCCTCACTTTGACAATAGACCAAAGCGGGAAAAGACTAAAAGTTTCTATTACATATTTTTTAAATTGGGTGTGATGCTATTAAAATAATTTTGATTGTGTGGTTTTTGACATACTGTATTGGATGACATATTTGATGTTTTTAGTACTTCCTGTAACTAGACAAAATTTTAAAAGCCAAAAACAATTTTTTTTTAAATTTTTGTTACTGAAAATGTAAATAAACATGGCATAACTAGGTCATGAGGTTTAAAAAAGCTAACTTTAAAAAATATTTTTTGGTAAAGTTTTGAGTACAAATTACTATCTCGTTAAGAGCGAGGTTTCCAGAGATTAAAATGCAAATTAGTGAGAAAGTCAAACCTAGATCTAAATTCTAGAATCTAGGTCAAGCCAAAATTAATTTGTTAAAAATAAAAACTATTATAAAATCACAATAAATTATTGTTTCTTTATAAAACTAAGTTAGTCCTTAAATATTTTATATAAATCTTTGCTTTTTAGCTTCAATGATCATCTTAATTTGAGAATTCATGGGATAGATCTATCTAAAAGATAAAAACATGTTGTCTGAGACTTGGCGGGACGCTGGGCAGGTGAAGTAGAGTTGGGTAGGTGTATAGTTAACCTGTGACGTCAGCATATGAAGGGATAGTGTGGCCAGACCCATGCTCAGCCAAAATCGGTTTTTTTAAAAGACAAAAACATCTGAGGTGTGACGTCTTTTTGAATATGGGGTCTGTTTTTTGTGTGACGATAAGTGACAGGCATGATGTCATTTATGGATGACCCCCAAAACACACAGTTATCCAAAGGATGACGGGTAGTCTAGTATATGCCAAATTTTGAAGCTGTTTTCGGCTTGTCAGGCTCAAAGGGTTAAGATGCAGAATATACAATTTGAAAAATGCGCGCTCAAGATTAGCTCGGCCATAGAAGTTCATACCATAGGCCATAATTATATTATAGACCTAACGACACCCGCTCATCATAAAATTTGTCAGTAATGATATCGGGTAATCACAACAGAAAAGCAATATTCTGCATCTTAAAAGAACTTTTGTATAACTAAATCTAAACAATTCTATTGGCTGGTCCCAATAGCGGCCGAGGCTATTAGGACCCAGGTCCGAATAGATGCATCCATAGAATGTTTACACTTTCTTCATTGATGATCGTTTTTATTATTTATTGCAGGTTGTGTAACTTGGTATACTCACCATTTATCAATTTTAAAAGTATAGCATGCTGATTGTGTACAAATATAGTCATAAAACACAGAAACATTTAGTTATAATTGCAATGTGCCACACCCGGGCCACACCCCCTCAAGAAAGCATGTTTTTATTAAGCTGTTTATCTCACTTTACAACAGTAATTAAAATTAATTTTCAAATTTTTATTATTTATTGGGTAAGATTAAGCACTAATAACTAATAGTGAAACTAATAATTTAAAAAAAAAGTAAATTCTGTTTTAAAGAAGGTCACAAGTCAAGTATTTTTTCCTTCAGACATTTCAGTGGAGGGTGCCACAGGCTGACCTGACTTTGGACTTTTTTTCAGTAATAATGACTTTGCACAGAACGTTAAAATATGCTAAATTTGCTTAGTTTACTAGTGTGCTAGCTATCATTGATACATTTTTAATAAAAAAATCATTCTAAAATTCTTATCAAAATGGATGGAGTTTTAGGTAATCTATCGTTTTGGGTACGTAAAATCGCCCGCGGCTATTAATGTACGAAAACGTTACCTCATTGTCAAGACTTTAATAGAAGTGTATTGTCATTTGTTTGTGTCAAATATTATAGATAAATGAATAATAAACATAAATCAATGGCTAAATATATCGATATAGGCCAGAAATTAACTTTAAACAGCAGTGTCTGAGAGCAAGATTTGCTATATAAACAGCAGCCATTTGTAAAATAGAGTGGCTTCCCCCTAAATCTCGCGCTATAAGCTTATAAAAAACAACTTAAACAAGATGGCTGCTATACTAAATGAGCATGGTTGCATCTGTTGTAAACATCGCTAGTCTTCATTTATTACGGAAAAGTTTAAATTCAATGGACACCAGTGAGTTGACCAAAATCCTTCCGTAATGTTGTTGACATGGAATAAAAATGTGCTTTTTTAGATTTAGGACCATAAAAATAATAAAAGATAAAATTTTATTAAAAACTTAAGCCTAAAATTAATTCAGAAATTTAATATTTTTAGAATCAATGCTAGATTCTATACAAGTTGCAGATCCAGAGAACTTGAAAATAATTTGTTGAGTTTAAGGATACATTTCTATTTATTTTCATCAAGCCTAAGTTATAACCCGATGATTCACTTTCGTAAGACAAACATTGATTGGCTGTAAAGGAACTCCGTGATCGATTTCTGGCAGCCCCACTTTATAGTTATTTTGTTTACAAAACTTTGCAGATCAAGTTTTTAAATAACATTGCAAATTTATACACCATGACCTAGTTTTTCTATTTTTAGCTTACAATGTGTACAATAAAATTTATGGCGGCCTATCGAATAGCAGGATGCCATTGTTTATGTCGCCATTACATGTGAAAACCAAATTGTTTTTGCTTTTTTTTTAAATTTTATTTAATTAGGCCTACCGAAAATATTAAAAACATCAGATACATCCAATCTTTAGTAAAGTCCGAAAAAACCAGACAAACAGGATTTTATAACCATATTAATTGTAACTACGCCGTGCAAGATTTTAAAATTAATTTATGGACCTCTCAAATATCTTTCCGGCTTTGAGACTTTTCTCGCTGGTGTCCATTGTTTAAAAACAGGTACATAAAAATATAAATGAAACAAGGAAACATGTTTGTATTTTAAAAAACATAAATCCTCCTCAAAATGTGAAATAATTATTAAAATTTAAGGAGTCACCTGTTTTTCACATTACAAGTCGCGGGCGATTTTACGTACCTAAACTCTAAACCGATAGATTACCGAGTTTGGTAATCTATCGTTTTGGGTACGTAAAATCGCCCGCGGCTATTTATGTACGAAAACGTTACCTCATTGTCAAGGCTTTAATAGAAAAATATTGTCATACTTTTGTGTCAAATGTTATAGATAAATGAATAATAAACATAAATCAATGGCTAAATATATCGATATAGGCCAGAAATTAACTTTAAACAGGAGTGTCTGAGAGCAAGATTTGCTATATATATAAACAGCAGCCATTTGTAAAATAGAGTGGCTTCCCCCTGAATCTGGCGCTAAAAGCTTATAAAAATAAAACTTAGACAAGATGGCTGCTATAGTAAATGAGCATGGTTGCATCTGTTGGAAACGTCGCTAGTCTTCATTTATTACGGAAAAGTTTTAATTCAATTGTTTAAAAACAGGTACATAAATAATAGTATTTCTCGCTAACCCGGAGGCGTGGCCGGTTGCTAACAACAATATGGCGTAGGGACCGGATGCATGACTTCCGACGATTTTTCGTCTTAGTTCCAGAGACCTTCTTAGAATTACTTTTAAAAATGTTTATCACGAGTAAAATGGCGGGTTTTCACGCTATAAAAACATGCTATAGGTGGCAAGGCTAAATATGCCAGAAAAGCATTTTAAAATTTGCTTTGGAGAATGAAGGCTAAATTTAAAAGTCGGTCTCATTAAAATTAATAGAACTTCTAAAATATCAGCCCGGAGGTCACAAAAATGAATTGGAGGTTGTAGAACTATTAGGTTTATCATTATATGAAGAAATAAATCAAATATTGCATGAGCTTTTTAAAATAAGACACGACTTTTGAATGACAACCAAATTTATTTATTTTTTTAAACCACGTGACCGCTATTTGATGATCACTAGTGGGGAACTTCCGGTACATGGCCACTTAAAAAGTCTAACCTATTTGTGGTTTTCTTTAGCTTCAAGCGTAAGAAGAGTTGTCATGGAGAGGTGTGTTGTGCATTTTTGTGAGTGTCAATAAATATTAAATTAAGTAATTTTGTTTAAAACGAACTAAAACATCAAAATTAGTGCCTAATGGATTAAATATGGATGTCTATCATTCAGTAGTCATGTTTAATTTGAAATTTGGGTAAATTCTAGATTTAGTAAGAAAAAATAAATAAATCAAGGAAACATTTTTGAATTTTTAAAACATAAATCCTCCTCAAAATGTGAAATAATTATTAAAATCTAAGGAGTCACCTGTTTTTCACATTACAAATCGCGGGCGATTTTACGTACCCAAAGGCAAAACGATAGATTACGCCGAGTTTTACCCAGATTTCCTCCCATTTCAGAAATAGCCACTTTCTTTTTTTTAAATATTAATCACATTAGGTACCAATAATATTAAAATGAGACACTAGATGGATTCACCTTTGAAGTAATAAATGGCTAATGAAATCTTTCCCCGATTTTCTTTTACCACTGAGTATAATTATAGCCTTCGGCTGTCGACTGATGGAGGCATCCATTGTTGTTGACATTTGATGTGGAATCAGATTTAGTTCTATTGACTAATTTATTGTTTTCAGAAATTGAAGAGCTGATTTTCGCCATTTAATTAGGCCTAATAAAAGTATAAAACATTTTAATTTTTACTTTCTCGTATATACGAAGTATAGAGAAAGTCTTGTAATCGTGCAAAAAAAAAAAAAAAAAAAAAAAAATCGAGATTTTTACAAATCTCGACGTTTTACATCTCACTGATACGGAAAAACATAATTTTGCAATCTTGTCCGTATGTCTGTCTATAAACACGATTACTTGAGTACCGTTACAGCTAGGTTGCTGAAATTTCATATATAAGTATTTTATCAAAATCGTAGATCCGTATCAACTTTTGAGCGATTTCCGATAACCGGAAGTGGTACTTTTTCTACTTTGAATTTTTCAAAAGCCTATAACTTGAGTACTATTTCAGATAGATAAATGAAATTTCACATTTAAGTAAAAGATCTAATTCTCTACCTTCTGTCAAATTTTGAGTAATTTCCGTTAACTGGAAGTACTATTTTACGCTATTTCCGATTTCTCAAAAAACGCATGTAAATTATAAAGTACTAATAATATTGCGCACTATTATGCACATTTTTTTTTGTGTTCGCTTGGTGCGCAATTCTTTTTTCTATGAGATTCTATTCTATTTTTAAAAGTTTAAGTAATTAAAAATCATGTTTATATTCCAAGTTATATAAGAATATTCGAGAAAGTTTAGGGGAGATTACTCCCGGTTTATTTAAACAAGTAACTGTATATTAGAATATATCTTCTATGTTGCAATAAACATTAAAATAATTTCTATTAAGGTCAATACTACATTGGCATTATTTTGACATGTAATTCTCCAAACTTATTCTTTAATTCAAATTTTACTGACAGATCGAATTAATACTAATTATAAAAAAAAAAGATGCATGATTATTTCTATTTTTCAGGTTTAAAATGGAAAAACAGGTTACAGAGTAATGAATACTTGGCTGTACAGAGCAAATAATTTTTGAATAGATGCAGCTTACTAATTACTTTCAATGTTCTGATAGGTGGACATGAATGAATGCGATTTCAGTATTTTTATTTCATTGGCCTAAATGTGTTTGGCTGGTGGATTTTAATCAATGGTTTGTGTATGAATGGAAATGTATTACAAGACAAAATAAATTAGAAAAGCAGTGTAAGAAAAAAAATTTTTATTAACTACATTGTAAAATGAATCACAGACAAATGTTAAATACTAAAAGTGAAAGATACAAGAAAAAAAGTCTATAAAAGTGTTAGGGGCATGGCTCTGTATAAGCAAGGTGCCATGACATTTATTTTCATACTTACCACTTGTAATCAATTTTATACACACATTCACATCAAGATCACAATGTGATTCACATAGCCTCTGAAAATCAGCTTAACTAGTTTTTCCCCCTAAGTTCCTACTTTGTTTATTTCCTTACAAACAACTTGTAAATGCATAGGAAAGGAATGTACAAGAAAAATTGAATCTTATAATCTTATGTTGCTAAATGTGCATTCATTTGATAGTTGTTGTATGCTAATTTATACAAAGCTGTATGCAATAACCTGAGAAAATAAAAGAATAAATTTTTCTGACAGCTACTCATTCTCTCCTCTGTACCAGCCAACGTTTTTCTCAGTTTCATGGACTCTGATTTCATATAGCAGTTCTCCAACCTTTTCCTTCATACCCTGCCAGATAAACACTGCAATATTCTCCAAGGAACTGAAACATAAAGAGACAATGGATCAAATGCATACTTTCATTAAAAGTTTAATAAAACAAAAAATAGAAGAAAACTGACAAAGGGGACCACTGATAATTTTTGCATCGGGGCCCGAAAATCCTAGCTATGCCACTGATCCAAATCTGATATTTTTGAGCTGTTAATGGTGCATCTCACACCAAAACACAACAGTCTCGTACATTACAGAAATACTATTATAAAATTATTCAATTAGTATTGTGTGGAAAGCTTATCGATGGTCTCGGTCGCAAACCGTCTAACTCCGAAAATGTAAATTTTACAGGAGAGACAAAAAACTGATTATTTCCTTCTCGATCGCTCTAATACAATTTTTTTTTAAAGATATCTCCGAAGAAACTCTCTACCGACTATACTGTAGCGTTATAAAATGGGTTTTGTTGATATTTACAAAATTATAGCAGGTTTAAAAAGATAGACGGTTTGCTCGGTCTAAAATTCTCGGTGCAAACCGTCTATCTGTGCGCGCGCAGACTTAGCTGTTTTGAGCCGAGAATTTCGGTCTCAGTCGCGTTCGTTCGTTTTGTCCAATGAACGTGATTTACTTATGTTTATGTTTTTAAGTTATAATTAACACTTCATAATATTTAGATTATAGTTTTGGGCTCATATTTTAATTATTTGAGTTTATTCTACATTATGGGGTCAGTTTAATTTTTAGTAGAGATGTTTAAGTGTGGCTTTATCGCTTTCGACTGTATTCATTATGTCTGTATTTAGCACTAGACTGGTTAACTGTTGAAGGTTATGCTTTATTTATTACATCTTTCTATTCTCACAGTTTATTTTACTAAATCGGGTGGGTGCTGGGTTTGTAGAATGATAATAGTAAAAACAGAAACCGTATTGTCAGATATATTATGAATGAGACATAACACACTAATCACATTAATACTGACTTAATGTTTACTTATTTTACAAAAATGTAACACAAAAAAATGTGTTTATTTTTAAAATTTATTCTTTGAATAAACGTCACATAAAGAAAAATTAAAATGGCAACATATTTTTAAATTCAGGGAAATCATCATAAAAAGGTGTGTTTATGACTTTCTTTTAGGTGCTCAAATAAGACAGCTTTTATCTTTTTTTTTCTGCTCTTGTACAACTTGACAGGGGCTACAAATGAGATCATAATCTTACGACCCTAGCTTAGCAATTGCCATCTATCTGCTAATTCACTTTTAAGTAGACAGTAGCATCAGGCTTGTACTGCAGTGCACGAATATCTGTCGCTTTGAATTCTTGATAGGTCTGACTTGTCTTTTGAGATCGGCTGGTCTCTTGTATGGTAAGGCTGGTCTTTTTGAGAGGTTGGTGTCTAATGTCTGTTATGTGAGGCTGGTCTATTGTATGTTACGACTGGTATGTTGAGAGAGGCTGGTGTCTTGTATGGTAAGACTGGTGTGTTGAGAGAGGCGTGTCTACTGTAGGATAAGACTAATCTTTTGAGAGAGGCTGGTCTCTTGTATGGTAAGATTGGTCAGTTGAGAGAGATTGGTCTTTTGTATATTACGACTGGTCTGCTGAGAGAGACTGGTCTCTTGTGAGTTACTGGTGCCTTAATGTTACGACTGGTCTGTTTTGAAAGGCTGGTGCCTTTACGATTTGTCAGTTGACAGATGCTGGTGTCTTGTATGGTAAGACTGGTCTGTTGAGAGAGGTTGGTCTGTTGAGAGAGGCTGGTCTGTTGAGAGAGGCTGGTCTGTTGAGAGAGGCTGGTCTGTTGATAGAGACTGGTCTGTTGAGAGAGACTAGTATGTTAAGAGAGGCTGATCTGTTGAGAGAGGCTGGTCTGTTGATAGAGACTGGTCTGTTGAGAGAGAATAGAATGTTGAGAGAGGCTGGTATGTTGAGAGGCTGGTCTGTTGAGAGAGGCTGATCTGTTAAGAGGCTGGTCTGTAAAGAGAGACTGGTCTGTTGAGAGAGGCTGGTATGTTGAGAGAGGCTGGTCTGTTGAGAGAGGCTAATCTGTTGAGAGAGGCTGGTATTTCGAGAGGCTGGTCTGTTGAGAGAGGCTACTCTGTTAAGAGAGGCTGGTCTGTTGAGAGAAGCTGGTATGTTGAGAGAGGCTGATCTGTTAAGAGAGGCTGGTCTGTTGAGAGAGGCTGGTCTGTTGAGAGAGGCTGGTCTGTTATGTGGTAAGTCTGGTCTGTTGAGAGAAGCTGGTCTGTTGAGAGAGGCTGATATGTTGAGAAAGGCTGGTCTGTTGAGAGAGGCTGGTCTGTTATGTGGTAAGTGGTCTGTTGAGAGAGGCTGGTCTGTTGAGAGAGGCTGGTCTGTTATGTGGTAAGTCTGGTCTGTTGAGAGAGGCTGGTCTGTTGAGAGAGGCTGGTCTGTTATGTGGTAAGTCTGGTCTGTTGAGAAAGGCTGGTCTGTTGAGAGAGGCTGGTCTGTTGAGAGAGGCTGATCTGTTATGTGGTAAGTCTGGTCTGTTGAGAAAGGCTGGTCTGTTGAGAGAGGCTGGTCTGTTATGTGGTAAGTCTGGTCTGTTGAGAGAGGCTGATATGTTGAGAGGCTGGTCTGTAAAGAGAGACTGGTCTGTTGAGAGAGGCTGGTATGTTGAGAGAGGCTGGTCTGTTGAGAGAGGCTAATCTGTTGAGAGAGGCTGGTATGTCGAGAGGCTGGTCTGTTGAGAGAGGCTACTCTGTTAAGAGAGGCTGGTCTGTTGAGAGAAGCTGGTATGTTGAGAGAGGCTGGTCTGTCGAGTAAGGCTGGTATGTTGAGAGAGGCTAGTCTGATAAGAGAGGCTGATCTGTTAAGAGAGGCTGGTCTGTTGAGAGAGGCTGGTCTGTCGAGAGAGACTGATCTGTTAAGAGAGGCTGGTCTGTTGAGAGAAGCTGGTATGTTGAGAGAGACTGGTCTGTAAGAGAGGCTGGTCTGTTATGTGGTAAGTCTTGTCTGTTGATAGAGGCTGATATGTTGAGCGGCTGGTATGCTGAGAGAGGCTGATCTGTTAAGAGAGGCTGGTCTGTTGAGAGAGGCTGGTCTGTCGAGAGAGACTGATCTGTTAAGAGAGGCTGTTCTGTTGATAGAGACTGGTCTGTTGAGAGAGGCTGCTATGTTGAGAGAGGCTGGTCTGTTGAGAGAGGCTGGTCTGTTGAGAGAGACTGATATGTTGGGAGAGGCTGGTATGTCAAGAGGCTGGTCTTTTGAGAGAGGCTGATCTGTTAAGAGAGGCTGGTCTGTTGAGAGAAGCTGGTATGTTGAGAGAGGCTGGTATGTTGAGAGAGACTGGTCTGTGAGAGAAGCTGGTCTGTTCTGTGGTAAGTCTTGTCTGTTGATAGAGGCTGATATGTTGAGCGGCTGGTATGCTGAGAGAGGCTGGTATGTTGAGAGAGGCTGGTATGTTGAGAGAGGCTGGTCTGTTGAGAGAATCTGGTATGTTAAGATAGGCTTGTCTGTTGAAAAATTAATCATAAAAGCATTTACTAAAGACAACTTACCATGTCGTAGAACATGTACGCCAAACATTTTGTAACCTACCATATAAAGATTTCTTAACACGTATCTAAACCCTCAATCTAATGCTAGTAGTGAATTAACAATTATTAAATTAATTGCACATTCTTGTGGAAATATAATTCGAATTATATTGTTTTGATTGGTATTTAGATTCTAGAATGAAGATCTAGTTTCAAAGCATTGTGTTAGCCCAAAAAATTGTAAACAAATCAGTTTGGTTATTGACAATCTAGAAATAGGCTATATTAAACAAATACTATTTGTTTATTATTCTTTAAAATGATAAAATGTAATAAAATAGTTGAACATAATTAATCAAATATCCTTACCTATAAGTACTGTGACTGCTGTGCAGTAAAATTGTGTGATTACGGCGTGCGACTGCGTTCCCGAGCAAAAGGTTACTGACAAATATAGCGATATTCGTTTTGCGCCAAGATTTTTAGCGCTAGAAATAATAGGCGGTTTGTTCAAATGATTATATCTCAATAATCATTCTACAGATTTCTATAATATTTTCAGGCATTATGGGGAATCGTATTGGCTTTTGATTTATGTAAAAAAAAGAAAATCGAATTTTTTTAAGTTAGACGGTTTGCGACCGAGACCATCGTTATGTATTTGTAAACATAGGGATAAACATGGATCATAAAAAATGCTATTTATTTTTTCAACTGATCAAAATGGACCATAAATTACCTGACATGGTCTTTGAAAAATGGCACCTCCTTGTCTATATTTTTGTGATCAAGTATACTCATTATTGCTTCCTAGTTTGAAAAATAATTTAGCATTATTTGACTTGGCTAATACTAATTTTAGGTTTTGAAAAAAGAAACAGAACAACTACATAAAAACATAATTAAAGGTGGTGTAGCTATTGCGTCGCTCTGGTTACATTTAGGGTATGATTTGAAAACAAAACTATTTTTAAAATGACCCATTTGAAATAGCCAGCTTTCTAATAATTTGTAAAAGTAAAGTTTTGTTACAAAATGTAGCTGCAAAGGGGCAAAATAAAACAGCAGGGGAAAAGACTAAAAGTAATACACAAAGCCTAAAACCTAAGGACTATTTGTAGCAAAGGAGGTAAAAAGGTAATTTCATTTAGAAATTTGAATATGACTAGGCCTATAATTTTTCCTTTAAAATTAGTATTTACTCAATATCGTACCATACACAAGAGGAAAAAAGTGATTAAACATAAACAGTTAATTCAAAAGTACAGCTGTATACCTCAATATATTTTTTCAGGTCAACAACATTTAATACCATTCCAGTCACAGGATCAACCTACAGAAGAAATAAGAGTTATGTATCTTTGTCTCTGATTTTATATTTATAAAGAGAGATAACGAGTTATATTTATTAGAATATTAAGCTATAAATCTTGGAGTTTATCAGTTTTGTTGATGAAGATTGTGCTTAAATGCATATTTAACTTTATCTGAAATTATTTTGCATAAAACAGCACATTAATCATTACTTACTGGACCTCTGAGAGTTACTTCAACTGCAAGAAATAATAGTGGCATTTTTTGTTAACTTCATTTTAAAACTTTGTTTGCCACTGCTCAAGTGGACACTAAATTTGTGTAATTTCCAGTTTCTCACAAACTGATAATAAAAGTAACAGGAAGAAAACATACAATGAAATTTTAAATATTCTCTTTTGCTTGTTTTATGGTCTACTAACTTATTTATCAATTCCCCCCCCCCTCAACTAATAACATTAGATATGAGACTATTCTTAATTAAACAACATCTTTCAGTTGATACAGCCTTAATAGTGTGCCCGTTAAAAGCAAACCCTAAGCCTAATACATGAGATGAAGATAAACTAGCTAAACAGTAACAATTTTGTTTTCAAATTTTAAATAATAAAAGTATACCTTTATAATTGTGGCCATGGCCATGGGGATTGTTGCATTTCCCAAAAACAGAAGAGTTCTCATGGTCTGTTAAATATGGACTGAAATATAAAGATCTGAACTGTACATTTTTAAAATGTAATCAATTTCATTGCAGTCCAGAACCTTTTACGTGACTTGATGTAGACCTACTTAGTTGGAAGTGCAACAGTCCTCTAAAATACTCTTTTAGTACACTTTCATAACACAGTAACAAATAGTTTAAATAGGTTAATATAAATAGCTAAATAAAAAATGTGTGGCTCCGCCTATCTTGGAATATTAAGTTAACCCATTTCCCAAGGATGACACCAAAAACTGCAAAATTTACAGAGGAAAAAAAAGTTTTATTGAAAATTTTCAATAACTGATATGTTAATCAATGACCAAGGTAGGGGTGACACCATATCAAATAATATACCATGAAATCCATGGTTGTTCACCTTGACTTAATAGATAGATTAATAAAATGAGTGCACAATTAAAAAGCATTAGGAAAAATGTGAGGAAGGGGTGAAACCAATCACAACTTTCACAGAAAAACAATGTACTGATTGGAATGAAATACACCATCCACCAAAGTGGATTGGGGTGACACCACATGTGAAAATTGCAAATCAACATATCATTATATGCTTGGACGTGACTCTTAGTAATTAATCATTAATGGATTTTTTTCTATACATATTAAATTAATGTCTGACATATGGGGGCTTATGGTAATGCGTTGGACAATACGTTTATTGTTTTAAATTATATTTAATAGCAAAATATCCACCAATCTGCTATAATCCTTTCTCAAAGTAATTCATTGGGCTAAAAACTTTTTCTGACATTTTTAGCTTATGAAATATAATTTCTACCACTCATTCTTTGTATATCTCTTTGTTAATATTACAAATTACAAAATTAACAAGTAATACCATAATGCAAATAATGTAGGAATCTATTGTGAGATGCTCAGTGTTAGCCTGGGGGAGGGGGGGGGGGGAATAATTTAAATTTTGTTTTTACATTGAAGCACTATCCTTGTTGGAAAAACTAAACATCATAAGTAGAGTGTATGTATAGATTATAGGAAAAATAGTCACAGGAAAAAAAATGCAGGAAAAAAGTCACAATATTAAATCAACTTACGATTAATTAAATGTAATGTAAATATTTTACATATATGTGTATAGGTTGTATAAGTAAAATGATATTTATAACACTGGTAAAAATATTTAATATGAAGTAAGTAGGTTTTAACTGCGGTATACATATAATATTTAATATAATTAAATAGAATATTCCAACCATCTCAGTTTTCATCATGTTTTTAAAATACTAACTTTAAATTAAAGTGAAATGGCAATAAGATGTAGTTAACGTGACTTTCTATCTTCAACATCGCAATAATAATTAAGCCACCTGTACTGCCCATATTTATTATGCTTATTACCACGCGCTGTCAAAGCGGCCAATGACAAAACGGCCCTGTCAATACGACCCAGATAAAAGAGCCCCGTCACATGGACCCCGTCAAAAGGGCCAGCGACATATTGACCCTGTCATATAGCCTGCCGACAAATAGGCTCCCGTTTATATAAGCTCTATGAAGGGAGCCCATTTGACGGGAGCCAATAAGTCGGGGCCTTTTGACGGGGCTATTTTGACGGGGTCATATTAACGGGGCTGTTTTGTCCCCGGACGTTGTTGGAAAGCCAACACAGTACAAAGACTCTCATAATTCACTTGTTTCTGTGACCTTGGCATATGAAGAGATAGTGTGGTCAGCACTATGCCCAGCAGCCTTTACTTTCCCTAACGTGAGTTAGGTACCCATAAGAGTTGGGTGGACTTACGGACGGTCTACTGACTTGAACCAGGATTCGAACTCAAGACTTACGGGTTAGCAGTCCAGCTCTCTACCGCTAGACCACTCCGTCCCATATTTAAATAGTAAATAGTAAGTAAAAAGTATACTTACTTATTATTGCACTATATAAACCATTATAATGCTTTTTAAGTTTATAAATATACTATTATAGGCCTACTTATATTATATAAACACCACCCATATTAATAAACACCCAAAATTTTACAATTCTCAATCATCAAATCAATAGTTATTAGTATTGATTTATTAGTTATTATTTTATTAAGAAGATTTTTTTTGTGATTTTTTTTTTCCGTGACTTTAGTCTTTATTTCTGTGACTTTTTTTTCCGATAAAAATTTTTGTGTGTGACTTTTTTCTGTTCACCCATGTAAAGATATGAAATATTAATTAGAATCTAGATCTAGATCTAGGCCTAATAATAATAATTATTTAAAAAAAAAACCTGCCTGTGCAATCGGTGACAAGCACTGAATGTTTCTGAACGCTGTAGGTAAACAATGGGCTTTGTTTTTGTTTCTTTAGGTTCAGCCATGACATAACCCGTAAAATTTTAGGCCTAAATCTAACAGTAATTTAAATTCAGACTGTTATAAATATATAATAGTGTATAACTATATAACACATAGATCTAGATCTCGATCTATATCAGTATAATTATATTGTATCTCTAGAGCTATAACAAAAATGCGAATTTATTATAAACATCAATTACACTGTGTTAAAAATAGTGAAATAGGCCTAGCAGATCTGTGCATTATTATTATTTTATTTTACATGCTCAAGGGAGGTCACTATGAAAAATAATTAGATACTGAAGATAGGCTAAACTGCTAAACTAACAAAACAAAAGTAACATCAGTAACATGATTTACTGATTTTAAATTTTAAAGTGTTAGAGGCCTACAAAGTATGACAGCTTGCCTTGATAATAGTACTCTATAATCTATGGGTAATTCACGATTTAGCGTCGGAATTTATCTGGTAATGTTTGTTGAGTTTCAGTAACATTCGTCACTGTACTGTAAACTCAAGTAAACTGGAGTGTAAACTCAAACTGTAAACTAAACTGTAAAATGTAAAACATAGTTTGGTAATCCCTTAGTTTAGCGTCGGAAATTATCGGGTAATGTTTGTTGAGTTTCGGTAATTAGAGTTACGGTAAACCATGGTTTATTTGACCATTGAAATATAAATAAATTGAAAGTCGATTGTAGTAAATTAATGTTTAATTTTTTTAAGTTTAATCGACAAAAGGAAAAAAGAATAAATATAATAGTAGATTTAAATTAGTAGATCTAAAAATAAAAACATATATTATTATAAATATAAATAATGTATCAAATGTAATAATTTAATGTTTTTGGCTTGCAGCGGATTTGCGACCATTAATTAATTAGATCTAGATCTAGCTAGATATCTAGCTGCTAGGCCAAGTAAAAAAATCTAGATTACGAAAATAGTAAAAATGATTACAAAATGTAAAAATGATTACAAAAATAAATCTATCCAAATTTTAAACATTCTGTTTAAAAATAAAAGAAGACGCCAAATAAAGTATGGTTTACGGTACTTCCGGTGAATTCCGGAAGTGTGTGACAGACTTTGTTATTGTTTCACTGTTTTTTACTGCTATACGATTCCGGAATAATAACCGACGCTAAACTAAGGGATTACCCATAGTTTATTTGACTGTTGAAATAAAAATAAAGACAGGTGCATTAAATTAATGTTTCAACTTAATTTACTTAAATTTACAGTTTAATTGACATAAAATGAGTAACAATTACATTTACAATTAGTAGATTCCTAAATCTAACTAAATAATTATTAAGTCCAGTGTAGTAAATTAGTAATTAATGTTTTTTTAAGAAACGGAAAAAAAAACTTGCAGACTTGCAGAAGATTTGCGACAACTAGATCGAGATCTAGAAATCTAGTAAAATAAGATTTACGAAAGTTAAAAGTAGTAGTAAGAAGAATTAGAACAAAATGCTAATGTTTAGTAGCAGCAATAATTAATAATTAGCTCATACACTTAAATTAAAATTATTTGAAATACAAAATAATTAGCAAAACAATATTTAAATGCAAATAAAATCAATCCAAGCAAATTTTTAAAATTATATATTTAAAAAAATATGGTGGCAAATAAATGATGTTTTACAGTATTTCCTGTGGTTTCCGGAACGGCTCGACAGACTATGCCATGGTTTTACTGTTTTTTACCGCTATACGATTCCGGAATAATAACCAACGCTATATCGTGATTTTACCATACTATGTAGAATGTAGATCTAGTACTGTATGTAGTAATACTGTAATAAGTATGTATAAGTAATAAAGTATGATACATTATTTTACATACTATTATACTACTATGTAACTATACTGAACTATAGTATAAAATTGCCAAATTACTAGAATATGAGAAAAATATAAAAACTATGTTTTATATCTTTAAAAAATTCCAAGTTCAACATTGAACTAAAGGCTTCCATAATTGAATCTTCCATAGGCCTATATACATAACACACAGTTAAAACCAGGATGAGGAGAAAAATAATATAATTAAATTATGCTTAATTAATATTAATTATTTTATTATAGGAGCACAGGCAAGTTTTGTAACCAAAGAGTCATGAACACTGACAACCTTGAACTGTGTGGAAAACTTATTCCCATGGCTTATGTCTCCCAGGGATCTCAAGCAAGAGTTTCACACGAAAACAAAATCAAACAATTACTCCAACATGTAAGTAATAAGTGGTTACAGTGCCCTTATAGTGGTAGATACTTTTTCCATTGTTTTACATGCCTTTTGATAAAAAATTATTTGAATGCGTTTTCTTATGGGATGTGTTTATTAGCGGAAACTTCCAGATTCAGGATGGGATAATCAAACCATAGAACTTTTACTACAAGAACTGGCAGTTATGGACAGCAACAACTTCCCCGGCAACTGTGGGGTTGGAGAGAGAGAGGGTAGGATAGCTTCCCCTCTAGTAGCACAAAGACATTACAGGTAAAATAGTGATTTATCATGTAGATTTTTAATGAGTGATTTATTGATTGTTCAGTAAGCAAAGTTTCTTTTCTATTGCAACAGTAGGCCTATACAACTTAGTTTTTAAATTAGAAGAATATTTTTTTTAACTCTAAAGGTTGTGTCACGGTATAGGACGGTCAGGGGACATCACTGCTGTCCAACCAAAGGCTGCAGGCTCTAGTATTCTAATGAAGCTCACCAACTGTTTAGCATTAGATATCATTAAACTTGCAGGTAAGCAAAAGATGTCATTTAATTGGCAAGTGAGCTAAAGATAATTTAATTGGCAAGTGAGCTAAAGATATCATTTACCAGGCAGGTGAGCAAAGATATAATTAAACAGGTAGGTGAGCAAAGATATAATTAAACAGGTAGGTGAGCAAAGATATAATTAAACAGGTAGGTGAGCAAAGATATAATTAAACAGGTAGGTGAGCAAAGATATAATTAAACAGGTAGGTGAGCAAAGATATAATTAAACAGGTAGGTGAGCAAAGATATAATTAAACAGGTAGATGAGCAAAGATATAATTAAACAGGTAGATGAGCAAAGATATAATTAAACAGGCAGGTGAGGAAAAGATATTAAATTGGTAGGAATGTAATGGTTGGGAGATAATGATTGTGCCTTAAAAATATGAATGTACCACTTTTCAATTAAATGTCATTAAAAAATCATTTACAGGTATTCATTCTGCATCAAGTTGTTTTGTGGTTCCTATGGCCACAGGAATGTCATTGGTCCTATGCATGCTTACTATGAAGCTACAAAGGCCAAGTGCAAAATATGTTCTCTGGCCACGAATAGATCAGAAATCTTGTTTCAAATCTATGGTCACTGCTGGTAGGTTTATGGTCACTGTGGGTAGGTTTATGGTCATTGTAGGTAGGTTTATGGTCACTGTGGGTAGGTTTATGGTCACTGTGTAGGTTTATGGTCACTGTGGGTAGGTTTATGGTCACTGCGGTTAGGTTTATGGTCACTGCTGGTAGGTTTATGGTCACTGTGGGTAGGTTTATGGTACTGTGGGTAGGTTTATGGTCACTGTGGGTAGGTTTATGGTCACTGTGGGTAGGTTTATGGTCACTGCGGCTAGGTTTATGGTCACTGTGGCTAGGTTTATGGTCACTGTGGGTATGTTTGTTTCACTCGGGGAAGGCTTGTTTCACTGCTGGTAGGTTTATTTCATTAATATTTTACACAAACAGAAATAATTTTAAACTAACAATTAATTCATGCTTTTGACAAATTAGACACAAGAAAATATTTTAAACTATCAATAAATTAATTATTCATACTTTTGACAGGATTTAAACCAATAGTTGTTGAAAATGTTCTGGAAGGAGATGAATTGAGAACTGACATTGTCACACTAAGGAGCAAAGTGAAAGAGTTAGGGCCTGAAAACATATTGTGCATCATGTCAACAACCAGCTGCTTTGCTCCAAGAGTGCCAGACAGGTGCAGTTCTTTTTTTTATCCCATCAATTTGTGATTTGTCTCAATGTTTAGACACATTTGTTGAGTTTTGTTATTTCAAAAAGATGGATTTCAGACAGAGCCATCAGAATGATTTTAAAAAATTGTCCAGAAAAAAATTCAGTGAATTTTGTAGTTCCTTAACATGACAAAATGATGTTGCAGGTTAGAAGAGATTGGTGTTTTATGCAAGGAAAATGATATACCTCACCTAGTAAACAATGCCTATGGACTTCAATCTTCTAAGTGTACCCATCTCATTCAGCAGGCAGCCCGCGTGGGAAGGGTGGATGCCTTTGTCCAAAGCTTGGACAAAAATTTTATGGTCCCTGTTGGTGGCTCTATTATTGCTGGCTTTGATCAAAAGTTTGTGGATGAAATTGGGAAATCTTATCCAGGTAAGTTTTTTTATCATTTGCTCACTAGCTATAGCAGGTAAAAATTATTTAGATTGAATTTAGTTGAGAAAGTAGCTGAAGGGATGGCGTGACCTAGCGATAGAGTGGTTTCACCTGAAAGGCTAGAGTTCGAAACCCGGTTCAAGTCAGTATAACATCCCTGTGTCCACCCAGCTTTGATGGGTGCTTAACTCATGTTGGGAATATAAAGGTAGCTTCATATCCCTTCATATGTCCAGGACACTGAAACAGATGAGCTCCACTTCAGCTGCCCGATGCGTCTTGGGCACGAGTACCGTTACAGCTAGGTTGATCAAATTTCATATATAAGTATTATGTCAAATTTGTAGATATGTATCAACTTTTCAGTGATTTCCGATAACTGGGCGTGGAACTCTTTCTAGTTTCCATTTTTCAAAAGCCTATAACTTAAGTACTATTTCAGATAGATAAATGAAATTTTCCATGTTAGTAAAAGATCTAATTCTCTGCCTTCTGTCAAATTGTGAGTAATTTCCGTTGACTGAAAGTAGTAATTTACGCTATTTCCGTTTTCTAAAAAAACCGCATGTAAATTTATAAAGTACTAATAATATTTCGCACCATTATACACATTTTGTTTGGCGTTCACCTGGTGCGCAATTCTTTTTTAAAATTTATAACCTTTATTATCTTGTTCCCAGGCAGAGCCTCAGCAACACCATCAATAGATTTATTTATAACCTTTATTATCTTGTTCCCAGGCAGAGCCTCAGCAACACCATCAATAGATTTATTTATAACCTTTATTATCTTGTTCCCAGGCAGAGCCTCAGCAACACCATCAATAGATTTATTTATAACCTTTATTATCTTGTTCCCAGGCAGAGCCTCAGCAACACCATCAATAAATTTATTTATAACCTTTGTTATCTTGTTCCCAGGCAGAGCCTCAGCAACACCATCAATAGATTTATTTATAACCTTTATTATCTTGTTCCCAGGCAGAGCCTCAGTAACAACATCAATAGATTTATTTATAACCTTTATTATCTTGTTCCCAGGCAGAGCCTCAGCAACACCATCAATGGATTTGTTTATTACCTTGTTGTCTCTTGGGGCCCAGGGATATAAAAGTTTACTCCAGGAAAGAAAACAGATGTACAACTACCTTGCCACATCACTGGCTCAGTGTGCTGCTAAATTTGGTGAACGATTACTGCAAACAAAAAATAATCAAATCTCTTTAGGTTTGCTATTTCAACCATAATTACTTTTTTACCAAAAGCAGTTACCATAATTATTACCATCTAGAGTAAAACATCTCAGAATTTTAAAAAATTCAGCAAGTTTTAGGCTATTCAATGAATTCAATTGTTATATTATCTTTAGCCAAAAAAGAAATCACACTTAGTAGCTCATTGGACTAAGTTATTTAGCTTTTATTACTACTTAAAAGGCTCTGGCTAAAGTATATAGAGAAAAGATCACCTTTCACCTAGAGGGCAGTTGAAGTAGAGTTTATCTTTTTTTTGTGTTTCTTTACCTCTGCATTTGAAGTATGGTGTGGTCAGTGCTATATATACATAGTATATTTTTTCTGTATACATTTTTACCATAGTATAACATTTAGTCAACTAATGACTTTCATTATAGGCATAACACTGACTCTAGAGGATGGTGTCAAAGGTGAAAAAGCTACTGAAATCGGATCAATGTTATTTACAAGATTTGTTTCTGGTACAAGGTATTTGAGAATAATTATTTTTTTTAATTCTCATCATATTACTACCATTACTGTTTTTGATTACCTTCAGACTAGTAATAATAAAAGATGACAAACTCTGATGTCAAATTATTCCTGATTCTAATCCCCAATGCAATGTTTCACTTTGCATGGCAGGAACTTCCACAGCTGGAACTGACCAGACATCTTTCCTCTGTGTTGTCAGCCTTTGATCTCTGCTTTTATATTTCACTTTTTAAAATGGTATTGCCACAATTATTTTGTGTTTGTAGAGTTGTAGCACCTGGTCAAGAAAGTGAGGTTTGTGGACACAGCTTCAAGAACTTTGGTTCCCACAGCAACAATTACCCTTGTACATATTTGACAGCTGCTGCTGCCATAGGGATGACCAAATCTGACGTGGACTTGTTCATTGGCCGATTGGATAAAATTTTTACAAGAATGAAACACAAGCTAGTTGAAACGAATACTGAAACCACTCAACTACCAGCTGAAAAAAATGATTCTGAGCAGGGTTTAAATAATTTAATTTGCCTCTCACTAGCAGACAAGTAAACCACTGAGTTATTTTACAAACTTCTCAGTGTACCATAATTAATTGGTTATTTCCTTTTAGAACATTCCATTTCCTTTGGAAAAAGTGGGAAAAAATACATCCACACAAGTGTCAGCAGTAAAAGATGTTGGCTGAATTGAATGTCATTTTATGCTGATCTTATCTCAACTCCAGTTTGAATAGTTTATTTAAAAGTTAACATTTATAATACTAAAAGCTTAGAGGTGCATCTTTTTGCCTTATTTCTGAACATTGTTACTGGATTTTTGTCTTAAAACAGTTAAAAAAAATTATAAACCACATTTATTATTACTTTTGCCTAAAATCAAATAATGCAAGGTCAAACAATTGTAAATAATCTGAAAAAAATCCCCACACCTAAAAATAGCAATGCACAAACAAAAGCTGTTCAAACGGAAATTCTTCAAAAGAAGCAGAAAACTGTTTTCTCAGAATTTTAACTGATATTTTTTAATCAAGAGTGGCGTCATTTTATAATATCAGCTTTTGCTAATGTGCTACTTTAGTGGAATGAACATTTTTCATGAACAGAGAGAGCATACCATGACTTCTTCGAGTATCCTTCTTTTGAATGTAACAAAAAATTATTGTAAATAAATATGAACTATATTAATCCATACAATTTTTATTTGTGGTTTTGTGTTTACGCTTTTTGCTTATACATATAAAGGTTTTTTTTTTTTAATTTTATCATTCCATTAATCTTTGGTCAAGCTTGCTAGAAACTGTTCCATGTCAACCACACAAAAAATGCCTGATACACAAGTTAGTAATACAATGTTCTTCAGATAATGGTAACAGTCATTAGATACATAAGTTAGTATTACAATTGTTCCAGATAATGTCAACAGTCCCCATTTAGTTTTTAGAGCATCTTACATTATTCTTCCTAAGGTTGAGTATGAGACAACAGCAGTGTTTCTTCCAGACTTTATTTCTCTGGGGCGTGAGACACTGGTAAAAGTATGTTTAAATAAATTCCATTTTGTTGGGGTAGGGCAGTAGACTTGCCCCCCCCCCCCCCCCCAAAAAAAAGATGCCTGGAAGAAACTGGACTGCAGCCACTAATGCCACACCCTTACTAAAGCTTTAACCCATTCTCCTGCACTAGCTTAGGTAGACTGCACTTGTCACATTCTATTGATAACTAGTTTAGTTGTAACTGCATGGAGTCCTTGCTAACATGTGACCTAAATCACATGAAAACTAGTCTGCGGGTATCTTATGATTAATAATAATGGTAGTTAAAATTATTAACAAACACTGATTTTTTGTTTTAAAGTTTTAATTAATTACAGTGACTAAAATGTAAAAAAAAAATACCAAACACTAACACACCTTAGCTCTTTGTAGAGTCTTGTGTTACAGTGGTGTCTGGGTATTCCCCTTTTAAAATTTGTCCTGTCTTTGTAATAGCAAAGTTATAGTCACTCCGACTGTCCAGAAGCCTCTCAATTTCTTCATCCAGTTTATCTTTGGTGATGTCAGTGATAAAGTTGGATGATATTTCCTATGATGTACAAAGTTTAATGATGTTACATGTACAAGAAGACAAAGAAAGCAGCTTTAACCAAACAAATTCTCAAGCTATTTGATTTAATAGTCATACTTATAGAATAGAAAAGAATTGCTTACTTTGTTTTTTAATAATAATATTTCTGCTTTTTTAGCTACTTTCAACCTGTTTTCTTCTTTTTTGGCCATAAATTCTGCAATTCTTTTTTCCTCTTTTTGCATTTCTTTGACTTGTCGTGCTTCCCTGTACAAATAAACAGCAGTAAAAACATTTTATATCATGCTATCACGCTTTAGTTTAACCGGTCTTAGCATATATGATAAATATTTTAAACCCTGCTTCCACACTTTACTTGTCTTGGCGTCTATAATCATAAAATCATTTTAAAAGAATATTTGTGATTAAAAACTTGCTGGTTTCAGATATTTCCATAACTTAGCTATAAACTTGCCTGTTGACAGCAACTAATTTGTTCCAACTTTTCACTTGTTCTGCCATCCAAGCAACATCTGCTGCATCATCAGATTTTTGTTGAGCTTTTAAATTAACTGCACTTTCTGAAAGCTGCTGTTTAAGGAATTGCCTGCAGAAAAAAAGAGCCCAGTATCATAAGCAATTTATGGAAATGCAACATGCCAATCAAAAGTAATAAACTTGCCCAGGGATGTGACCAAGAACTCAATTTTTAAATGTTTTATGGCAGTTAAAGCAGCCTCACACCACTATTGTACTAATGAATTATAGCTTTTACTTATATTCTAAATAAAAGAAGTTTATGTTACTCTAAAATAACAATGAAAATGTAGTCTAATTGCAATTTTATTACTTTAAATTACTTTAATTTCAATTCAATGTTTACCTTTTAAAATATAAACAACTATTTAAAATTTTTTACAATTTAATTAAAGTAAAAATGAAACTTTATTTTAACATTAAACAAACTTATATTAATTATCTAATTGTACTCTTGTTTTCAACTTTAAATTATGCCTTATATTCTTTTAAAGATGGCATAATAAAGATGCAAGTAAAAAGCATAGATCTAGTATAATAATTGTAATTTGAAAGTTTGAGTTCATGTGATGGAAAATAAAATCAGCGGAAGAAAGGGTCATAGTGATAGGCCTATTATTTTAAAAAGTAGTTTTGGAATTAATACTTGTAAAAATAATTGAACCAAAATTAACTATTTTGAAAACCAAACAACTTCACTATTTATGATTTTAGAATAGCCTTTGAAAGGTTTGTTTAAATAGTTAAATAGTAATTTGTAGGCCTATAAATAAAAGCTTGATATATGTAAAAAAATAATTTAATTTAGCTTGATAAATGTAAAGTTTTTTAAATTTAGCTTGATATATTTTTAAAAAAAAATTATTTATTGTTTTCTGTATGTGTCTGTTCTATTTATATTGATGGAGTATTATTTTCTTCAATTAGTGGGTATAAAATTACTATTTCCTTTAAAAAACTTTAGGCCACCAAAGTGATTCCTTTTTAATTTGTTCAGACAAGTATGTTATCTATACTATAATATATAAATGAAAGTATGCCTGTGTCTTTTATGCCTAACTACACCTTTTATATGATCAGCATGAAACTTTGGGAAGTTGATGAGATAATTTTGGAGGGGTGGTGCTTCTCCCAAAAGCGCAATTGCGCTTATGTTCATTTGCAAAATAAATCAAATTAAGTGATTCAAAGGGTCAATTCTAAATATAATCCTAGTTAGCCCTAGTTATTTTTACCCCGAAACCATATGAGAGAGCATTAAGCATTGATGCCAAATTTATATTTCTTGCCGAAGTGACTAAACGGAACGCGAGTGATCAGAATATTTTTGAAATCCATAGAACACATCCTAAAAATAGATATCGGGTAAAACTATTCGGTGCACTGTCAAAACGGCATGGGACAAATTGGCCCTGTTAATATCACCCAGTCAAATCGACCCCCGACAAAACAACCCAGTCAAAAGGGCCCCGACTTATTGGCTCCTGTCATATTGACTCGCGACATATAGACTCCAGACATATTGGACAAATGGGCTCCCGATATATTCAGACAAATGAATTGTATGACCACTATTGGCACAAAAGTAACCATTTTGTCTTATCTCCACTACCACTATAACCTCTTATAAATGCCTGAATGACGCTGCACAAGTTATTCATACATAACTAATAAACTCTAATATACTAAAATAGGTCTACTAATAATCTACTGTGGTAAGAAAATGAAGCATTGTTTATTTCGTTTTAGTAATCTACTGATTAAAATTGCCTAATAATTTATTTGCTAAAACACTGGGCGTGGTAGAGTCGACAGTGCTGCAGCTAACTTTGATAGCCCTGGAGCGCCGAGTTTGAATACGAGGTTATCACCACCGGCAGTGGCGGATTAAGGGGGGGGGGGGGGGGGGGGGGGGTGCTGAAAGGACTGCAGCCAGGAGCCCCCAAATTTTGATTTCTCAACTACAGCAAATATTACTTTATTATTGATTTTTTAATAGCTTTGTTAAATTATTTTTTTAATGTCCGAAGTATAAGTTAAAATTTCACCAAGTATTAACAAGCATCACTTAAATAATAGCTTTATCAGTGAATGTGCCAAGACAAGCGAGATTCATCAGATACTCTCTGATCTTGAATGTTTAATTTTGCCTTCTTTAAACAGCAGATAGAAAATGTTTTGAAAACCATGTAAAAACTCATAGTGTCGAGGCTGAGGGAGGGTGGGGGTGGAGGTATTTGTATGAAGGGCTGTTTGCGTATTGTCATAGCGCAGATAGTTAAAAACAAGACTAGACTAGTAGAGACTAATAAGGACGGTGTAAAATTGATGGTAGACGATTTGTTTTGAGAGTATGTGTTACATGGGTGTTAAATTTGGGAAAAAACGTTGTAGGGAGGGTCTGATATAGCGAAGTGGATGGTTAGACACGGACGGATGTAGAAGTGTTTTTTTTTTTAGTATTGACCTTTTGACCGAGTGGCTTAGAGATAAAAAATGAGAAACATCTCTAGTCCAAGGCACACTCTCTCACCCGTATTAATTGCACAATAGGAATTGCTAAACAGGCCAAGAGAGAAGAAGCCTATAAATAAAGGTGTTACCGCTGTCGCGCACGGTAATACAAAACCGGATGAGACTCTATTGCAGGGCATAGCATCTACCCCCCCCCCCCCCCACATACTCGACATGTCCCCCAATTGTCTCCCCACCCCGAAGTTTCACCCATTAAAACATTTGAGTTGTGAATTCCTTGGAATTTAGCCGTAGTCAATGTTTTTTAAGTAAAAAAATTTTTAAGGGGTAAAAAAAAAAAACTTTTTTAATACCCGTAGAAAACAGTTATTTCTTTACAGCTTTATTAAGATACATCCGCATATGCATTTCCACTAAAAAAAATTGGTGGAAAAATCTTGGTAACTATGACAACGGCGGCCATCTTGAAAAATAACCCCCTCGTAGGTTTTCCACCATTGATAAAATATTATATTTTTTGCCCAATAAATAATGAATTCATAATCTTCTTTCATATTTTGGGGTACGCAGCTAAAAATTTTAAGTGTTTATCTTCAAGATAATTTATTATTAATAGATTCAAGTGCATTCAGAGCTTTCCAAATGTGCAAATTGTTCTTCGAATTTATCTGAGTATGATGACGTCTAACTGCAGCGGAAAGCGCTCATTTTCCAAAATGAAAAAGTTTAAAAGCGATCTTAGAAGCACTATGGGACAGCAGAGACTTAGTATGCTCTCACTTATGAGCATAGAGAATGACATTGTAAGCTCACTGAATTATACAGAACTAATAGAAGAGTTAGCTATAAGGAAAGCTCGAAAATGTTCCATATAAAAGTTACTTGGTCTTTGGTTCTAAGTAAAAAGAAATGTAATAAATGTATGTATTCATAATTTATTTTGCATTAGTAAATAATAATAATGGTTCCTTTAAATGCTCTTAGGGGGTCATCCATAAATGACGTCACGCTTTTTTTGCCAATTTTTACCTCCCCCCTCCCCTTTGTCACACGTCGTCACAAACAGCCAGAACCCCCCCCCCCCTAAAATGACGTCACACCTCAGCCTAAAACCCCCCTCAAAATTGCAGTTGAATTTTTTTTAACATAAATAATTTTCCAAAATCTTGTCTGAAATATGTCTAAATAGAGTATTTTAATCAATTCCTATTATAATTTATTAAACCTGTTTTCTAAAACACTAAATAATGTCTAAAATTCGTTTTCTAACGTTTCTTATCTGAACCCCCCTCCCCCTCATCACAAAATTACCGACCCCCCTCCAAGTGTGACGTCATTTATGGACGACCCCTTATGTCTCAATGTGATTTAACATTACATTAAATGTAACATATTTTGTCTATGCCATGGCTTCTGTTAACCTTTAGTTTATTCCATTCGACCTTTATTTCTGGGAAGGCCTCTCTTTTGTGATGTCGTTATATAAACTACATGTATGTATGTATATATATATATATATATAGTTGAAGGGGGTCCCGGAAAAAGTTTCTTCCATGGGCCCCGCTGAGGCATAATCCGCCCCTGACCACCGGTAATCAGTGTCTTTTTTATTTTTTTTAAAGTGGCAAATAAATGCAAATGTTGAGTATGATTTTTTTTTAAAATCTTATTTTAATCTATTAAATTTTAAAGACAAATTAAATTATTCAAAAATTTCCAAACATTGTCACTTGGATGATTGCCTGCTCATGTTTTCTTGCCTGCTGGCGAAAAATCCCACCACGGTCGCAGGGTCACTGAGAGTTCAGCATACATCATGGAATGAACACTATTGGAGATAGTTGCTGACATCACTTATCCTCCTCCATCCAAGCAAACAGGCCTACTTTTGGTCATTTTAAGCTTAGGCCAAGCCTATAGACTTAGATCTAGTACCACGCATGCTAGATAGCAATAGCAGCAGGATGGCTTCTGACGTAAACGAGCTTGGTTACATTGGATAAAAACTTCGCTAACCTTTATTTAATAATTGAAATTTTTAATAAAACTGTTTAAAAACAGGTAGATCTCGAAACATTTTTGTAACTTTTAAAACTTTATTAAATCATCATAAAAATGTAAAATAATGACTAAAATTTAATAAGTCTCCTTTTTTTCACATTACTAGCCTCTGATGATTTTACATGCATAAAATTAAAATGATAGATTATTATCGGGTCTTGTTGACTTGTTATTTTGTTAGTGTTAGGCCTAATATAATAAACGAGCCGACCCGTGGCATATCATACGCCACTATTTAGTTGCTTTATTTTCTACTTTTCAGTAATTCATAATTTGTGAATTCGACAGTACCAATGCTGCCACTGAAAATATTTGCTTTAAAATACTATCAGTAGGTCATTAAGGACGATACTACCCCCACCCTCCATTCCCCCAACCCAAACCCTACACCACCCCCCCCCCCACCCCGTGAAAGCAGCCTCCTCTTAGTTATCTTCCCTAAGTTTAAAATCGTTTCAAACTAAATTATCTGCCCCTAGTAGCCGTCACTAAACCCGGCTCTACGATTGTAAACATTTAGCGTGAACCAAAGCTCACCAGACCATGTAGGGGTGGGGTGGTAGGGAGCGCGCTTACAGCTTGTTTTCTAGCATCTCCAAGAAGAGAATTACATATAGAGATATAGGTCTATTAGGTAGTCCAGCTGGTTTCTTAGATTGACCTCTGACCCTGAAACATCACGCATCGTTTTCTGGCGGTTTTTACGTTTATTTTAGGGGTCCTATCCATCATTATTCTCATCATTATTTTAATACAAGATGCTAATAAAATGGATAATATGCCTTAGAATGCCAGAAAAAAATCACGAGATTTGTGGTTGTAAATAATGACAGGATTTCTAGTGGAGCACTCTCCGTAAAAACTGAACCGCCGCTAAAAACGACAGACTAACAGGAAAACAGCCCGACTAACTCAAAATAAATATATAATTGATATATTTACCATGTATATTTACCATGTATATTTACACTATTATTGATTACTTTTTCCAAAATCTTACTCGAAGATGAGGTACCCACGCAGAGATTTCTATCCGCTATTTTTAGTATCGTTATGTCATTGTTATGCTAGTTGCCTGACAGAAACAAATAGTTTTTGTTTTTTGCGGAATTAACTGTCTAGTATTTTAATTATAATTCAATTTTAGCATGTGCAGAAAAAGTAAAATTATGGACATTTTTATTGTATTAGTAATTTTATTAGGCCTAGTACATTGATTTTTTTCTTCACTATTGGCCGACAGTAGCTGCATTGAATTCAATTTGTGGCCAGTGGTTAACCTCGACAACGCTGCATAGCCTATTCGTCTATACTATAATATTATTATTAGGGTAATCTATCGTTTTAGCGTAATCAATTCGGTCGTCACTAGTAATGTAGGGATAAGGTAACTAATAAATATGGCTTAAATATGAATATATTTTTGCATATTCTACTAAAATACTAAAGATAATTGAATATTAAACCATATTTAAGGGTTAAATCAATAAAAATGTCATGAAATTAAGGTTTAACAACGATGTTCCAGATACTAAATTTGCTATTAAAAACAGCGGCCATCTTAAGAAAATATTATTTTGAGTCATTTCCCTTTAATTTCTATTTGTATGGAAATGTATTGATGTTTGCTATTAAATACGTTTGTCTTGTGTTTAAATACAAAGCATGCGTTTTTTTTATTTTAAATTCTGCCCTTTAAACAATTTAAACTTTAATTGACTGACAATAAACATCAGTTCTAGAATTTTTATTATTATTATTATTATTATAATATTATGAGATGCAATTTTTATACTTTAAGAAACTCCCTATTTTTATAGAGCTACCACTACCTACATATCTAATGTTTATTTAAATATTAGTTTGAGTTAATTGTTATTGTTTGTGTTATTGTTTGTTTACTATTTTCATTTCATATTTTCATGCTTTTTTCCTTTAATTAGGGATTTAATCATAAATGACGTCACGTTTTTTGACATCTCTTCACCTTAACACCGTCACGAAATAGTCGTAATGTCGAAAATTACCTTTTTGCCCTGCCTGTTATTACTGTTAAAAAGTCAAGCCATAATTCGAACGAAAAAGAATTCTTTTGGCATTTTTGTACTAGGTGAAATACATAACGTTTCACGTTTCTTACCCCTCCCCTTTCCCGCGTAAAACGTCGTCTCAAAACCAGTTACTCCACCCCTTAAGTGTGCGATGTCATTTATGGTAGATATCAAGTCCTAACCTCCAATATTCATTTTGTACAACCTTTGTTGTCAAAATGTTGATACCAAATACCCAAAATGAGTTATATGGGGTTGTCCATAAACGATGTCACATATGCTATGCTAATGTGACGTCAACTTACGTAGGACCGCAATATATGACATATAATGAAGGGGTGATCGGGGGGGGATGAGTGACGTCAATTATGGAAGACTTCTATAAAGCTGTGCTCAATGAAAATGAGGAACATAAAGCGTTCGTTTTCATGCATACCTTTGCTCATAACGAATGATCATAACTATTGCAAGCCTGTTGTCCTAAGCGGTGTTAAACAACCTCAGCACACCATCCCCGCCAAAAAGGGCCTGCCACTAAATGCCTACCGACGAAAATAGACCGCACTACATTGACTCCGAATGAAATAACTTCTGACAATAAGGCTCAAACCAACTAGCTCCTGGCAACGATATTCGACAAGAATCCAAGACAATTATTGGCTTGCAGGTAAAATTTGACAAAACAGCAAGTTTCGCGACATGGGAAATAGAAAAAAGATCAACCCTTAATACGACAGCAGCTAATGTAAAAATTCAGAACTCAGTATAGGCTTGAGTTTAATATAGAAATAGTGTTAGCAGTGGACGGTGCATTAGGAATACGGCAGTCGGCTAAACGCCCGAGTCCGACGATGTCTGAACATCAAGTTTGTCTTTTATAAAGTGCGGAGCACCTTTAAGAGCTGAGCTTGGGGAGGGGGTCTCTGTTGACACCACCACTAGCGCTGCTTATGTCCACATATCAATCACAAGTTTTGCGTGGAGCTAAATGGACAGACGAAGTTTATATGTGGGACCGGGAGTCTAAATGTATTTACGGAAGCCGCTGTGTCACAGGCATTTTACAGCCGATCGTCTCAGGGCAGCATGTTGCAGAAATTAAAAGCACGTGAATTCGTATAGTAGAGGGAGAACATCATGCCTCTGTAATAAATTAAACACCAATATAATTTACCGTACTAAAGTCATTTTGATCTATTCGTCAGACTAAACGTCGCTAAAGTCTCAACGCAATACTGCCTGTTTTGACTTTTTTAATTACGCGGTATCTCTTTCTTTAACATTAGCCTAATGACAAATGACGTCACGCGCGCCGAGAACTTGGTGACGTTGTGCTTAGTGGGGGGATGAAACGGCGGGGTCGAGAAAAATGACGAATTTCTTTTTTTAAACAGACGAATAAGTGATAGATTCTAATTTTCCTACGAACTATAGGTTGATCTAGTTTTTTTTTTTTTCTAGGGGGAGATATCACTACATAGTGGGTGTTCTTTGTTTTTGTAATAAAGGATGGTGGGGATGGGTAAACATCGACTATTGAACAAATAAAAAAACTGATGAAAGCAGAAGGCAAAGAAAAAAACCATGTGGTATTCAGATGTAACTAATTAAAATTTAAAACTATTTTTATAAACACAATAATCTTAATTCTGAAAAAGTGTAGGCCAAAGACTAATGTCCACAGACAAAATAAACAACTAGGCTTAAATGGATCACCCATAAACAGTGCCGGCGCCAGGTTATTTAGTTAATAAAAGCGCCCCCCCCCCCCCCATCTGCAATTTTTTTCATGCCCCCGTATTATCAGATGCGTAGCGACCCTTCCCGGCTCCCGGGGACAAGCTTACGATTTGTACCCCCCTCAAACTTTCAATTTGTTTTTCCAACCCATTTTGGCGCCCGTCCCCCCCCCCCCCCCCGCCTACGGACAGCACCCTAGGCGACAGCCTAGTTCGCATTATAGGTAGCGCCGGTCCTGTCCATAAATGACGTCATACTTTTCCCGATGAATTCCCTTTCCCCCAATCGTCACTAAAAGCAAGATGATGATTTAATATCATATCGCAGTTCTACTATACCCGAACGCGTAATCACAATTTCTAACGAAAACGAATATATTCTTCATCATTTTTTTTTTTTAAATATTTTACCCCGTCCCATATTTTGAGTCCAACGTCATTTATGAAGAATATGGACGACCTAATAATTGACAAGTTCATCAGTACAAAAGGGTTTAATAAATGATGGACCTCCCAAAAGTTTTTGAGATCTTGGATGTACATACATACATACATACATAGCCTTCATTTCAATTGAAATTAAAGATAAGAAGATGGCCCTCTGTCCTACTTATATTAAACAAGACAACTATGTATATTCAACAACAAAGTCAACACAATATACATACGAATAGACATTTGTATCAAGGGAAACTACTCTAAATTTTATTTGGTAAGATGGCCGCTGTTTTTATCTACTAATATTTATCTCAAAGACCTAGTTTAAAGTTCGTTTCATGATATTTTAAATTGTTTTGGTCACTGATTGTTATTTTTAATCAATTATCTGTTATATTTTGTAAAATTTGACTTAAATATATTTATTTAAACAAATATATTCATCAGTTACCTCTCCCGCACATTACTATTGCAGCCGAATTGATTACGCTAAAACGATAGATTACCATTATTAGGACCTAATATAATAACTTGTAAGGGCCTAAGTAGTATGTAATAAAGTATTATTAATTAGTAATAATTAGGCCCTACTAGGCCTATTAAATATTATATTTATTATTATTATTATTATTAATTCTAATTCTAGCTCTAGGCATCTTTCTTTATTTGTGGTTCGGTAGGCCTAGTGCAACAAATACTGATTAAACTTTATACTATACATACCTAATACTAAGAACTTCAGCTCTGTACAAGTTGTATCGTGTATTTAGCATATCATATTCAACAGGATCGATGGGAGTTGGTTTGCGTACATAAAATTCTTTTGACTTTGCAATTGGAACCCATCTCGGTTTTCGAAATCTGACACTTTTTATTAAATGCAGTGTGGATACATTTAAAATTTTGTTTTTAACAGTGAAATTCAAAACACAATATAAATGCGTTGACATTATTATTTAAAAAGATTTAGATCTAAAATCTAGATTTCAGTCAAGTTTTTTGACAATGTCAAAAGCAAAAAACTTGGACAGAGAATGTATATTTACAAGCGTATTGCTATTGGTTATACTAGTTCCCGGGTGGTGGCAAATAAGGCCGGAAGACTAACTTTATAAATAATAATTATTGCACTATTATTATTATTAGTATTAGATCTACTGGCTACTTAAGCCAACAAATGCGGTTTTTAAAAAAAGTAAAATAATAGATCTAGATCTAAGAAAAATAAATAATGTATAAATTTTCAAAACTACATTTTCATCCAATCGCCATGTAGCATTGGGAAGTTGATACACTTTGGGATGTTTCAGCGGGCCTCATAATAATAATAAGTAATATTATTTAATTTTCAATAATCAAATGAATTAATCATGCTTAGATTATTTAACAAAAAATATTAATTGGTTATTCCTCTTTGTCCATAAAAAAAACTATGTAACAAAAATCAAACCTACAGTTCTAAAAGTGAGAATATTCCCGAGGTTTCTGTGAAAAAAAATCCAATTTCAATCGGCAGGGTGCTATTTGCTCACCGGGATCCCCCGTGAGCACTATAGCACCAGTGTTCGCTTTAAAGAGTGCGATACAGTACAGATACGCTGGGCTAGCACAATCATTCGCTAAATCGAATCAGGCACTAAAATTAAGAACGCAGAAGAAGAAGATCACACTGTATGGCGCTCATTAAAACAAACACTCAATGCGGTCTGGTCACATGACAAAGTCTATGGAAGCAAATCTAAAAAGAAAAGCAGGCTGAAATTTTAATCGGAGTCAATGGCCTCAATGGCGCATAACCAGTTGACACGTATACTTAATTGTATTGGAGAGGCTCCCTTCCAACACTAAAATTAAGAACGAAGAAGCATGAATTTAATATTAGGGGTTGCAACTCTTACTACTTTAAAAATCACTCTTATTTTCATCGTTATTTCCCTTAGACAGCAAATAATTTAAATAAGTTTAATCGATTGGTAAATATAAACTTCTCCCTTTGTTATTTTTTTTAAACAAATTACTAGTGTAAATTGTTTTTTTTAAAATAGATTTCTAAAAATCTAGAATACTCCTATCTGCGTCTGTCCAGTTTGTACAGCAGTATCTCACTTCTCCGGCCAGCAAGATCATTTACCCACCCCCCCCCCCCAAGCACAGTAACAAATTTAGTTGCAGCTCTTTAAAAAAAATGCCGCGTCAAAACGACCCCGACATAAGAGCCCCGTCACATGAGAATAGCTCTTAAAAGGAATTGTTTCTTCAATCTTGCCTTTACAATCGAGAACGTATTATACTTTTACAATGCTAAGGAGTCATCCATTTATGACGTCCACAAAGTTTAGGAATTTTAGCGTCGTATATTATTAGTACTTTATAAATTCAATGATTCAATGCATTTTTTGATAAATCGGAAATAACCTAAATTACTACTTCCGGTCACCGGAAATCACTCAAAATTTGAAAGAAGGCAGAGAATTAGATCTTTTACTTATATGTGAAATTTCATTTATCTATCAAAAACAGTACTCTAAAAAAAAAAACAGTACTCAAGTCATAGGCTTCTGAAAAATTGAAAGTAGAATAAATTCCACTTCCGGAAATGGATGAAAAGTTGATTCAAAACTAAAAATTTGATATAATACTTATATATGAAATTTCATTAACGTAGCTGTAACGGTACTCAAGTTATTGTGTTCACAGAAATACACACACTGACAAAAGTGCAAAACTATGTTTTTTCGACTCAGGGAGGGATAAAATGTCGAGATCTGCAATAATCTCGATTTTGATTTTTCGCACGATTACAAAACTTCCTTTACTTTTTATACTTTTTGTATACAAGAAAGTAAAAATGTGACAAAAGAGTTTTAACTCTAACCGAACTGACAATTAAATAGAAATTACTGTTACATTAAATGCAACAAAAATGGTGTGTTTATGTAAGCTATAAATTGTAATTATTATTATTAAGATTTTGCAATATTTTATGAAGTCATAAAAATAATATTAATAAATGTTTTAATAACAAGCTTTTAGATCTATATAATTTTATAACTATGCACTAAAAAAGAAAACGAATATATATATAAATATTAAACCACTTTTTAGCGCAATTTCCTTACAGGAATTGCGATTATTAACTCGTCATTTCTGGATGGATGGATGTGTGTCCGCAGCTTTAAGTCGTATCTCCTCCTCAACGAAGCAATATCGATGACTAGTTCCAAAAGCAAATATGTTAAGCAAGTTCTGAGAATGCTTGTGGGCCAAAAAAATTCCCGGAATTCCTTTCTGGATTTCCAGGAAAAGCCAAAAAACCTCAAAAAAAATGCAGTTTTTGGCCCATATCTCGGCAACCAGACCACTTAGCGACTTGAAACATTTACCAATCGATTCCTGCCATAATTTAGAACAATATTGCCGAAGAAAGTTTTCAAAAATATCCTTTCCTTCAGTCACAAAATTTTTTAAAAAATTACATAAACACCTACAAACCGATCGATCTCCTAGCTTGAACGCACCCCAGCATTATACGTCTTGTGTTTTGTCCCCATGTGTGCTTTACGCTACGACAGAGCTACGGGTTATGAACATAATACACTACAGTACTATAATCTATTTTTAGATAAATAAGGAAATTGCGCTTAAATTGTCACTAGACTTTTTATTAACTTGTTTAAATAACTAAAAATAAAAGTGCAGTTGCTTCTTGAATTTTGGTAAAGGTTATTATATTATAGTGAAAAATTAAGCAAGTACAAGGAAGCAAGTAAATAAAAGCTTGTAAGAAGAGTCTTCTGTATGAATAAAAATGGTCATTAGGATTGAATTTTCTTCAATAAGCGGTAAAACAGAGCTGATCATTGAATAAACAATGCGAGATCTGCTGATTTAGAACCTGTTAGGATTGTATAATATACCTATACAATTTGAAAAAGATTTAAAATTGGGTTACTATTGAAGTACATACTTATTTGAAGACACTGATTGAGAGCCTGAGATTATGTGCTGCCTGACGATAACTTCCATTGACTGGATGTGGAGCAGAGGGTCATCAAATAAAACAACCCCATTGTACTAGGGGTTGTCCAAGAATATCAGCCAATAACTTTGATTAATTTTAACACCCACTTCCACAATCAATCAATACCAATTCTCCTCACAAAAATCACTTTAGTATGATACTAATGAAAATGTTTGTACCATAACAAATTACATGTACGACTTTATTGACAACAAAAATAAAAGTAATAAATTCAAGTTTTAATTGCATTGATTTCTTCGGATGTAGGAAAGATGACTTGGTCAACAAACTTATCATGTTCTAGTGTGGGGATGTGATTGACTAGCTGCTCTTTGAAAATCAGTGCAACAGTTTTTGGGTGTGTCCCTGCCTGCAGACATTGCTGCAAATATTTGTCATAATAACCTTTTCCTCTTCCAAGTCTAGCACCGTTTCTTGAAAAAGCAAGTCCAGGCATGAAGATTAAATCAAGTCCTCCTGAAAATAAAATGCACAATTGTCTCCTTAAATAAATTATTTTTGTTCTAAGTAAAAAAAAACAACTGAACCACACTGCAAATGATAATAATACAACTTGCATCTGATCTACTACATTTTAGTGAGCAACACTTCTAATGTTATCGGGAAAGAAAATTGAGTATATTTCGCTTAGTACATTTTAAAGCCTGTTATATAAAAGGCAAAGTTTTTTTACATTCATATTGAAATAAAAAGCTGCTAATAATTTGACCTGTATAGTTGGCATCAGATTTGGAATCAAAAACTGAAGGTTGCCTGATACCCCAGGAGTTTATAGGCAAGTTTTCATAGGCGGCCCATGATTCTAGTTGCACCATGATCATACTCTGACCTTCATAATGGGGAATATAACACTGCTTGCCTGCATCAAACATAGACTTCAAAATTGGTAGAGTATTAACTTCATCCTTCATTGGAAGAAAAATTGAAATCCTCTGGCTGGCTTTATAAATTTCTGAAGATAACACCTACAATAAAAAAAATGTATACATACAACTCAGCGCAATAGACATTTTAATTTCAAAAGTTTTAACTAACTGAATATTATGGTTAACAATTTTTAGAAATGAAACCCATGATATTCATTGATACTGTTTTAGTTTGCTTTTTTTAATAAAATAGTTTTTTTTTTTTAGTTTAACATAACTCATAACTGGTCTATCAAATATTAATTACACCTAGTCTAACTAACTCTAGAGTAAGAGACATTAATCATTATAATAAATTATAATTAATTAGACCAAATTAATGCTTTAATTATTCATTTAATAACTAAATATAAATAAGTCTTCCTAAGTGTAAGAAGTATAAATAACTACTTTTTGCAATATGATCTTGGATTGAAGTTCTTTTTCTTGCTCGGTTAACTCCTTTAATGCATGTTTTATTTGCTGCCGAAGAAGGGCCTTAGCTTGCAGTAAGGAAGACATGCTGGTTATTAGTAATATTGTCCACCTAGCTCAGGGTTTAGATCTGGAATAGAGATCTAAAACATCTAAATCTACTTCTTAACTTCTAGCCTAGGTCCTGGCCAAACTCATTGCCGAACATTGACATTGTTGTTTTTTTTTCATTACTTTACTAAGATACTATGATGACATTCTTAGTCTAAAATAGAGTTTCATTATCATTCTTATCATACTAGTAGAAATCTAGATCTAGTATAACACCGCATTTACCCAATAATTTCCGACGCTATATCGTGATTTTACCAAATAACTAGATTCTAGATCTATTTTCCTTAGAAATAACCCCTTTGAAAATGTAGTTTAATGTAGGCTGTAGGCCTAATCATACTAGATTCTAGATCTACTGTAATTTCTGTAGCATACCAGCAGCATACCTATAGAGTTTAGCCAAAATAAACTTGAATAATTTTTACTAATAGCTAAGCAATATAATAAGCGCACCGTCAACTAAATTTAACCCCTCCCACCAGGGGATTTAGTAAAATAGGGTTCTAAAATGCCTCCACCGTCTTTACGGCCCAATTTCTGTTTCAAAGAATGAATAGATCTAGAGATCTAGATCTATATAAACTAGATGTTTTAAATAAAAATATCTTTACTAAAATTTAAAAGGCGACACATGCTTTTATTTTTAGTTATTTAAATAATAGCTCATTACACAGACAATAATTTGTTTTCACTTTTTACTTTCTCGTATAAACTAAGTAGATCTATAAAAAAAAAAGTCTTGTAATCGTGCAAAAAAAAAAAAAAAAAAAAAAAAAAAAAAGACATTTTACAACTCCCTGAGTCAGAAAAACGTGGTTTTGCAGTCTTGTCCGTATGTCTGTGTGTGTGTGAATGTTTGTGTAAACACGATAACTTGAGTACCGTTACAGCTAGGTTGATGAAATTTCATATTTAAGTACGTAAATCCGTATCAACCTTTGAGCGATTTCCGATAACCGAAAGTGGAACTTTTTCTACTTTGAATTATTCAAAAGCCTATAACTTGAGTACTATTTCATATTTCCGATTTCTAAAAAAAAAAAAAAAAAAAAAAACGCATGTGAATTTATTAAGTACTAATAATATTTCGCACTATTATGCACATTTTTATTTGGCGTTCACTTGGTGTGCAATTCTTTTCCCTACGAGATTCTATTCTATTTTAAAAGGTTTAAGTATTTAGAATGGAATACAAATCATGTCTATATCCCGAGTTGTCATACCCTGTTGTTTTATATAAGACTAGGCATGCTGCCCAGCTTCGCTTAGGCTTTCGAAAACATTGAGAATTTGAATGCTTAATTAATTCGCCCGAGGGTCGGTCTACGACCTCAGGAGTTATGAAGAGGTTCCTACGTGGACAATTTTTTTTTCGATTTATAGCTCATATAAGGCGCCGGTCAGTCGAGGTCAGTTTTGACCCCCTCATCGTAGTCTTTTCGGCCAACCGGCCCTCGTGTTCTGTCGCCCCAAGGCAAGATCCTGCCAAATTTGAAGCGCCTGCGGCGCCGGGAAGTGCCCTATCGGACACCCGACAACTTTGCTTTATATATTATAGAGATTAGCAAATTGCAAAGATAAACAAAGATTTCAATAAAGTAATTAAGGCCTGAAATACTTTAGTATAGACATTTTTTTGTTTGAATAGATTCTAGATCTAGGTAGGGTCTACATCTGTGTAAGTCTAGTTTTTCCGTAGATCTAGATCATTTAGATCTAGAATCCTAATAGAATTTTTTTAAAGTTTAGCCCGAGCAAAATAAAAAAAAATAGATTAACCAAGTTGACTTGGTGTGTCTCGAACCCGCACCACCTGTGTGAGTTTAAGTACACTATCATCTCCGCTATATAGGCACCTTAGAAAACACGGAGAATAAAAGACGTATTTTAAAATCTTAACTTACGCGAATATGCCTATTCTTTCAAATTAATTTTTTTTATCCCAAATTAGCCAGTTAAAAACAAAGACTTTGTATAAAATAATTATGTCTTGAAATAGTTTAGTCCTAACTAGCCACTAGCGACCACCGACCAATCCTGATCCAGATAGAAACATCAAACAGGCCAATTGAAGCCAACCCCCGCCCTAGATGGAACTACCCTCACAGACTCCTACACAAGACCAATCAACTGTAAAACCAAACAGGTGAACAAGTCATACACAGCCTTCTCAAAAGCAGTTCTGTTAGTGTAACCCTCACTCAGTGGGGATGCTTTTACCCACTGAGGTGTTGTGGTTTAAGACGGGCTGACCCTGAGATTAAGTACACACCGACGCCGACAGTTGTTGTCCAGTACTCGTTTATTTATAGCATCGAGCCATGACGGCGATGCAACACAGTAGTACAAAACGAACTAGCCAAGATAAACCAAAAGATCCAAAACCAATAGACCAAAAGAGAAAAAAACTGTAGCCCTAAAACAAATGTAAATAAAAAAAGTTACATTCCTGACAACACCATGTGTAGGCTACAATATACACGGGTAACAATAAAATATGTTTTGGCCAGTACACAGTACTGCCAACAAGTACCAATACGTAGTACTTCAAATAAATACTTATATTAACACTCACCCTAACTAGTGTGCACATGCAACACTAGCAGGAATACATAAGTATTTAAACAAACATAATTTATATAACTACCTTCATTAGGTCTACATCTTGGTCCACAGACAGCAGCCTTGCGTGTGCGACACGGCTAGGCACATGTCACATGACATGGAACACAGGTAATTTCGCTCACAAAAGCATAAAAAAAACGTCAACAGTTCAGTTGCGGTCCCACAGGGGCCGCAACCCAATGAATAAAAACTTCATAGTTTTATCCCCCTTTGGCTGGTAACCATATGTGTTACACAGCCCCCCTCACAAATAAATGTACAATGGAATTCACATTTACATTTACATTTACAACTCATACATAATAGTACTTTAAACAAGTAATTTAAAAAAGTCTAGTGACAATTTTAGCGCAATTTCCTTGTGTTATCTAAAAATAGCTCTGTCGTAGCGTAAATCAAGAGCAGGGTTAGTAAAACCATTGGTTAGTTATTAAAACGTTTTTTATTAAATTTTTTTCTGTATTTTACATGTTTTATTTACAATAGAGTAACATGACTAAAAACCATTGCGCGCCTACTGAACGTGATGGCGCAGCCATGGAACGTGATGGCGCAGTTATTGAACGTGATGACGCGTGTGGTGTGGTTGGAAAAAATGCCTACTAATTGGGTCCAAATTTTAATTAATTCAAAAAAATTTTTGTGACCAAACGAAAGGATATTTTTGAAAACTTTCTTCGGCAATATTGTTCTAAATTATGGCAGAAAGCGATTGGTACATGTTTCAAGTCGCTAAGTGGTCTGGTTGCCGAGATATGGGCAAAAAACTGCATTTTTTCGAGGTTTTTGGCTTTTCCGGGAAATACATGAAAGAAACCCGGAATTTTTATGGCCTATGTTCATCCTGGTAACTTGCTTAACATATTTGCTTTTGGAACTAGTCCTCGATATTGCTTCGTTGAGGAGGAGATACGACTTAAAGCTGCGGACACACATCCATCCATCCATTCATCCATCCATCCATTCCCAGAAAAGACGAGTTAATAAACGCAATTCTCCAGAATGGAAATTGCGCTAAAAAAGTTCAGTACACTAGTACCCAGACATTAAGTCCTTTCAACTCAAATACATTATTCCCGGCAAACCGGTGCTGGCTCCAGTGCTGGTACTGGTCACCACTTGATGCGCCAGGTTGAGTCGCTCGACGGGTCGTCGTTGACGGGTTGACCTCCGCAGCTCCACTGGTGGTTCTGGGTTGATCAAAGAGTCATCCTCGTCCGATGCCTCATCCCTCGCATTCACCTCATCCAGATGTGGGGCTGGCCTGACCATCACCTTGTCTTGTCCGTCCCGGGCGACAACCTCTGGCACGAAAGGCGTTGCCTCCGGCCGAAGTCTAGTTGGGACCACTACCTTGATTGTCAGTTCCTCACCTTCATCTGCCTCACTGGTTGGTATGACCTCTCTCCGTCGCTCCCCCTCCGCCACAGTGGGTTCAGCACTCGACATTGTATAGTCGGGTCGCTGCCAACCACGGCGGCGTCCACCACGTCGTCGGCCTCTCCTCCGGCGGCGTCTCCGACCTCTGCTTGTGTCATGTCTGTCTCCCAAGCGACGATCTTGCTCGCGCTGAGACTGACATTCATAGTGTGGCTGTCTACCCTTCTCACGCGCACCCTCCGGCTGCAACCCTCCTCCACGGCGGAACACCCGACAGCCGTACCTCCAGCCGCTAGGCGAGGTAACCTGAGCTGTGGTTGCTCGACACTGTGATGATCTCGGTGGCGTAAACTTGGGCTGGGAGCTTGGCAGAACACGCATCAGCATCCGCTCCCCGACGCTGATAGACTGGCATTTCCCCTGCTGCTGACTCCGTTGCCTAGCTGCTTTCCTCGGACAGTCGCGGACGAAGTGCTTCCTGGACCCGCACCCGTAACAAGCTCCTCTGTAAGGCCGTTGTCTCCGGGCTAGGATAGCTGCTGCCACCTTCTCCGCCAGACAGTCAAGTTGTTCCTCCGTGAGTATCAGCGGCGTCGTCTCTTGGCGAACAACTGTCGTTACTGCGTCGACCTGGATAGTCCTGTTAGCTGCTGCCGTGGCTACGACTGGGGACTCAGTTGTCCCGTCCAGCCTTTTAACAGCTTTCAGGACGGTCTCCATCTTCGGGCTAGCTTCCCCTGCAACCCCGCCCGTGGGTAGAAAGCCGGTGAACTCGTCCTCATCGCTGTGTACTGGAGCACACACCTTCACCGTCACGGGCCGCTGCGCACTTGCGTGTTCTAGCTCCGCCATCGTAGCCCTCAACTTGGCCAGCTGCTGAGCCAACTTCTCCAACGTCGGGTCGCTGTTTTCCATCCTACCTCCCAAGGTCAAGCCCCACGTTGGGCGCCAAATGTAACCCTCACTCAGTGGGGATGCTTTTACCCACTGAGGTGTTGTGGTTTAAGACGGGCTGACCCTGAGATTAAGTACACACCGACGCCGACAGTTGTTGTCCAGTACTCGTTTATTTATAGCATCGAGCCATGACGGCGATGCAACACAGTAGTACAAAACGAACTAGCCAAGATAAACCAAAAGATCCAAAACCAATAGACCAAAAGAGAAAAAAACTGTAGCCCTAAAACAAATGTAAATAAAAAAAGTTACATTCCTGACAACACCATGTGTAGGCTACAATATACACGGGTAACAATAAAATATGTTTTGGCCAGTACACAGTACTGCCAACAAGTACCAATACGTAGTACTTCAAATAAATACTTATATTAACACTCACCCTAACTAGTGTGCACATGCAACACTAGCAGGAATACATAAGTATTTAAACAAACATAATTTATATAACTACCTTCATTAGGTCTACATCTTGGTCCACAGACAGCAGCCTTGCGTGTGCGACACGGCTAGGCACATGTCACATGGCATGGAACACAGGTAATTTCGCTCACAAAAGCATAAAAAAAACGTCAACAGTTCAGTTGCGGTCCCACAGGGGCCGCAACCCAATGAATAAAAACTTCATAGTTTTATCCCCCTTTGGCTGGTAACCATATGTGTTACATTAGCAGCCAAAAAATCTATTCCAAGGGGAGCAAGGAAAAATTATATCCCAAACTGGACTCCAGACCTCCAGATACTCCATGACGAGACAATAGATGCTAGAAACATTGTTGAAGAAAATCCCACTGTAGAAAATAACATAAAATTAAAATCAGCAAACGCAGTTTTTAGAAAAAAGTATCTAACTGCATTGAGGAAAAGCTGGCAAGAAAAAACAGAACACCTCAATGTAGATAGAGATGGTCATAAACTATGGAGTATTGCAAAAAGGCTAAACCAAAAAGAAAACAGAGCTACTCCCACAGTCATCGACATTGAAAACATGATCAAAACAGAAAAGGATGCAGCAAAAGAATTTATAACCCACTTCAGCAAAGTGGGACAAATAAATATCAGCCACCAAAGAGTAGAAGAGGTTAAAAATCAAACTGAAGTTAAAGAAAAACTACAGAAAGTCTCTCCCCCCTCCTCCACTGGAATGGTAGCTCGAATTAGCAAGAAGGAGCTCGGAGAAGCAATGAAGCTCCTCAAACTTAAGCAAGCTCCAGACCCTGACAAAATCTCAAATGATATGCTCATGCACCTGGGCCCCAATGCTAAGAAAAAACTGCTCCAAATATTTAATGCAAGCTGGAAATCTGGGAAAATCCCAAATATTTGGAAAAAAGCAATCATGATACCTGTTCTAAAAATAGGAAAACCCAGGAACAAAGTCGATAGCTATCGCCCAATAAGTTTAACAAGCTGCGTTTGTAAACTGATGGAAAGAGTAGTAAACAACAGACTGACCTGGTTTCTAGAATCGAACAATCTACTAGCAGACGAACAGGCAGGCTTCAGGAAGTGCAGATCTACTGAAGACCAAATCACCTTCATTTCTCAGGAAATAGAAGATGGCTTTCAAGAAAAAAAAACCAACCTCAATAGTGTGGGTCGACTTTGAAAAAGCCTTTGACAAGGTTTGGGAGCAAGGCTTAATTCTAAAGCTAATAAACCATCAAGTATCTCATAACATGCTAAACTGGATAAAAGGTTACCTAAGCAACCGAAAAGCATCAGTCTCCATGCAAGGAAAAAGAAGTCACACAGTAACTATAAAAAATGGAGTCCCTCAAGGAGGAGTCTTGTCTCCTACTCTCTTCCTCATTTATATAAATGACTTAAATGAAAACATCCCAAGGAGAGTAAAAAGAAGCATGTTTGCAGACGACCTTTCACTAATCAGCACAGAGGAATATATTGGTACCTCAAAATTTCGTCTTCAAGAAACACTTGACAAGCTCGGCAAATGGACTAAAAACTGGGGCTTATCCATCAATACCAAGAAAACAACTTATTCAATCTTCACCTTATCAACTAAACATCAAAAAATGAAACTTACCCTAGAAAACCAAGAGCTAGAAAAAAATGACCACCCCAAATACCTAGGAGTCACTTTTGACACACGACTTACCTGGAGAAAACAAATAGAAAACACACAAAGAAATGGGATCAAAAGACTTAATCTAATGAGGAAACTGGCAGGAACAGACTGGGGAGCAAATCACCACATCCTGAAAAAAACCTACACCAGCTATGTGAGACCTACGTTAGAATATGGTGCTTCGGCTTGGGGCTCAGCAGCAAAAACAAATATTAGCAAAATTGACAAAGTTCAGAACATTGGTTTGAGAATAATGACAGGAGCCATGAAAACAACACCCATAAAAGCTATGGAGGAAATAGCCGCTCTTAGCTCAATAGAAGAAAGAAGAGAATCAAAAATCCTCACTCAATACACAAAGCTAGAGGCACTGGAAAACCATAACCTAAAACAAAAACTCCAGAAACCCAGTCCATCAACCAGACTACAAAGAACAAGTTTAATCAAAGAAGCAAAGAATCTGAAAAAGAAATATGAAATCGAAAATATCATTCCTGAAGCAATAAAAACTCAAAACCTCTCCCCGCCTTGGATCTCCCACTGTCACTTAACCATTATTGACTCAATAGACACCATAGGAAAAAAATCTGACTATGATCTAGAAGAAATTAAGAAAATAACAAATAAACACATTAAGGATCAGTACCCCAGCAATATCTGGATTAGAGTTTTCACAGATGGCTCAGCTGAAGATGCCACAAAAAATGGCGGGGCTGGCATCCTTATTGAATGGCCAAGCGGAGAAAGCCTGGAAAAGGCAATAGCCACAGGCAGCCTATCCGACAATTTTAGGGCAGAAAAAGAAGCTTTAGAACACGCAGCAAACCTCCTGTCAGAACACCCTGAATCACCGAATAGTCAGATTGTATTTCTTACAGATGCCAAATCAGTCCTGCAATCCCTTCAAAATCCGGAGTCCTATATTCAAACACTTATGACAGCACTAGAGAGGCTAAAAAATACCTGCAGCAGAATTGTGCTGCAGTGGATCCCGGGCCACTGCCAGATCCAGGGTAACGAGATCGCAGACCAGCTGGCAAAAATTGGGGGAAAGAAACCACAACCGGAAATTTCGCTACACCCAAAAGAAATAAAAAGAATAATTAAAAACAAACAAACGCAAATGTGGTCTGTCACACACCCTCACTACATTAAAGACGACGGCTATTACAATTTAACACGAAAACAACAATACATAATCTTTCGACTTAGAACAGGCCACAACAGACTAAATCAACACATGCACAAAAAACTGAAGGTTGGGTGTAGCGAAATGTGCCCTTGTGGCAAGGCCCCGGAAAACACGGAGCACGTACTCCAGGAATGTACTCTGTATAGCCAGGCAAGAGTCAGACACTGGCCCCAGCCCACCCCACTCAGGGAAAAATTATATGGGACACCTGACAAACTGGAAACCACAGTCCGGTTTATCCACGAAGTTGGACTTGTTGTCTGAATCCTCCACCATATTCAAAAATTAAGAACGAAGAAGAAGAAGAAGAAGTTTAGTCCTAATATAGAAATTTATTTTTGGAATAGATTCTAGAGAAGTTAGAGTCTAAATCTAGATCTTAGCGTCTACGTCTCGATCTAGTTATTGCGTAGATTTGTAGATTTAGATCTAGTCTAGATCTAGAATCTCTAGATCTAGAATCCAAATAAATAAAATAAATTTTATGAGTTTAGGCCGGAAAAATTGTATTGTATACATTTCATAGTGTACGTAGATGTAAATCAAATTTGAATGGAATAGTTCAGGGGTCGGCAACCTGCGGCTCTTTTGATATCAAGATGCGGCTCTCCAGCTCCTTGAACAAATACTAATAATCTTAATAAAAAATAAAAATATTTGAAATAAAAAAAATGTTAGTGGCTCTTTAAAACCAGGGAAATTTTGAAAATTGTAACTTTTGGCTCTTCCGCTTCAAAAGGTTGCCGACCCCTGGAATAGTTCATTTCTTTTTATTCTAAACACGGCAGATGACGTCATTAGTTAATATATAAGCAATAGTGACGTCACAGTTTTATGCGTTCTTTTTTCACATGTATTAATGCTTTTCCGGTTGCATAAATAATACTGTTTCTCTACATTCGAATACGCCTTTATTTTTTATTTTTCTTCTGTAAATAAAATTGTGGTTATACATTTAAAACATCTAACATATTATTTTCAACAAAAGTCCGTATAAAGTTCTCCATATATCGCTGCCGTTTCTGACGTGATGTCCGGCGAAAATATTTTGCGGACAGAGAGAAGTGCGCACATGGGGAATTATATATTAGGATTATTCGAAAAAGTTTAGGGGAGATCAACATACTACATAGAGTGTTTTGATCAATTCCTATTAAAATTTATTAAAACCGATTTCTAAAACGCGAAATAACGTCTAAAACTCGTTTTCTAACATTACCTTTTTATTATGCAAAAAAGTGACGTCACACCATCTAATGCCCCCCCCCCTTCCCCTCATCAAACACCGTCACAAAATTACGGACTCCCCTCCCCCTACGAGTGTGACGTCATTTATGGACCCCTTAGAAGTGCTCGAAATTTCGCTCGGCAGTTTGTAATCATGACAGACGACAGAGAAACAGACAGTAGAGCAAGTTTTTTAAAAAGCTTGTAAAAAGAACGAATTTATTGCTCATAGACTATGACTGATAGATTAAATTTTAGATATTAATTTATTGCGAAACTTTAAAATGCGATTTGGATAGCCCTTCTTAATCTTATTTAATCCTTAAACAACTAACAATGATAATATATCTAGATTAGATTAGATCAAGATCTAGAATCTAGATAGATCTAGTTTTATTTCTATATATTTTATAACTAGTAACTATGAGATTTGAAAGTATCCAATAAGAATAGATAGTCTACCTTTACCGGAAGTTTCCGTCACTGATGTTTATCTAGTTTGAAAACAATGCACCGAATGCATATTTAATATTTATTTTTAAAATATTACAGCATATCTAAAATTTGACCATGTACTATTGCTAAAGTGATATTGACCTTCAAGTCGGTAAATATTATAAATAAGTTACTCTAGGCCAACTTTATGGTATTTATTTAGTTTAGATTTTAGATTATTATTAATTTTTAGGGCCCTTGCCTTGGCTACTTTTTTTTTTCTTTAAACTTTTACACTTTTAACTTTAGTAGGCCCTTTTTTATATTTTATCATGATGATGTGATTGTGATGATTGAATTCAAGAGGTAGATCTAAATTAGATTCTAGATCCTCTAGTTAGTACCTCTAGAGTCTAGATCTAGATCTAGACCTAGTAGTAGTTACAAATCCTCCTCAAAATCTGAAATAATTATTAAAATTTAAGGAGTCACCTGTTTTTCACATTACTAGATCTAGTTTCTGGCGATTTTACGTACCTAAATTCAAAATTGCCTAAAACGATAGAGTAGATAGTAGATACTAGAGAATAGAGATAGATTAAGTAAAACCTTAGTTTTGCGTCGTAAATTCCAACATAGCTAGTAATGTGCGATGGAGGTAACTAACTAATGAATATTTCTTTCATTTGGCCATATTTATGAGATATTTTACATAATATAACAGATAATTGAATAACAAATCACAATCCGGGAGAATGTTTATACCAGTGTCTGATAATGGAATCTTCTTTAAAAAAGGGGTGTTAGGTTACTGGTAGTTAACTAAATGCACACATGGCTATCTAATGTCAATGCTAACCCTGTCCCTAACCCCAACCCTGGTCCTACCATACGCCTAACCCTAATTTCTAACCATAAAATTAGTCGACATTACAATACTACTAACAACCCAACACCCCTTTTTTAAAGAAGATTCTATTATCAGACACAGGTATCTATAATCATCCCACAATCCATGACCAAACCAGTAAAAAAATATCCTGAAATAAACTTTAAACTACCCCGTTTGAGACAACAATGAGTAAATACAAGCAGCAGCCATGTTTCAAAAACAATAATAGAGTAGTTTCCCTTAAAAAATTGTCTATTCGCATGTCTGTTGTGTTGATTTTGTGGTTTAATATGGGTGTTTTGTATTGTTTTAATGTATGCCTTTATAGTAATTTTTCTTTTTTTTAAATATAGTTGACATGAATGACTAATAGACCTTTTCAGACTTAAAAGTGTGCATCCAAGACCACAACAATTGTTGGGAGGTCGAACTTTTAAACACTTTATTTGCAGACATCAAATCAATATTAGATCGCCCATAAATGACGTCACTCTTAAGATAGTAATGACAGCGTGCATTATTACAGAACAAACATATGAACATATTGTTTCAGATAGAAATTGTGATTTGTGGTGGGGAGAGGTTGAGTAGAACTCAGCGATCTAATTTTGAGACGGTCAGGTTTTTTCTTCTGAAAACGGGATGGTTGTGGGAGAAAGACCAGCTGTAGAAGTATGACGTGTCATTCATTGGTGATCCATTTTCTTAGTGGGGACGTTAGAACTATTAAGAAGGGTCAAGAAATGTAAAATGCATGCTGATTCGCATTTCTTGAACCCCCACCTTTTCACCCCCCACATCTATCCCTCTTCCATTTAAACATACGTGGTTATTTCTGCAAGTTTTCTGTCTTGAGACTTTCAGCCCTTTAAAAATGTATAGAACTAGACTACCCATATTAAGCACCAAAAGAAGCTTGGTGAAAACAGGATGGCTGTCCGATTTTGAAGCTGCTCTGCGCTTTATAAAAAGCACAATAAACGATAAGATGACACTTATGTTTAAGTAAATCATAATTCTGAATCTTGATACATTAAAAATGATATTTGAAAATTAAGAGCCAGACAGTCAACATGATATTCTAATTTAAGTCCAAGAAAAAAAATTTCCTCAAACGATGGAAAATTTTTGCGCAGTTTAGCGAAATTGAATTAAAGTATTCACGTCATCTTACAAAGCGCGATAGTCTACTGGTGCTCTAATGTGGCCTCGCTTGGTTCGTCAGACCTGGGCCCCATGCTGATGGCATATTCGTCTGCAGGCATTTCGTGGCAAGCCTTTTCAACTGGAATTTGTGTTAAGGTCGTTTTGCCAAACGTCTCAAACTAGAAGACTTGCAACATTTATGATGATTCATTTTGTGCAAGGTATATGTATACTAATGCTTATTTATCATTATTTTGATTGAACAAAGCATTATAGAGGTTCTCCATCAAACACCTAGAATTTGCGGAGTCGCGTGAGTTGACATAAAAAATCTTCACTCACTCCCGTAGCAAATCATATGTGACATCATTTATGGACAACCCCATATCACTCATTTGGGCATTTGATATTGACATTTTGACAACAGGATAACCAAAATGTATCTGAAAAATGGAGACTTGGAATCATGACAACACACACTTGAGGGATGGAGTGGCTGATTGTTTTAGATGATGTTTTACGAGGGAAGCTGGTGGATAATACATTTTGTCTCTCTGTATATATAAATGATGACAAACATTTATTATTGTCAAAATTATGGCTAGAGATCTTAGTTAAGGCAGAGCGAAGCGTAATTTTTTTACATTATGACTTGTGACATTGACAACAAAAATATGATTGAGGTTGGGTTTTAATTAAGGTAAAGAGAAGTAAAAAAAAAACTGTCATAAGTTACGATAGAATCACTAATTGATGAAAAGAAAAACCTGAAATGAAAATAGTGAACATTCAAACAATAAGAAAAAACTCAAACTATAATAGTAATGATCAAATAAACATTAGTACAAGAAAAACGTGATTTTATACATGGATACAAGTTACATCTCACAATACTTCTAGAATTAATAAAGTTGTTTGTTAGGAAATTCAGTTTTTAAAGGGCAGAATTTAAAAAAAAATGTGTACGACGGACTATACAACAAGACAATCATATTTAAATACATTTTCATACTAATAGAAATGAAAGGGAAGCTATTCTAAACAACATTTTCTTAAGATGGCTGCTGTTTTTAATAGCAAATATACTATCTCGAACAGGGTTGATAAAAATTAATTTCAGGGTATTCAAATTAATTTAACCATCAATGATGATCTATTATTCAATTATATATAATATTTTATTAAAATATACGAAAATAAACTCATATTTAAAGACATACATTAGTTCACTCTCTCCCACATTACTAGTTTTGGCCGAATTTACGACGCTAATAAACACTAAGGTTTTACCCTAGATTACTACTCATTACTAGAATCAATTCTAGTAATGAGTAGTAATCTATAAATCTAGTTCTATCGTTTCAGGCAATTTTGAATTTAGGTACGTAAAATCGCCTGCGACTAGTGATGTGAAAAACATGTGACTCCTTAAATTTTAATAATTATTTCACATTTTGAGGAGGATTTATGTTTTGAAAAATACAGTTGTTTCAGTTTCATTGTTTCATTTAGATTTATGTACCTGTTTTTAAACAATTGAATTGAAACTTTTCAGTAATAAAGACTAGCGATGTTTCCATCAGATGCATCAAAATTTAATGAGTCACCTTTTTTTCACATGACTAATCTCGACCGATTTCACGTACCTTAACAATGAGGCAACTTTTTCGCACATTACTAGTCTCGGAAGATTTGACGCACCTAAAACGATAGATTACCACTATTTATTAGGGTCAATTTTGGTAATTTTTCAAAATAATAAATATTGACATAGCCTAGATTCTATATCTATATTCAGTATTTAGGCAATATATTGGTTGCTGAAATATGTAAAAGATCTTATCCCTCATGTGCAACCAAAGCTTTTATTAAAGAAAAACAAACAAGTTTTCTTTTTGTTTCAGTGCATTTAAAAGCTTGTTGCTCTAAGGTTTTTTTTTTTATATTATTTTTTATGAAATGGTTACATTATCAGTTTGATTTAAAACAAATGGCTTAAAGTTAAAAGTAAACTTAATTGTAATTAATGCTCCCATGTTTTAATGGTGAGTCATGCTTTATAATGTGTGCATGCTTCTAGTAAATATTGATTTTCCTAGATGGACTAATGGTTTAACTGATCTAAAATACACATTATGAAGTAAAACCTGCTATTTTATTCCTGAAAAAAATTAATTCAAATCTGCATTTTTCAAAATACTAAAGTATCATACTACTATGCGTTTGTTTTATTCATATAAAAGTTTTAAAAATCTTAAAAATAACTTTTTTTACAGTTATTATTTACAGCATTCATTTCCTAATGGCACCTCGTCAAAATAGCGCACGACAAAAGAGCGCAGACAAAAGAGCACCGACGTAAGAGCGCAGCCAATTAAAAAAACACATGTTGTACGCTAAACGAATATGACATAGTTAACACTTGTTTTAATTAAACAATCGGCGGTACGATAAAACGACATGTGTTTATTTATATATTATGGTTAATATGTTATGAATGCAAATTGCAATTTGAAAATATCTCTAACCCAAGTAACATGGAGAAGATATTGGTCGAAGGCTACAGACATCAAAAGAACAGATCAAATGCTGATGGAAGTACGACATGGAGATGCTGCAAGAAAGATGGCTGCCGAGGACGGATGAAAATGTTGAACGATGTTGTTCTGTCAAGGGTTGGAAAAAACAAGGCAGATTATACAACAAGCCAGGGAAGGAAATTTGATGGAAGTAGCACCTCATTTGCCGGCATACATCGCTTCACAACGTGCAATAGAAAGACAGAGAAAACGCAAGCAGCTGCCATAACCAAATCTGCAGAACGTTGCAGTTATAACAATTCCTGAACCTCTTCAAACGAGAACAAGAAGGCAAAATTTCGTCTTGTGGGATTCCGGACCGGCTGACGTTTACAGATTGATGATGTTCGTAACAATAGATAATATCAATGGTCAATACCAGTTTTTTAGTTAAATTAACTGAACAATTAGTTTTTTAATGAAACAATAAAGAGTTAACATCAAACAATGCCTTCTGATCTGAGTTAATTTTCTTGTTCCTATTTATTGAATATGGTATTTCTATCTTTAGTTTGCGCTCTTTTGTCTGCGCTCTTATGTGGGCGCTCTTTTGATGGGTCACCTTTCCTAATGTAAACAATCCATTTAAATGAATTCTAATAAAAAGTATTGTTCCTTACCTTTAATTTTAAATTAAATTTAGATACCTATGCTACTGTATTGAGTAGGACATATAATAATATAATAATATTGTAAATAGCTTTAGGCCTAATATTAAAATATCACAAGATACATGGTGCAGTGTTGCTTTAAGTCCTGGCTTTTTTATGGAGTTTGACACACATTTATCGCTGGGGTTTTTTTTATAGGATAATGTTACCTTTTTTTTCACAATGAAACTGTGTATTTAGTATTGTATTTTATTTCTTCTGATTTTCGACACAATCACAAGCATCTTTGCCGTTTGGCGTCTCAATTTTACCCACACAATTATTAATTTATGATTGATTGAAGGTTCCAAGATTTTATTTGGGAATTTATTCCAAACTGTTGAAATATTCAAAAAATTTGCTGCTGTTAAATTTATATTTTCTGAACCAGACCTAGACCCCAAACACAAATAAATGTGCCCCCCCCCCTCCCCCCATCACCTGAATTGTTATAGATCTAGTAAACTATCATTCCCAGTTGTGTATGGCACAAGATGATAAATAACACAGGCTTCTCAGAGCTGAGAACAAGGTTGGCCTGACTTTAAATACATTTCTACAACTGATTCGTTCACTATTGCTACGTGTAATAAAATTATTTGAAAGACATTTACTTGCATTCCTTGTGTAAGACAAATTGTTATACAGACTTTCACGCAGTGTCTTTTGTAATATAAAGAAATTAGGTTTAGCTTAATCAATCTTCTTAATTAACTGATTAATGACTGACTAAATAGAATCCATATTTGTTATATTTACAGACTTGTATAAAATAAAATTTGAGTCATGTATGGAAGTTCAAACTCCCAGACTAAACGGCGCAAGAAGCGTTTACTACAAGCAACAAAAACAGTGACAGTAGTTCGTGGCAAGTTGGGCTATGGTTTCACTATATCTGGCCAAAACCCCTGCATGTTGAGCTCTATTGTTGCTGGTAGCCCAGCACAAGCAGCAGGGCTGAAGCCTGGGGATCTCCTCTACTTTGTCAACGGACAGAATGTCAGCAGAGCCTTCCATGATGATGTTGTGCGCATGGTAGGGCTCTCCACAGGATCATTAGTTTTGCAGGTTAGTTTTTGAAACATTCGCTCTCCACAGGATCATTAGTTTTGCAGGTTAGTTTTTGAAACATTCGCTCTACACAGGATCATTAGTTTTGCAGGTTAGTTTTTGAAACATTCGCTCTACACAGGATCATTAGTTTTGCAGGTTAGTTTTTGAAACATTCGCTCTACACAGGATCATTAGTTTTGCAGGTTAGTTTTTGAAACATTCGCTCTACACAGGATCATTAGTTTTGCAGGTTAGTTTTTGAAACATTCGCTCTACACAGGATCATTAGTTTTGCAGGTTAGTTTTTGAAACATTCGCTCTACACAGGATCATTAGTTTTGCAGGTTAGTTTTTGAAACATTCGCTCTACACAGGATCATTAGTTTTGCAGGTTAGTTTTTGAAACATTCGCTCTACACAGGATCATTAGTTTTGCAGGTTAGTTTTTGAAACATTCGCTCTACACAGGATCATTAGTTTTGCAGGTTAGTTTTTGAAACATTCGCTCTACACAAAATAACTCTTCTATAAAAATGAGTTACTGTTGGAAAGTTTGGAATTGCTCCCCCTACCCTAAGTACATGAAGTAGAAACAAATGATACAACATGTTGGTTTGAGGTGGTTTATAATACAACAATGTTATGGTATGGAGGTGGTTTATAATCCAACAATGTTATGGTGTGGAGGTGGATTATTATACAACAAGTGTTATGGTATGGAGGTGGTTTATTATACAACAAGTGTTATGGTATGGAGGTGGTTTATTATACAAGTGTTATGGTATGGAGGTGGTTTATTATACAAGTGTTATGGTATGGAGGTGGTTTATAATACACCAATGTTATGGTATGGAGGTGGTTTATTATACAACAATGTTATGGTTTGGAGGTGGTTTATTATACAACAAGTGTTATGGTATGGAGGTGGTTTATTATACAACAATGTTATGGTATGGAGGTGGTTTATTATACAACAATGTTATGGTATGGAGGTGGTTTATTATACAATAATGTTATGGTATGGAGATTTTATATTTTGAAGTATAAATCTTTTACAAATCATCTACACTTTAAGTGTCTCAATTTTCCCACCAATCTCTTCATTTCTTTCCTAAAATCACTCAAATTCTACTGCCATGATTGCCACAGTGTAGATTTCTACAGACTCTTTGTAAGCTGGTTTAGAAAACAGTCTGTCATATAACAAGAGCTATTTTGTTACTTCCTATCAGGTTGCAGAAAATGTAAACAGCTCCGATTCCTCTGATGATGACTACCCACCTCGCAGCAAGTCACGCTACCCAAATAGAGTTCGGCCTCGCAAGAATCATGGGGATAGAGTTTCTAAATATGACCGGGCTTCACGACAAGCTGACAACTTGCCAGCTCATCAGCGCCAGTACGCCCCCCAGGGTACAGAGTCAGACTTGTCCTCCAGCCTTACATCCCAGGAGGACCACGGCTGGACCCAGGGCTGGCCCAGGGTCAACCAGAGAGCGGCCCCAGAAGCAGGGCGAGGGTTCACCTATACTGCCGTACAAGATGGCCCTGTCATCTCTACAGCCAAGAAAGTCTCCTCTGCCTCTGCTGTAGTCAAGAAGGTCCCTCCCATGTCAGGACAGTCAGCTGAGACACACCCCTCCGTCTTACACAATAAAATTGTTGATCCAGTACCAACTCCCCAGATAGAAAAGTTGAATGTTAGGGCAGAGAAGGATGGTGAAGAGGTCCTGCTGCCGTTGGTGGAGCCTCTAAAAGCTGTTGTGGGCTACATTGGTTCAATAGAAACTCCAAGTTCTCACACTCGCCCACACCAGCGCCTCCAAGCCTTACGCAATGCAGTTAGAAGGCTGAGAGTAGAGAAGAAGGTTCACACCCTGGTGCTGATCCAGGTCAGCCAGACGGCTGTTACCCTAACCAATGCACTGGGCAAGCAGCTAGCCCTGTACCCCAGTGACCGTATCGCCTTCAGTGGGATCTGTCCAGATGACGAGCGCTTCTTTGGGCTGGTGACCCTGAGTTTACCTGATGATGACACCAGCAGCTTGCTGGAGGGGGGAGGAAACACAAGCTTCCCTAACTCTTCCTGTCATGTCTTTATGATTGAACCAGAGTTAAGTCCCCACAGTATGCACCTGCAACAAGCTGAAGCCTTCCACGTAAGTCTGAATCTCTATGTGGAGGGTCTTGGCCAGTTTAAGCTTATGAATTATGTTTTGCTGCATGTTTTCCCAGTCTTATCTGTTGAGCCCATTGGAAGTGTTACTGTGATATCGCCTTGCATTTCCTCAGATCAAGTGTAGCAGACAGTCCTTGGTCTGTGAAGAGTTTCCCAGCTCGGCCACCTCACTGATCCTGTCTATAGCCAGCCTGTACCGTCATGGACCGCCCAGAAAATTTGACAGCGAAATAGTTCAGTCTCAAGCTTTTGCTGACCCCATGAGGCAAGCAGAGCGCAGCAATAGTATTGCTAGCAGCAATGGGAACAACAGCACCAGTGACAGTGGGCTGGGACTAGCTAGAGAGGAGGCCCCCCTGGAGCAGAATGAACAGGTAACTCAAGTCTGACACTGAACTGAAGATTTGCATGTATATCATGTGTGTACTTTGACCTCAGAAATTTGCATGTCTATCATGTGTGTACTTTGACCTCAGAGATTTGCATGTCTATCATGTGTGTACTTTGACCTCAGAGATTTGCATGTCTATCATGTGTGTACTTTGACTGCAATTATTTCCAGATCTGTGTTGTGGACCTCCCATGTGACAGACAGTTAAACGCCAGCTGTTTCTCAGTAGACACAAGTGTCTTGTCTACTCAAGGCCATCTCTCTCCAGAAGTGGACGTGGTCAACCACACGCAGGGGTCAGCCACACCTCGGAGGCCATTGTCAGCTTTTGATCCCAGAAGAGGTGAGCTGGATGGTCATTATTAAACAACCGGTTGCCTTGGTAACAGATTAGCACTAGCCTAAAATCCTAGAGTCTTTGCTCCTTTGTTCTCAGAGAATGAAAGTTCTTGTATTAGTGGGTAAGTCCCAGCGGGTGGGTTCCTGGCCTAACAAATGTCTGCTTGCCTTCGTCAGGTTTGAACAACTCCAGCAGCAGTGAGGAGTGCTGGCACCATGTCAACAAGCTGAACCCCAGGGCCATGCCAGACCCCGCCTACCCCGGGGCGCAGAGTGTCAGCCCACTGCCCCAGTCTACAGAAAACTTGAGACAAAGCATGCAGCGCCTGTTGCAGGCTCGCCAGCAGCAGCTGCAGGAGCAGAACTGCATGCTGGGTAGTGATGGCGAGTCCCACGTGGGGGACCCAGTTCTCTCCCTCTCTGTGGCTGAAGATGGGCACGCTGTGCTTGAGGGCAGCGTTGGGCAGAAGGTGCAGGCGTTGTTTGCTGCCCCTGTTAGCGTGCCATCCACTGCCTCCGTCAGGTCAGCCTTCCAAGTGCCCAGACCCGTGTCAGCCCCACCTGTCAAGCACAGGTTCCACACCCAGCCAGAAACTGTGGACTTGGAGACTCTGGGCAAGCTCAGCCCCAGGGCCTACCCCAGCGCCTCACCCATGGCAGTTTTTCGCTCTCCATCCGCACCTCCGGCCCCATTTTTCCCACATCGAGATTCTGATGAGGATGAGGATGATGATGCAAGTGATAAAAGTGAAGATGACCCTTACATACGCCAGATTTTAGAACAATTCAGCCGAGACAAGATCTCTGCCTTAGAAGGAGAAAGTCGCAGATTTTCAGAAGGATTTGCTCTTTCAAAAAAGGTAGGATAGCTATCATTTTCTTTGTTAGATAGCCCTCATTTGACAATGAAATAACTAATTAAATGCATATTAGACATACAAGCACTTAAAAAACTGAATGAATGGCATCACCAAAGTTCAATCAGAGGCTTTGATTATTATTGTTGACATGAACTGAAAAAAACATTTGTGTTAATTTTCTCTTTTGGGTAGCTATGTTTTAAAAAAATGGAATTAAATAAACCGGGAGTGATCTCCCCTAAACTTTCTCGAATATTCTTATATAAAATAACAGGGGATGGGAACTCGGGCTACAGACATGATTTGTAATCCATTTTAAATACTTAAAGTTTTAAAAATAGAATAAAATCTCGTAGACGAATTAATTGCACACCAAGTGAACGCCAAATAAAAAAGCGCATAATAGTGCGCAATATTATTAGTACTTTTAAAATTTACATTAGTTTTTTGAGAAATCGGAAGTAGCGTAAATTACTACTTCTAGTCAACGGAAATTACTCAAAATTTAACAGAAGGTAGAGAATTAGATCTTTTACTTACATGTGAAATTTCATTTATCTATCTGAAATAGTACTCAAGTTATAGGCTTTTGAAAAATTCAAAGTAGGAAAAGTACCACTTCCGGTTATCGGAAATCGCTCAAAAGTTGATACGGATCTACGATTTTGATAAAATACTTATATATGAAATTTCATCAACCTAGCTGTAACGGTACTCAAGTTATCGTGTTTACACACGGACAGACAGACAGACACACAGACAGACACACAGACATACGGACAAGATTGTAAAATTATGTTTTTCCGTATCAGTGAGGTGTAAAACGTCGAGATTTGTAAAAATCTCAATTATTTTTTTTGCACGATTACAAGACTTTCTCTATACTTCGTATATACGAGAAAGTAAAAAGTTTTAAGAATCAAAGTTATAAGTGTGCAAATGATATGCAGATAACTTGAAAATACTTTTTGCCTTTAAGGCTACATTTCTAATTACTGAAATGAAGCTGTCATTTGAACCTGGATTGACTTGAGTTAGACCAACTTTTATTGGCTTTAGTTTTCTAGAAGAAATGTTAACTAAACAGCACAACCTATTGACCTAGACTTATGCTCTGTTTGAAAATTCAAAGTGCCATTTGCACACAAAAAATGGATTTGCTTCTTAACCAAACTTCGTTTTGTCACGGATAATATTCCAAACAACTATATTCAATTTTTTTTTCAGTCTTTAGAAAATTCCTACAAAACCACACATAAATATTTTATGATCACATATTTTAACAACACGGCATGCAATTAAAAAAATATTAATTGGCCTTTTGAGAGTATTGGTGTGTGGGGAGGCGGGGGGGGGGTCTGCTATTATGGCCATATAACAACAAAAGTAATATTAAATGACATGCTCATAATAAAATGTAATATCAAATAGCTGATTCTTATTGTCGTGACGAATGGGCTAACCTACCTAGTCACGTGACGTACACATGATTACAGTTTTATAGACCAACAGAAAGCTTCAAGTGTAGAAATATTTGAACAGGGGTTGAAACCTCTAGTTTATCGAGAACTCTATAGATCTACCCCTGTGCCATTTTTAAATTGCCATTGTCTGGTGGACAAAAGACGTAGTTGGAGTTACGGTTCTTAGGTCTCAAACAGCAGAATGACTGAATGACATTCGTGTTCCTTTGTCGTCTGCTAGAATAGAGGCTAATCACGCGATATGCAGACATGCCGCTTAAATAGGCTCTCACAACGGTTTGATTGTGCATCACAAGACTGCTAACTGTGTCCTCCAATCAGAGGCGTATCCAGGTTTTCGTTGTAGGGGGAGCGAAAAGAGCAAAAAAAGCGCCGAATTTTTAACACGTTCTATATACGTGTATTATATATATATATATATATATATATAGGCCTATATATATATATATATATATATATATATATATATATTAGCTGTATGTTGTTGCTTCGCTATGATGTAAAATAAATTGAAAGTAGCACTCTGAAGAAATTTAAAAAACATGCACATTGTAGGCCGAGAAAACAAAAAAATGTAGGCTGGCAAAACAAAAAAAATCACTCTAAACAAAAGACAAATATACACACACTACAACCAAAAACAATGAACGCAACATAATCTGTTTTGTAATCCTTGTAAAACAAATTACATAATAATTCTTGGGACATCAAGACTAGCGAAAAGGGGAAATAATCACTCTTTTAATATAAATATGTATATGTCTACACATTTAATTATAAATATCAAAACAACTCAATAATTACTTAATAATCTAATATAGAAGCTTAACGTTATTCGGTTTTACAAAAATATTTTGTCTACAATCAGAATTAAATATATTGTTATTATAAATGCTAAAGTATTACAGCATAATGAAAGTTTTTTTTTAATAAGAGTTGGTATAAAACCCAGCTTTTCAGATTACAAGTAAAAAATCCGGATAAATAGCCTACAGATAACCAATATATAGGACTTGCATTTCAGATCATACATGTAAAGTAATCAACCGATTTTTTGTGTTCTTTAAAGATCATTTTTTTAACATAATGATAAGTGGTTCAATGGAGATGGACGGCGAACCGTCAAGGCATAAAACACCATTGGCGTTGGACAAACAGACCGCACTTTGTAACACTGTTATCTGACCGGTAGGGTGATCAATAGCTACTCACACGGTCAAGCGGTCAGTTAAATGATGGAGGGTGAACTTGGTGTCGAGAAAGGGGTGGGGGGGGGATAAAAAAAAGTCACGCGACACTAAACATACTTTTATGGGTATAAAAGTGGTACTACAATAGAGGTTTTTTAAACATTGCAATGCATCTTAATGGTTATTTTTAGAATGGCAAACTGATACAGCTGTTAATACGTGTTGTAAACGTAGACACTACTAGACTAGTACAATAATGCTTTATTGCTGCATGAAAAGAAATCTTGTGATTTACATAGATGTGCCGACCAAAAATATTTTTTAAACAAATATCATTGTTTAAAACTTTGAGTTTAAAAAGTTTCCAAAAAGGCGCCACTTTGCTGAAAATGGCCAGAGGGGGAGCGGCCGCTCCCCCTGCTCCCCCCCTGCGTACGCTACTGCCTCCAATGTTGGCCAGTTTGTCTCTAGTATGTCTCAGTCGTCATCCCAGTCGCTCGTTAGTCGTGCTATTTGTCTCTAGTATGTCTCAGTCGTCATCCCAGTCGCTCGTTAGTCCTTCTATTTTTGTTCTGGCCATTTCTTGCAGCAGACAAGGCGATAAGGTTATTTACGACATGAGGCCTTCAAACGATCACTGACTTAATTTATGACAGCCTTCAGTCCTAATATTTGTGACCTTATGTTGTCCTGTACCTAATTCCTTCGTCAATTCTTTCGTTTGGGTGCTGTGACAAAACCTATGTGCTGGGCGTGTCCTCCATGTAAATATGTGCTGGGCGTGTCTTGGTGTATGTATCGAGCTACACGAGGATGTCACGCTCGGCTGTACCAGCACGGCCGTTGTTCCAGCACAAGAATGGGGCCATGAATGGATGTGTGTTCCCGTGCTGTGTGACACGCGATGTGTATTCCCGTGCTGTGTGACACGCGATGTGTGTTCCCGTGCTGTGTGACACGCGATGTGTGTTCCCGTGCTGTGTGACACGCGATGTGTGTTCCCGTGCTGTGTGACACGCGACTCCACACCATGAATGGATGTGTGTTCCCGTGCTGTGTGACACGCGACTCCACACCATGAATGGATGTGTATTCCCGTGCTGTGTGACACGCGACTCCACACCATGAATGGATGTGTATTCCCGTGCTGTGTGACACGCGACTCCACACTGGCACCTCTTGGAGCTACCACTGGTTTTACTGCGACCGTTTTTTTTTATTCTGGCACGTCGGCTAATGGACTATAACATGTTTGTATCTTTTAGAGATCCATGTGGTGATAACTTATAAGCTGTCTTTTTAATGTAGGTATGCTAGTTGTAGAACCCTCGTTATGGTGTGTTGTATGTTAGTTGTAGCCTCGTTATCGTATGTTGTCTGTTAGTTGTTGCCTCGTTATGGTATGTTGTTTGTTAGTTGTTGCCTCGTTATCGTATGTTGTCTGTTAGTTGTTGCCTCGTTATCGTATGTTGTCTGTTAGTTGTTGCCTCGTTATGGTATGTTGTCTGTTAGTTGTTGCCTCGTTATGGTATGTTGTCTGTTAGTTGTTGCCTCGTTATCGTATGTTGTCTGTTAGTGGTAGCCTCGTTGCGGTATTCTGTCTTTTAGCTTCAACCACGTTAAGATTTCTTGTCTGTTGGCATTAGTTTTATTCTGGCGATTTTAAGTGTTAAACTTTTGTTCCCTAACTCTATATAAAGCCTGTTCCCTAACTCTATATAAAGCCTGTTCCCTAACTCTATATAAAGCCTGTTCCCTAACTCTATATAAAGCCTGTTTCCTAACCCCATATAAAGCCTGTTCCCTAACTCTATATAAAGCCTGTTCCCTAACTCTATATAAAGCCTGTTCCATAACCCCATATAAAGCCTGTTCCCTAACTATATAAAGCCTGTTCCCTAACTCTATATAAAGCCTGTTCCATAACTCTATATAAAGCCTGTTCCATAACCCCATATAAAGCCTGTTCCCTAACTCTATATAAAGCCTGTTCCCTAACTCTATATAAAGCCTGTTCCATAACCCCATATAAAGCCTGTTCCCTAACTATATAAAGCCTGTTCCATAACCCCATATAAAGCCTGTTCCCTAACTCTATATAAAGCCTGTTCCCTAACCCAATATAAAGCCTGTTCCCTAACTCTATATAAAGCCTGTTCCCTAACCCCATATAAAGCCTGTTCCCTAACTCTATATAAAGCCTGTTCCCTAACTCTATATAAAGCCTGTTCCATAACCCCATATAAAGCCTGTTCCCTAACTATATAAAGCCTGTTCCCTAACTCTATATAAAGCCTGTTCCATAACTCTATATAAAGCCTGTTCC